ATAAAAACTCCAGATGTGCTGTTTTATCAACATAGAAAAAATTATACTGGTAGAAAAATGTACGCACAGTGAGTACATAGGATTCCGGCTGGCGGCACCTCTGTGATAGACGAGCAATCGTCTGTGCTGTTGGCTTGTGGTACACACTCACACACACACACACACACACACACACACACACACACACACACACACACACACACACACACACACACTAACCCATGTAAAAACTGTCCTGAGCCACATGACATTGAGTGTTTGTCAGCTTGTGTTATTGTCATTGAGAGTAGTGACATAGAACGAACCAGTGTCAGCATGGTACGTATATGTACTGTCTGTGTGTTTGTGTGTGTGCGCGTGCATGCAGTGTTCCTAATTGATCTATTTGGCAGGTCAGGCGTTATGGTGGCTGCACGCCAGCTCGTTCACAAATCAATGATCATTCTACTTAGGTGAATTTTTTAAGGTAATGTGTTGATTTAGAAGGTTTTTAGAGTTTTTGTTTAAAGTTATTATTTTTTTTTTTTTAGGATGGACAGAAAGGGTAGCTGTTTCTTACTACCTCCCTAAAGGCTTAATTGTGAGCTTTGTAGCTGTAAAAATGATTTTTTTAATTGAACATTTATCATTCAGATGTATAGAACATAGACTGTATATATACTGTATGTACAGACTATAGCAAAATAATGCGAAAGGGTTCAAATCTTATGTCGACCGAAATATGAAAATAAAGGTTGATAGTTCACATCAGAGCTATGGTAGTGTTCTGTGTTGTATATGTTACTGTATTTCTTAATAATAGTTTCTGAGGATCTGGGGTTCTTTTTTTTTTCATTTTTAGACTGCTATGTTGAGGAGCATGTGAGCATGTGCAGTTGCGTACATTTACCTTTGATATTCATTTATAAAACCTGTGAGGAAAAAAAAATGTCCCTAAAAAATTTTAATTACTTTTAAGTGCAAATTCTTCTTTTAGAGCGGACAGTGTTATTGCCATATGTTCGCTTTACAAAACTTTGAGACTTGTAGCAATTTTTTTAAAAGTCATTCGTATACTCCACGGTGGAGCTTGAAACAGCATGCTTTAAAAGTAAAAAAAAAATGCTTTGTAAGCAGTGCTAATGTTTACTTTGTATGAAAATGTCAACCATCATTTTCTTCGGCGTTATCTCTATACACTTTACAAAAAGAGCAGGTCTAGACCGTACTCTGTTGTATACATAGACCATTAATCCACCATGAACAAGACACTCTGCAACACTTAATCAGGAAGAGTGGAAAGAAAAAAAAAAGGGGGCGTTTAAGTAGGCAGAAACCTTGGAAGTCTTGGGCTTGGGAGGTGGAATCGATAGAAATGCAGAGGATAGGATGCTTATAGATGATGATGATGATGGATAAATGATTCCCCCCTAAAGTATTTAGTCAAACTCAAAATAAACTTAAAGAAGAAACTGTTACTGAAGTTATCATACTTCTTTTTATCTTTAGTTTTCACAGAGTAAGATGAGCACAACAGGGACGGCTGTGGCTCATTGGTAGAGTCGTCTAACTGGAAGGGGAATTACATTAAACGCTGAATTGATTCTTCTGTTACAACTTACGACAGTACAGTGTAAATATGAGTGAAGAGTACTGTTGGACGGTTGAGCTCTTTATGTACAGTAGCAGCCTCTGCCATCAGTGTGTGAATGAGTGAATGTGACAGTGTAGTGTTAAAGTGTTTTGAGTAGTCAGAGGACTAGAAAAGAGCTATAAGCTCAAATCCATTTCAATACACAAACACATGATAACAGTTTCTAAACAAACCCTGTAGAAGCTAGCAGAACAACATTTTCTGTCAAATTTAGTACATGTAATATTACAGTCTATTGTCAGTCGACGTGGTCTTCATTACCCCTCTGCTAGTCAACAAATGCACATTGTTTATGAGGGGGAGTATGTATGTTTTACATAGTGCTGGGGCGGCTGTGGCTCAGTTGGTAGAGTCGTCGTGTCTCAAGACACTTAACCCCGACTTTTCCCCCTGCTGCTTCGTTGAATCCGTATGAATCTGTATGAATGATTCATAGCAGCCTCTGCCATCAATGTTTGAATGGGTAGGTGTGACATGCGGTGTAAAAGAGCTTTGAGTAGTCAGAAGACTAGAAAAGGTCTATACAAGCTCAAATCCATTTCACTTAAAAATTCATATGTAGTTTGATTTATATCCCCCGGTTACAGCTGCAACCCTCCCTGTGTTGCATTCTGAGTGAGGGACACGCCCAATGCAAACAAGATGATGATTTTTCAGTGATATTTATGGTCTTGGTCTTGTCTAGTTCTCGCCCCGCCTGGTCTTGACTGGGTCTCTATCCCTTAATGTCTTGATCTTGTCTTGGTCTCAGAGCACTCTGGTCTCGAGTATGTCTTGGCCTCAGTTAGTGTGGCCTTGACTAGAACACTACCACATGATAATATGTGTTTCCACCAGCTTGCAACGCTGAAATGTAACGGTGAAATATAAGACAATGTATTCATTAAGCAAGTAAATGAAAACAAGTTTTCCACATTAAAAACAGCACAAAAAAAGCCTGACAGCCGTACTCCTTGGTGACAACTCACATGCAGCTGACATAACTTCACAAAGACAGATCATAAATACACAGTTGCTGAACAGAGGACATTTCTGACATATGTAGGCAGGAGGGTGGAACAGAAATGTATGATTTGATGGAGGCAGGTGTGTGTTCATGGGTGCTTTGAAGGCTCTTATCGAAGTGAATCAGCTCTGAGTCATGGTGCTTGATGACCTCAACAGGTTACCACCCAGCTACAGTAATAGCACACCAATCAGCTTACACAAGTTAACAATTAGGAGTGAAACAAAGCCTGGCCATTGTAGGAACATAACTATTTGGAAGGCACTAGAGTTGGCATGGTATGTTTGCTTCTCTCTAGTCTTTAAGGTCACGCCTCAATTTGATTTTCTGCTTGATGTTTCACAATCCAAGCTGTAATATCTTAGAACTTAGAATGCAAATGTTTTTTTACCTAGCTGTAGATTTTCTTTTCCTTCAACAGCATTACCACAAAAAACAGCACTCTGCATCCATGCTATAGCTCTGAGGTGTTATGCATCTTCAGCCACAACATCATTGAGAAAGTAACTGGAATAAATCCTCCCATCTAATTAATAGCTGCTTAGATATTTCAGTCTGGAGCAAAATTACATCTCAAACAAAGAAAAAACTGACTGTAAATGTATTTGTTAAACAAGGCAGGCATCAATGAAATCCTGTTGATGCATAAAAAGAAAAATGAATATAATTTGTGTGCATGTGATATTAGTTGTATGTTTAGGTTTCCAGACTTTTTTTCTTCCATCTCCTGTTCAACACCAACACTGATTTACTTGATTCTGAACACTAACCATTTTAACACTGATAGCTGTTGTTGTTGTTTTTTTATTTTAGAAAATGGAGGTGAGGAAGTGAAATAATATGAGATGAGATGAGATGAGATGAGATTCAACTTTATTGTCATTACACATATACAAGTATAGAGTAACGAAATGAGGTAGTATAGAGTAACGAAATATGTTACATAATCTAGAGTTACATAATATGTAAGCAAATCAAACTGATTGTGCAGAAATATTCAAATTCAGTTGTCTGGTTCAATAGTATATTACTGACCGTATGACTTAGGTCTTTTAGTTTTGAGTGGAGCCCTGACTTTTTCTTTTTGGCATTATTTATGTTGCTTAAATGGTTACTGTTTCTGTTTTTCTACACTGCATTTCATTAAATTCAATTGGCTTCTTTTGTCTGATCATCCCCTATGACACAAGTGTGGTGTGTTTTTAGGATCATCAGAATGCATCTTTACCAAGGGCTCTGATTTCATACAGGTGTTCTTTCCCGAAATCCTTCCAGTAATAGCCAGTATTTCAAGTTCATAATGCTGCTGCTTCATGCAAACCTTGAGGTCTCAAACGCTGTCTGTTGAATTTAAGCTTTTCTTACAAAGTGACAGCATTTATTGTCAGAGGTTTGAATATGGGTTTTCAATGAACACGATAGTTTGACCATGAAAGTTGCTTAAAAACATTGTGCAGGGTCATTTATGTGAAGAAAAGACATGAAGCAATTTAAGTATTGTCCCATGAGCATTAAATACTCGACCCCTGTCTTTACAATATCACACATCTGTGCAGAGAATCGAAAAAAAACAAGTGCTTTGAGTTTTTTGTTGCATCTTTCATCACTAGAAGTACACTGATTTACACGAGGCGGCTGTGGCTCAGTTGGTACTGTAAAGTCTTCGTCTCTCAACCGTAAGGTCGAGGGTCCCCCGGCTCCTACAGCAACATGTCCGCTGTGTCCTTGGGCAAGTAACTTAACCCAGAATTCCTCCTGCTGCTTCGTTCGCGGCATATGAAATGTGTATGAATGGGATTAGTTACTTCTGATGGTCTCACTGCATAGCAACCACTGCCATGTGAGTGTGAATGTGTAGGTGTGACATTCAGTGTAAAAGCACTTTGAGAAATCAGAAGACTAGAAAAGTGCTATACGTGCTCAAGTCCATTTACCATTTACATCTTAAAGTAGAAGTCATGCACAGTTCCAGTAAATTTAACAACAGAATATGAAAACTCACGACTTGCCTCTGATAATGACCTTTTCAATCATCTCTATGGATCTTTTTAGAGTGAACAACTCATGATGGAGAAATCTTTTTTTGAATGGTTTCATGTCTTTCACAATGAAAATAGTTATGTTTTTAAATGTCGTTCTTGGACTGACCCAAACATTTACAAGATTCACTCATTCATTCCGTGCATGTAGATTTCAGATCTGATATTTTCATAATATTTCTTCCCTTTGCTTCTCTTATGTCTGTGTTGTACTCTGGCCGTAAACCAGACCAAAACATTCAGTTTGGATAAACTGGCTGCAACAAAGTTAACATTTTCTTTTTTTCCCACCCCTTCCTTCTCCCTGTCCCCCTAAATACAGGAAACAGTAGAATATGCCTTCCTGATCATTTTCACAATAGAGACATTTATGAAGATTATTGCCTATGGCCTGGTCATGCACCAAAACTCCTACGTCAGAAACGGCTGGAACATGCTGGACTTCGTCATCGTCATTGTGGGGTGAGTTCATAGTTTGAACATGAACATGCACAACTAAATAATATGGGCAAGTCAGAGCATAAATATCCTCTCAGACACACAGGTAAATCAATTATTTTATACACTTCTGCTAAAGTCATAGAAACAATAGTTAATACTGTCCCTCATTTTCACACACACACACACACACACACACACACACACACACACACACACACACACACACACACACACACACACACACACACACATTTCACAACCTTCTGCATTTGCATGGATCACCATGTTATAATACTGTTATTGTTTTCCACAGCATGTCCTGTGGCATGAATACAGTGTTGGAGATGTTTAAACAGACACACACAAAAACACAAACACACAGCGTATGGTGTTGTTTCCTTATTTATTAGCTGGTATATTAAATTACTTTGACTTAGTCATATATAGTACACAGCAAACACAGGCACACACAGGTGCATGTATACTGAAACAAATACAAAGAGCTTTGTTCCTCTGTACTTTCATCTTTCATGGTCTGTTTTTGACCTGATATTTCTGTCACTGCTCTCTTCTACTCTTTTTTTCTTAAACTTATGTCTTCTTACTGTTCTTTCTCCCTCTCTCCCTCCAGATTGTTCAGTGTTGTTCTGGAGATGATAACCAAAGACGCTGACTCTGGTGGCCAGTCTGGAGGCAAACCTGGGGGCTTTGATGTAAAGGCCCTCCGAGCCTTTCGTGTTCTACGACCCCTTCGCCTTGTCTCTGGAGTTCCCAGTGAGTTAACATGGAAACATATCAAGTCACTTTTACTTCACACTTTCCCTTTGAGAGACAGATTTTCCTTCAAGCAGGCATGTTCTTATGTACACTGCTGATCTCAGATCTAACGTTTGGATAGGCCGTATTGGACTGGCATATTTAACTTCTCTCTTTCCTCTGTTCTTCTCAACACACACACACACACACACACACACACACACACACACACACACACACACACACACACACACACACACACGCACACTCGCACACACACACACTCTTATTGATGCTATAACCCCAGATGCAATCCCACTGCACAGCAAAAATGAAAGTCTGGTTTGGAAGAAAGAGAGACGCTCACATATGTGCACCAAACTATTACTGAATTTCCCACGATACAGAAAGTCTCATAACAGAATAATATGTTTTTCCATTTTTGCTATATAATGAATAATGTGTAATGTGTTCAGATATATTGAACTCTGTTCTTTCAACATCACTTAAACGTATTACCCAGTTGGGCAATAAGTCATAATCAGGATATATGAAATTCTGTAGTTTATTTTAAACAACTATGGCACACATGTTTACAGTAAGTCTCTCTCTAGGTGTAAAATGTGTTTTACATTTTAGGTTTTTGTTTCAACGTAAAAATTTAACAATAGTTATCTTTTATTGTTAAATCCTTTGTCTCTTAATTTTTTTAACAAATGAAAATTTAAGAATTGAGGTCTGTCTAGTGCCTTGTTCTGGATAATGACACACTTAAAGCTTTTCTTAGTAACAAGGTGAAAAATAATTTTCCTCACAAGGCACATTTGCGTTTACTTGAAGCAAAAGCGTCATTTCCTCATTCAGTTTGCACAAATCTGTAAATGCAGAAACTACAACTCTTTTTAACAAACATTTACTGAACATATCTGTACGTCAGTTAGTCAGAAAAAAATAATCCATTAACATTTTGATGTTAAATTCTTTGTTTATCTAAGACACAGAGTGCATGTAGCACTGTGGCTTCACCACAGTGTGATCACTTCTGGTGGTAACTGGTGCGTTTGTCACCAGTGTCTAGGACTTTGTGATTCTCTTTGGTGTGCAGAGGAACAGTCTCTGAGTGAGTGGGGTCAGTGGGATCTAGGACCAATTGAATTCAGTATTTCTCCATACAGTGTGTGGTTGAAATAGCTCACTTGGTTTCAATGTCTATAGGTCTCTTGTTGACCTTTTTTTGTAGGCACACTAAATAAGTTGTGTCATTTCCAGATCGAGCTGTGTCCGCACAACTTTTGGCTGCAGAAAAGTTGATTTTATGGACTGTAGCGTTCTGGTACAGCAGTTGAGAAGTCTCTGTGCAGGACTGGTCTGGAGTTTCTTTGCTTATGAGTTGCAGTGGTCTACATAGAAGAGGAAGATAAGGTCGTGATGAGGTCTCAGGCTGAAATTGTTAGCCACAGTCAGATGTATCTCTGGAAGTCTTGAGTACTGTGGTCCATTCTCAGTGAAAAAATTAGGGGTGGCTTCATGAGCCAAATGGGCTTTAAGTTAATTTTGAGTAGACTCTATGTAGGATAGGATAATACTTTATATATCTGAAAGATTTCCCAAAAATGTAGTTCTAACTGACAGTGATCAAACAGATCTGTAATGACCTTTGCCCATGGTCTGCTTGGCATCTCATATGGGGATTGTGTTTATTTTTGTTGGTTAATATCCATTGACCTGTAAGTTACACACATGGCTTGACATATTTTAACATTGTTGTAGTGCTCAAAATGAACAATGTCTTACAGTTAATTGGTTTTCAAAAGTATTTACAATCTATCAGAATTTAACACAGTCTCAAATATCAAAGCTACACATTTCACACACACAGATCAAAAGGAGATTCAGACAATAATGCTAGTTTTGTCGGAAGTGACAGGTGAAGGGCAGAGGAGACTGCAGCAGCTGAGATTTAAAAGCTGTGATGTCAGGCTTGATCCAATCAGGAATCAGTAATTTCAGTTGCACTGTTCAATCAGAGGCAGCACCTGTATCAGCACCTGATTTACAGAAACACACACACACTCACTATAGCAGAGGAATTAAAGCTGCACATATAATAAACATGATCAATCACCAATATGACACAGGGTCATAACATATCACTGCACGTTCACCCCTGAAAAATATTCCCTTTTGATAAATGATGAAATCACTTGATGCTTTTGATTTGTAATTTGGTCATCCCTGGGGCATCATCAATGTTTTCCCTCTTTGGTTGCACAGTTGATTACGTTGAGTCTCTCCTCATAAATTGATCAAAAGTATCTTCCAAAAATAAAATGAACATTCAGGATGATAGCAGCATGTTTTTTGATAACACTTCACAGCATAATTCTTTGGAGCCTTTTGGGCGCACTCAGCATGACCAACTATTCAATTTTTAAAGGTTTTATCAGCTTTTTGCGTACACGTCTGTATTCTCCTGCTGCTTTTCTTTATCTAGGTGGCATCTTAGATTAGTAATACCCTGGGTACACGTGTATATCCCTGTCTATAACTTTGTGCTCTCCCTAACCTTGTCTTCTGTGTGTTTGCAGGTTTACAGGTGGTTCTAAACTCCATTATTAAAGCCATGGTTCCCCTGCTTCACATCGCTTTGCTAGTCCTCTTTGTCATTATTATCTACGCCATCATCGGCCTGGAGCTCTTCATTGGCAAAATGCATGCAACGTGCTATCTGATAAAAACAGGTATGATAGTCTAAAGACTCAATGTTGTTTTGTTCTGATTTTTGTTAGAGCCCGGCTGATTAATCGGCCAGCCAATATATATGCTAATATTAGCCAGCCATCGGCCAGCTAATATTAGCATATCCAGTGACTATCCGTATCAGCTAATTTTATCACAGAAATGTGCCCAATATTACTAGATTTATTCACCAGTCAAAAAGCATTTCATTTAAGTAATATTGTATTACATTAGCAGTTATCTTTCACCAGCAGAGTGTGATATATGGATTACAACAAGCATTATCACTCTCCAGAGTGTCAAGTGGTGACACACACCAGTTGAGTGACCATCTTGTCTTCATTATATATCTTTTCCACAAGTGTTTGATAACTGCATTTGGGGGATCAACGCAATAAATGTGTGTGTATATCTATCACTATCTATCTCCACAGATCGAATATAGAAGATATCGGCCGATTTATTGTTATCAGATTTTTTTTCTCTACCCAATATCAGTATCAGCCCAAAAAATCTCTTATTGGTCGGCCCTAATTTTTGTTTTAATGTTTTCCCTTTTGTATTAGCTTTCAGATATGCTTTAGTTACATTACCGCTTGAAAAATGTTGTTCTTCACAGAAATAGGACTGAATCCCTGAGCATGGATGAGAACATGTACCTTGTCTATGAATGAAAGCAAGCTGCTGAAAACGGACAGACCAGCAGATGGTGGATTAAATCCAGTAATTAAATGACTGATATCTAGCTAATATGTAAACAGGCTTGACCTTTGCTCTTGCATTGCTTGCAATGAGGTAGAATTATTCAAGAAAATAAGGATCAACTGACGGATGGTTGTCATAATGAGCTTCAAGCTTCAAAGGAATACTCTAACCATTTTTTATATAGTGTCACTTTTACTGTTTTAGATGCTCACTCCTTTCACCTAATCTTCCCCCTTTCCCTGCTCTTTCCTGCTATGATCTGTTTGTGCTTGAATGTCATTGTTGAGGGAAGTCAAGAGGTCAGGTTACAGGAAGACCGAAGCTTACTTTAATCCCTTCTTGCTTGCGTCTGTTCCGTTGGCCCTGAGAAAGGCACTTTGTGTTTTTTAACTGTTTGCTGTTATAGGAATGGGGGTGGGGGGCACGTGTCTACAGCCCAACAATATTTGATGCATGGTTTGTGTGTCTTTTTGTGTGCATGTATTTATGTGTTGTGGGTCAACTTATTATGAGCTCATCTATACTGCATATACTTTTAAACTTAATTTAGAAGCGCAGGCTTTGATTTACTTGAGCAACAACATTTATTTTCATCTCCAAAGCCAGCAGAAGTTCTTCTTATGATCTTATCATTTTCTCTGATGGTTAAATAAAAGTTGCAACAGGACAAAACCCATAGCAACAAAGCCCACCTCTGAAGACAAAGATGGACTGCTGACCCATGTGGTTGTTGATATAGCCTAAATCAGTGTGTATGATGATCTTATGGAGATACAAAAATACTAATTACAAGATTTGGATTTCAATGCAAAAGGAGCAGATTGTATTAGTGTAACCACATTAGCGTTAGTTAAAAACAGAAAAATAGAGATACTTCTGAAATAAATTACAAATCAGTGCCAAGATGCTTAGAGAATTGTTAGGCTTTAATATTTAAAATATGTGTGTCTTTAAGTAGTATGCTTTTGTTTTTATGTCATATCAGTGTATCCCTGTTGGTGACACTACTCTAAAGAAAATAAACCATAATTTTAGGTAAAGTTATATACAACATAGAGCACTTTTGAAGTGTTTAAAGTCATGGGATTATTATTGTTAGTATTAGTATTATTATTGTTACTTTTTTTTAAAACACTGGCATTATTCTGATTCTGTGCCCCCAGGTGCCCTACCAGAAGAAGAGTCCACTCCATGTTCGGTATCGGGGCACGGCCGTCAATGTCTGCTTAATGGCACAGAATGTAGAGAGGGCTGGCAAGGCCCCAACAACGGCATCACCAACTTTGACAACTTTTTGTTCGCTATGCTCACTGTGTTCCAGTGCATCACCATGGAGGGCTGGACCGATGTCCTCTACTGGGTAATCTCTCACAATGCATTAAAATGACTTTGTGGTGCCCAAATTGGGTATCATTTTTGGTAAATAAGTCCATGTGACGCTCTTGTTCAGAGATTCATGGTTTGCATATTACAGATCATGTGAGACATTCAATTTTATTGTAAATATTCTCAATTAAAGGATGGTATACCATTTCTCTCCAAGTCTTTCTGCTACAAGTGACATAAGCTTGACTCAAGACAATTCACTTTTTACATCAGCAATGAAGTAACCGTCATTTCTACGATGTAAATAGAATGACATTCAAAGATTATATGTCTCATAAAGGACACGATAGCTAAAATGGTATCTTATGGTAAACTGCAAAGTTTACATAGCTGTCTGATTTCTACATGAATCATACTTAATGAGTCCATTTGAAGTAAAAGCTCAGATGATATTCTTGCTACTGTTTCTACCCTAGATACAAACTGGCCTTATCTATCAGCTTCTCAGAAGTAAAAAATACCAACCGCCTTTAATTACCCACAACAATCATCATTCAAGCTTAACTCAGAATGAGTTTACATCACAAGCCACCCACATCCTACCTCTTCTTAATGGTGAAGACCCTTTTCCATTGAATTATCAACCTCTCACCCAGCTTCTCTTTCTCTGTGGTCCTCTCTGCCTTTTCTTTCCCTTGCACTCTTCACAACCCATACAAATGTATGGTTACTATGGCGATCCATAATGTAGTGACCAATTTTAACAAACCCAATATTGTTTGGAAAAGTCACTTGAGGGATGAATGTGGAAGCTTTCGTATGCATGCTTAGCTCGAAGAAATGACCACAGTCTATTGATGTTGTGATTTGGATATTTCAATCCATTTATTTTTAAATACTTCTTATCAATAAAGGAAAATATGATGAACCACTGTCTATAAATAAAAAAACAAATCCGTTGGAAGCGTTAACTCCGACCGGCTGACACGGTAGAAAAAGTGTTTGCCTCCATTCAATCACCTGTCCCACCTCACCTGGAGCCTTGCTTTAACCACAGCATCCGCCCAGGCTACACATAGTGCCCAGTAGAGGGCCAACACACACAACCATAAGGAAAATACCATGACACAAAACAAACACATAATTTTGCTCCAACACATGCTAATATTCATGCTAAAATGGAGAACGAAGGACATGCTACAAGCCTGCTATGAGGGATACATAGATGGATGGATACACTGACTTAACTTTTCCTTCACACAATAAATTGAGTATAGGATAATGTGGGTGGCTGAGTCAAAACTTTGTGTCACCTCAGCAAGGCCAGCTTTTGTGTGTGTGTATGTTTGTGTGTTAGTTCCTTCACTCATTTTTGACTCAGTTATCTCTCACATTGTGCCCTCTGGTGTTCACATTTCCTACTCTTGTTTAATTTGAATCACAGACATGAAAATTTTATTAAAATGACTGCCAGTATCAGTCTCTCTCTATTTATATCAATTTATTCATCGATCAATCAGTCATACAATCATCACACTTACATACAAAGCAGGTATAGACCTTGGGCCAGCGGTTTAACTCAGTGGTTAGAGCATTTGCCCCTATGTACAGAGGCTATAGACCTCATCCCCTCTGCCCTTCACTGCATCTCTCCTGTGGACATTTCCTGTCTCTACTTTTTTATCATATTGTTTTCCCTGAAGAACAAGCACTGGGCAACAGTTGCAACCATTTTTTTTGTGGGTAAAGGACAGACAAAGAAAGAAAAAAATTAAAACATTTAGTTTGGTAGTATTATTGTTTTCTGCCCTCAGTCTTGTTTTCTCTTCTATTTAATAACTTTTAACAGCATGAAGCATTATGAATATCACAATAATGGGATCCAAAAATACATATACATTTAATTCTTTCTATCGATCAATCAATCTTTATTTTTAGAGAATTTCATAACAAATTTAACCTCTGGACCTCCTTGTTATATTATTGTACAGAGGCCCCCCTGCAGTTATTCATCATGAGCACAGCACTAATCAACATTTAGCAAAGTAACAGTGGCAAGGAGAAGACTGCGTTTTAACAGGAAGAAACCTCAAGCAGAACCAGACTCATGGTGAACACCTTCTGCTGTGACTGTGCAGCAGAACAACTACAGCAACCAAAATAACAAACCAATAAAACAGATGTATGACTACATTGCCAGTTATAATTGTAAAAGCATTCATAGTAATAGCAATAATGTTGATTATAGCTGTTGAAGTGAAGTCGTTCTAAGATTCACATCCACATTTATAATAATGATCACAGACTTAACACCTCTATTAATAGATGTAGCAGTGGGAGCGGGTCCATACCAGCAGGCTGTCTGCTGAAAAGATCCAAGAAAACCTTTAAGACAAGGGGACTCGGGAACTCCCGGGAGATGTGTGGTAACTTAAATGGTACATGAAGACCTAATTTAGTGACATGCTGTAATAGATATAAATGCATACTGATAGAGATAGCAAGGGAGCGACAGGACCTCATCGTGCCAGGTCCCCAAGAAGTCTAAGCCTATAGCAGCATAACAAGGAGCTGGTCCAAGCCTGAGCCAGTCCTAAATAAAGCTTTGTCCCAAAGGAAAAATATAAGCCTGCTCTAAAGTAGAGAGGGTGCTAGCCTCCTGCTAATCACTGTTAGATGATTCCAAAGAAGTGGGGCCTGATAACTTAAAGCCTTACCTCCCATAGTCATTTTAGAGAGGTACAAAGGTGAAAGATGATGTCCTTGAAAGTTGTACTTTTGTGAATACTTTAAAAGACAAAATCACAACCCAAATGGGAATAAAACTGACAAAGCTCAATGAAGACATTTACCAGAAATTTGCACAATAAGAAACTGAAATAGGAGAGCAAAATGACTGGACAAAAGCCACTTTTCCAGGTACTGAAGAAAAGACTGATGGAGTAGTGAAGCAAATTGTGCACTGCATATAGTAAAGAGCAAAATACGATGATGGACAATTTGAATGACTTGGAGTTAAGGTCTAACAAACAATCCTTGTATATACAACGTACAATACAGAGGAGGATGCAGAGTTAAACAACAACTCAGCTGAAGAGTTTCTGGAAAAGTGGCTTCGAGAGGAGTTTTCAGTTTACTCAGACCTCCAGGTACAGCATACTTACAGAGCTCTGGCCCCATAACAGGTCAATCTCCACTGTCTATCGTCACACACTTTCAGCAGATCAGCAGCAGTTGTGTTATGTTGACTCAAGAGTTTTGGGTCTGTATCAGTTAACTAGAGTTTGTTGAGGGGCGGCTGTGGCTCTGTGGTTGAGTCAGTTGTCGGTTTGATCCCCATTTGAAACAGTCCTAGAGCAAGACACTGAACCCTTAATAGCGCTCACTGTTCACTTCTGTGACCTATAGTGTTAAGCACGTTAAGTTGTCAGAAGACTAGAAATGCACTTAGTCCAAGTCCATTTGTAATGACACAAATAGTCATATCAGAATCATCTTTATGCTTACACATACACACACAAGGAATTTAACTTTGGTGAATTGATTCTGATTCTGATTCTGATATGCTACTTTATATGCATTTGTAACATTGATGCATTTTTTATTTTTTAATAATGTAGAAAGGCAAATATTTGCATAATTTAGACATTTAAATGTTTTCTTCACTCCCTGTGCTTCTTTGCAGATGAATGATGCAATGGGCTTTGAACTGCCCTGGGTCTACTTTGTCAGTCTGGTCATCTTTGGATCCTTCTTTGTTCTCAACTTGGTTTTGGGAGTGTTGAGTGGGTAGGTTTTTGAGTTTGTCTGTACGTGCTAAATGTGTTTTATTCCCAGTGAAATTGTTCTTTTATTATTGTTTAACTTGTTAATTTTATGACATACATAGTATTGTCTGACTCAGTTAGTGTGATCTGAACTTTCCAGAGAGTTTTCCAAAGAGCGAGAGAAGGCCAAGGCTCGGGGAGATTTCCAGAAGCTACGGGAGAAGCAGCAGTTAGAGGAAGACCTGAAAGGCTACCTGGACTGGATCACCCAGGCTGAGGACATTGACCCGGAGAACGAGGAGGAGGGGGATGAGGAGGGAAAGCGTAACCGTGAGTTAATTAATCTGATTTGTCCCTCTGTGTTTGTCTGAGGCAAGAAATTAAGAATGCAAACCAGATGGAGAGCTACTGAGCCTTAAGTTCTTCTGCCTCAAATGATGATGTGGGTGTCTTCTATGATAGTCAAAGGAGGTAGGTGAAGTGGGGACAAAACATTACTAAACAGCCTGTTGTTATTCAACTCTGAAAAGCTAAGTCATGCTTTGTCTTTAATCCGTTATGAAGGGAATATGTAGGGCATCTCGAACAAATCACCCTGGCTCAGCTGTCACTGTTGGAGAAGCTTTAAATAAGAGCCCCTTTAAAAAAATGTTTTGTTGCTGTGTAAAATGTGAATACAAACAGAATGTGATGATTTTCAAAACAATGAAACCCCATTTTCAATAAAATAATAGCACAAAGACAACAAATCAAATGTTTAAATTGAGAACTTTTCTATGTCTTTGGACAATTATATTCCCACTTTGAATTTGATACCAGAAACATTTGAATACAAGCTGTGACATGGTCATGTTTAACCTCTCTGTTGCATCACATATTCTTTTAACATTAGTGTAAGCATTTGGAAACTGAGGAGACCAATTGCTGTCAATTTGAATGAGATTATTTGAGGGCATTATAAAATGTAATCCTACATGAAGGAAGTATGGTAAAAAAATTCACAAAGGACATGACAAGTTAGAACTGCAGGAAGGCCTGTTTATCACCCAGGCTCTTTTACTACAGAGCCATCATGTTGTCATATGTGCAAAATGTTGTTGGTATTGTCTTGCTGAAATGAACAAGGCCTTCACTGTAAAAAAAAAAAAAATCATAATCTACTTGGTAGCGTATGTTGCTCTTAAACCTCACTTCTTCCACACCAGCCTGTCTTGCCTCTTTTCTATTTCTTCCACACAGTGTGTTTCTGTGGACTTAGATCCTCAGCAGTTTGTTTGATTAAATTACATAAAAACAGAACTCCAGTTTTAATTAGATTTCACCCTTGAGCTGTTTTACAGCAGCTGAGTCGCATGATGAAGAAGTTTAATGTTAATAACATGGCAAATGTGAAAGCAATCACAAGTTGAAGTGTTAAAAGAAATAGGGCATATCCAGGACAGATAGAAGAGGAGTGCTTTTGAGCACAGTGTGTCTGCCACAGTGAACAGGAATGGGAGGGGCAGAGCCGGCAGACACTGTGCACTTATTGATTGATCACACGTCATCTCTCCGCAGAAGGCAATAAAAAAAAACACACAATACAAACATGAGGCCCCCCAGAGTCGATGAGGCCCCACACACAGCATGTGTTCTGCATGTAGGAAGAGACAGTACTGTTTATCCTCCAGTTGGTCAATGCTTTGTGGCCTCTGCTGACAGGCGTGATGTCCACACTGCCCACGTGGCTTGTTTATTTGTGGCTGTCGGATGAGTGTTTATGTCATTGTGCGCATGGCATAAAACTGGAGCTTTGTTTGTGTGTGTATCTGAGATCAGCATGGAATCAGATTTATTTCAGAGGACTGGTCAGTCACCAATCACAGCGGAACAGGCTGAAGCCGGCCGATTCCGGTCATGAGCAGGCTGATTGGTGCGCCTCTATTAACAACTGTTTTGTTCATTAGCTTGTGAGTCTTCTGATTGCTAATATCATCTATTTTGAACCGCAGTGTTTGTTAACTTTAAATAGAGCACATAAAAACCTTGATCTATTAGGGTGTGTGCCAGATACAGTAGTTGTTTTACTGCAGAAGACTGCAGCGTGCTGGGAGCACTGGGTTCGGGCACTTGTGCAGTAGGAGGAAAAGTATTGCACATTACCTTGATTTCTTTGACAAATATTTAAAAAACATGATTTCAGTTGGATCTCCTCTGTTCTTTTCTGTACCTGAGCAGTGTTGTAAATTAGGGTTCTCCCTAATAATGTGATGATATAATTTATGATGATATCATATTAAAAACTGAAAATGATCGTCTTTCACCCCACCATACAGAACTAGACAGTGTAAAGACATGTCAGCAACAATCCCACATTTTCCCAATGTGTTTAGGGCTGGGCTGAGAATTTTGTTTGTCAGGTTTGCTGTTTATCTTCATTTGATACATTTTGTTAGAGTTTGTGAGTATGTGTCTATTCTTTACATGGTGGTTTATGTTGGTACTCTTATTTTTATGGAGTTTTAATAGAGTTGTATCCACTCTGTCTTATTTGCAATGAACTAACTGGCAATGTGGACTAAAACATTGCAAGTTAGATAAAAAGTATACATTGTTAAGTACTTTAAATTGTTACTTTGAACATACATCTTCTTTTTGTGCCATTGAAAAAATAAGCTAATGTATCCATTATCTTTCGTGATAAAGTAGATATGAATGATTGGTGAAAGGGTGAATAATTTATATTTATTTGTGTGAGTTTGTGTGCAAGTCACACTTCAGGCCACAGTCAATACCCCAGTTTGGCCACCCCAGTCAAAAAGGTCTGGAACTGTGGCATTGCTTGAACAAAGAAGTCAACATCAATACTTCATTAAGAAAAAAAAATATTTACAGTAAATGCTTGAAAACCCTTTTACAACAGTGCATTTGCAGTATAAATTTACTTACAGGGTCTATTTAGTTACTCGTTTTTGCTTTTGCTTATAGCCACTTCTACAGTGCCTTGAAACCATTCAGTGTGAGCTCAGTGTATTAACCTCTGTTTTTTATATTCTCTAAGCTGTGGTCCATACTCTAACAACATCTGTTGTTGTTGGCAACTAAACTCCTGAACTGAAACACTAACCCTCTCTCCTTTAGTCCGCCAGTGTCTGTGTGCCTTGTTAATAGATGTCTGTAGAATGCTGCTTATATAAAGTTGTTTTGCCCCCTGTCTCTAACTTCTTTCTTCTTATGAGTTACACAAGTCTTGTTAATTTCTTACAACTCCCAGCATCGTTTGTATAGTTAACCCCCCAACAATAAAGAAGAATATATTTAAGCGTGACCAAAACTGGACTGAATGCTCACTTTTTCTCAACTATGTCCAAAAATATGGAGTGAGCAGGACAACTTAGATTGCATGCTCTCTGCAGAACAGTGTGATGACATGAATTTAAACTACCTCAAACATCATTGGCATTTCTTCACTGCACTCACCTTTACTAAATACCTGCCATACATTTTCTGTTATATCTGCCATGGATAATATTATCTATCATTATTTTCTACTATGACACCTAAGTTCTATGAATCTTGTTGGAAATATCAGTAAATTGTGCTGTTATTTTTTTTATCTTCTTGTCAGTGATTCTGCAGCGTGTAATGATTGTTTTTTTAATAACTAGTTCCTATACTGTATAGTCTCAAGGACTTCTCTTTAATTTTATGTGCCCATCTCTTATGCTAAGAGTGAACAAAACAGATGAATTTTACTTTAGTAGGGAAACCTCTAGTCTATATTTGGATTCTGCAGTCAGTCTGGTATGCTAAAAGGAGTTAGTTTTTACACTTTACAATACTGTTCAGCTGACTGCTGATAATCATGTATTAATGCTTAATTTATGCCCAGATAATCACGAGTAAATGTATGATTAATGAAGAACCAAGCCATGCATTTAACAGCAACTATATGATTAACATCCTGTAGTGAGTCATACATGAGTGACTTACTCGTTTGGTAAATGGTGAATGGACTTGAGCTTGTAGAGTGTTTTTCTAGTTTTCTGACTACTCAAAGTGTGTTTACATTGCAGGTCACAGTCACACCTACACACACCCATTCACACACTGATGGCTGAGACTGCTGTGTAAAGTGTCCACCAGTGTTAGCTAATCCCATTCATACACATTTATACATTTATACATTAATCCAAAACCATGGATTTCAACGAGGATTCCCATGATGAGTTTAGGATTGTACCCCACCAAGTCCCAAGATGATTGTAAATTTGAAAAAACAAATTGATGATAATTTCAAACTAATACTGATAATGATTTCACCTTTAAGACAATGGCCATAGCAACAATAATGAAATAAATACAGCTAGCTATACACAGTTAAACTGAGTTAGAAGCCTGAATACCAGCCATGACTTTAGGAATAATTATAAAATACAACTTGGGCACATGCTATACAGAGGGTGATTTTTTTTCTTATAACGCACACTCCAGATAAAGCCTGAGTGAATGAAGTAGCTGTTTGCATTCACACAGGCAGCTTCTCCTTAAAATATCAGGAGTTTTGTGCATATATGAAAGCACTATCCCTATGTTAATCATATAGTTTCTCATCAATGAATGGCTTAGTTCTTCATAACTCGTGATTAACTGGGCATCAATTAAGCATCATAAATGTAAATAAACAGTATTGTAAAGTGTCATGGTTTTTCTCTCCTTACATGCTAACTGTGTACTGTGTCAGAGTCGTTTTTATTGCAGTTGTCTCTTGTTGTATATTCCCTCTCTTATTGCTGTCTATTGACTCAATGCTTCCTCTACTGTCTGGCTTTGTGAACTGCATGTTGGTAAACACCAAGGGGTCACGCTGGCTGACCTCACTGAGAAGAAGAAAGGAAAGTTTGGCTGGTTCACGCAGTCCACAGAGACACAGGGTAAATGTGTTTCTGTGTGTATGACTTGCTGGGCAGTTTTTTTCTTGTTGCCCAGTCCATTGGAACAGTTCACCTCCGCTTTGCATGTGCTTTTCATTTTCGTCTTTTTGCGTCCTTTGTTTCATTCATCCATGTATGAATTCTCATCATAAGTACCTAGCAAATATTATCCATTATCTCAGTGGAATAACATTGTTTACTAGGGGTAAGAAAGGCCAAATGGCTGGTGAAATAAGTGAAAACTCTTGCACTTTAGATCAGATGAGGGCTTGGTCGGGTGGGGTTGGGGGAATCAAATGTCCATTATATATATATAGAGAGAGATGTGATCTCTGTGAAATGAGCGGCAACGTCTTTTCATCACGCTTCAAAGTGTAAGGAAAATGTGGCTTTGCTTTTGTTGTGTGATGGGGCACTCACACAACAGAGGTTGATGGAAATCTATAAAATGATTAGATTTTTAGAAAAGCAAATACACAGAAGCTCATGTTCAGTTGTACCCAACACATTTTGTTAACTACATTTGAAAGCGATCAAGGCACTCTGCAGTAGCTGTACAAACATGGAAGGCCTGGTTTCAAAACCCTTTTCTTGATATTGTCAGCACATTTTAATTTACATATTCTTAAATAATCATGGAAGGTCCATAACATGTTTGAATTAAAGACTAATTAATTAAAGATTAATGTGTTTTTCTGCCAGAAAAAGTAGTTTAGCGTGTGTTTTTTCTTGTGACAAATACTCTCCTAAAAATTACACCATCCTGAAACATATTTTGTAGTATAGAAATTCAACATTTTCAGTTAATCTCATTAATATATTTAATCTGGGTCAGAGTTAAACAGAGTTATACGAGTATTTGTGTACAGATCCCATATCAGATCATGCTCATATTGAATGCCTTTCATTTTTCACTCAAAAACGTGACATTGAATGCATGTACAGTATATTTTGAATATACTGTATAATGTAACCGTGTGACCATAAAACAAATGTATTTTGCTCCATACTGACATGCAGACCTGGACCAATTAGTTTGGGCAAATATTTCAAAACCACATATATCAGTATCAAACACTCACTACAACAAACTTTTTAATCTGAGTATTAGCATTTGTATTTTGAGTGTGTATCCAATTCAAAAACAGATATCAAAAATGACAAGATTGATTCATAATGTCCAGTTTGACTCAGGTCTGGCAGCATGTCCTTACTGTGACTTGATTCATGCAAAACCCTGAAACTCATCATCTTACAGTGTTCATTAAGTTGGTTTCACAAAGGACCAAATCCAGGAGTCAATCTCAAATGGAATTTAGTCTGTCTTTTTATTTTAGAGAAAAGACGTTCTGTAATTAAAGGTGCACTATGTTGTTTTGGTAGAGAAATGTTCAAGTTGGAGAAGTGTACAGATTCTGCGGTATATGTTCATAACTCTTTATACAAACTGTCCTCAGAGGAAAATGTTGTCCCTGTAACACTGTTTGAAGGTAAAATGCTACACGAGAAGTTATGAAGGGGGGGTCCGCAACAGTGAAACCATAACTCTCCTGGTAGCTTTTTAGCTCCAAACAGTGTTCAGGGACCCATTTTTTTTTTTTTTTTTTAAAGTAAAGTTTGTGTATTCAGTTCAGAAAATATTGCATAGAATTGTTTCCCTTCTCCATCTTTCATATTTCACTCCATAGTGTACCTTTAAGGAAAAACCTTGAATCAGTGAATTGTGTCAGACTTTTAGATGGAGTCATGCACATGCATTTTTTGTACTAAGAATCAACAACTACAATCTTGGGCCTCATTCCCCAACCATTTAGAGAAAGACATTTCTTCTTAAAACCCACTTACACAATTTTCAAGAAGATTCTGACATTCACCAAAGTTTTATAACTGGAAACACTTAAAAGCACTCTAATGCACATTTGAGTGATGATATATGACAGGGAAAAATCACATGTTATTGTGTTTTCCTTAAATGTGCACATCTTTATTTTTTGACTGACCTACAGTACTGCGTATGCATATTGGGCCTCATTCACCAATATCCTCCTGAGTTTTTTCTTCAATTTTATTTAAAGATCCTAATGAAAAGTATCAAGTAAATCATGTTCAATGTTTTTTTTTTTTTTTCTGTATATCAAAGAAATTGGCTTCAAACATATTGAATCAACCTGGAACCAAGCCGAGCCAAAAATGCATCGTAGTTCATAGAAAAGTCCAATGTTGTGTCAAATTTCTGAGAGCCAAATTTCCTTGAACATCTTTGTTGACTTGACACCTTACCATCTCCTTTATCATAACTTTGTTTTGTTTGTGTTTGTTAAACAGCAAGCATACCCACTAGTGAAACAGAGTCAGCGAACACCGAAAATCACAATGGAGGGGAGGAAAAATCTCCCTGTTGTGGACCCCTGTGGTGAGTATGACTTTATTCATACAGTAGCAAATGACCAGAGGTATACTTCTTATTATTGATAGACTCAAGGCTAGTGGATGGACACAATGGCATGTCAAAAATTATAACTCAAACACAAAGTGCACCTGTCGTTGCCCTATAAAGTTGACTCATCTTTTATTCTCCCCAGTCAAAAAATTACTAAGTCAAAATGCAGGTTAGTACCTTGGTAGCTCTATCCTGGTACTGTATGAAACCGCATGGTTAGATGCCTTTTTCATTCGTTTTTTTCAACTCACCTTGCATGCCTCAATGTTACCTCATATTTGAACTTTGCACCCTGATCCCGCCTTGTTAACTCAACTTAATCAAAACCCAGTTACTTTTTGTCCAGTGTTCTTGAAGTTTATTGTGTTTCATTGTATTTCACTTCACTACATTTGTAACTGCTTCAAACCAAATACATTTAACCTTCAAATTCAGAAAATGAACTCCAAATTGAGGGGAAAGTTATTTGTTTTTTAGGAATAAAAATTACTACAAGTTTTTACACTTAAACTAAACACTTTGGAATGTTGGTGCGTCTATCCTTACCTTTGTTTCTGAAGTGGACATTTTTTTGTTGGTCAGTCGTCAGGGGCGACGTTGGAACCGCTTCTGCCGCAGGAAGTGTCGTACAGCAGTAAAATCTGTGACATTTTATTGGCTCGTCATACTTTTGGTGTTCCTCAACACTCTCACCATCGCTTCCGAGCACTACAACCAGCCAGACTGGCTGACTGAAGTACAGGGTATCTATTTCTTTCTATTCTGTTCTGGTAACAAAACTTATATTTAGTTAATATTTATGTAACTTTGTAACTGTATAATCATTCCTGATTTAAGTCTTTTCTCTTTCAGATGCAGCCAACAAAGTTCTCTTGGCGATGTTCACCTTGGAGATGCTCGTGAAGATGTATAGTTTGGGGCTGCAGGCCTACTTTGTGTCCTTGTTTAACCGCTTTGACTGTTTTGTGGTGTGTGGAGGCATCCTTGAGACAATCCTAGTTGAACTGGCGATCATGTCTCCGCTGGGTATCTCTGTTTTCCGCTGCGTACGTCTCCTTAGGATCTTCAAGGTTACACGGTGAGCAACAAACGGGCAACTGTTTGGATCGCATTAGTGTTTGATGTTTCCCTTTCATTGGTTCAATGGGGGATTAACATTTCAATACTGATTAGGGGAATTTTGTGTTTTCTGAGTGTTCATTTGTTGCATGTTATTTCTTTTCAAGTCATTGGGCGTCTCTAAGTAATCTGGTGGCCTCTCTGCTCAACTCCATGAAGTCCATCGCCTCCCTCTTGCTGCTGCTCTTCCTCTTCATCATTATTTTCTCCTTGCTTGGAATGCAACTCTTTGGAGGAAAGTTTAACTTTGATGAGACTGTGACCAAAAGGAGCACATTTGATAACTTCCCTCAGGCCCTGCTCACAGTTTTCCAGGTGAGCGTTTGGTTTTATTTCACTTCATTCAAAACCAATTTGCAATATTTGTACCATTGGATAGACGAAAGACAAAACTAATTTGAGTGAGAAAGAAGGCTTGAAGATATCGATAACGAGTGTTGTTCAGAAAAAAAACGGCCTCAGCTATCTGCCTTGTCTTGAGGTCTATTTTACAGAGGATTTTGCAATAATGAAAACCCCCAATTTAATGGGGGTTCCCAAACTTTTCAGCCCACGACCCCCAAAATAAGGGTCCCAGAGACGAACCCCCACTGTCCCTGTAGATGGTTAAGGCATATAGTGTAGCGCACTGCCTCACACTAATATGCTTATCCAAACACTGGAAACACATGTATGTTCTGTATATGTATCTAGGGTAGACCACCAGAGGCCATACCAACAAAATCATGTGTGACCCCTAGCCCTCTTCAAAAGAAGTCTACTAACCTGTTGCATCCAAATGTCTTGTTTCAAACTTTGAGGTTTGAGATTAAATAGTAGCTACTAGGGCTCTCAGTATTAAGTAGTTAATCCCAATTAACTAAGATCCGAAATGAATGCATTCATTTGTTTTAATTGGCCTGTACACACAAAGTGATGACACTGCTGCTTCTTTGAATGTCTCATTTAACAAAAAAAAAATCTCCTAGACATCGCAGTTGACGAGTCAAAAAGTAATATCCACCTCAAGAAATCTAACATTTCACTTTTTTTTACCATTCCTTTGAGCTGTTTTCATTTAGTTTCTGTTCCCTAACAAGTTCTTTTTTCTGTGGTTAAGTCAATGCTGTAACATTGTATCTACCAGAAGGTCCTTACTTTACTTGACTTTTGTGCAATTGAAGAGAAACCTTGCACTAACAACACAGTATTGTCTAAATAAATGACATGTGGCATAACATGAATAGTGTTGCCTTTTCAACTGTTCGTACAGGTTATTGAAATGGCTTCCACTGCCTATTGTGGCTATTTTTTTGTTTTTTTTTTCTCTCCAGATTTTGACAGGAGAAGACTGGAATACTGTAATGTATGATGGAATCATGGCGTACGGTGGTCCAGCCTCCTCTGGAATGATTGTCTGCATTTACTTCATCATCCTCTTCATCTGTGGAAACTGTATCCTACCAGCCCCAAACAAACACAAAAGCTCACACTCTTTTCTTCAGAGAAGAAACACCCATGTTTTCATGCTTTAATGCATGAATCTGTCCAATATTTAGCCAATTGATGATGTTTCTTATTTTTTAAAACACATTTGGGTTTTCATGTTGGTCAGTATTTTTTTTCTTAATTCATGTGAACAGACATCTTGTTAAATGTCTTCTTGGCCATTGCTGTTGACAATTTGGCAGACGCAGAGAGCCTCAACTCAGCACAGAGGGAGGAGAAGGAGGCCAAGAAGAGAAAGAATAGTGCCAAGTACAGCTTAAAACACCTTAATATGGCACAATCTGATATCTGTTAAACATTTTTTTGCAAGCTCTTTCTATTGGCAGTAAAAATGTCCTTCTAGTCACTCCCTGTCCCATACATGTCTTTAACAGGGATGTAGACACGGAGAAGAAGAGGGTGGAAATATTAGAAAGTATGGAAGGAGACACTAAGGTAAACAAACAATTGATTTAATCACAAGTTATGTCAATTAAATAATTAATAGAATACTCATAAACTTAATCAAGACCAATTGTCCTAAAATGCATTATTTGTACAGACAGCTTAAGAATGCCTAACGTGGTTACTGTGTTTAGTTGTCTGCAGAGATTGCAGTGGAAGAAGACAAAGAGCTGTATCCTGTTGTTGACTTTCCAGGTAAGAGGGACTTGTTTTAAGGGAGAACTCAAATCCAGGTAACAAATGATACATAACTGCATCCAACATTTTTGTTTTGTGATTGATTTGTCTTAAAAATGTGAGAAACCACAAAAAAGCTCTCAAGATTGTTTCACCAACTAGAACTAATTTGAGGTGGGATTGTTGACATATCCAGCTTTACCTTTAGGTAAGATTATTGACTGTATAAAATGATGGATGCATCTTTTACCACCTCCTGTTAGGTATATCAAAATATTGAGCCAATGGGCGCAATGTGCACTGATGACATCACTGGGGCCAGTGTTGCACAGTGGAGACTCAAATTGATGTCCCATTCTTTCTGCTGAACAACACCACATTTAATTTCCTGATAATGGGTTAAAGGTTTTGTGTGTGTGTGCGCTATGAAAGAATTCTATCAATTTAATGATTGTGATGATATTTTCTGGTCAGTGTTACTCTGACAGAAAAAAATATTAAAGAATGGGAGTTGATTTAAATCAACTGAAAATCACTGTTTTACTGTCAGCAGGGTCATTTAAGTGAATGTTAAACAAATGGGGTTATTCCAGTGCTGTGGCATGCATCTTGATGTGCTTATCGGAACTTTGATCTTGTCTGCTGTGTGATGTCAGGCTAAAACATCCAACATACGCTTTCATTTTGGTAGTGACTACTGTGTCAGCATGCACTGCAACCGTCATGTCTGAACCTGTCATGTTTGTACTGTAGGTTTCATTTTACCACGTTATTTTATCCTACAAAAGTTTGTGAGATGACTCCCCCAGACCCCCCTACCTGCATTTTTTTCTCACTTCTTTACAGTTTGCAGAAACACAGTCTAATAATTGGTATATTTATTATACCATACGATTGACTGATGTGTTAAATAGTCCAAAGAAGAAAATATTCTTGTGTTAAGGCAGACACTCACAATTAAGGATAGTTCAAGGCCTCTTGTGTTAGTATTTGTTGGTTTGCTTTCTATTGCTGGTCCTCCTCTAGTCTGCTAATCAATGCAAACAGAACCACACAAGCTACATTTGTAGATTCATATAAAATAACTCATTAAAAAAAACCCACATCAATAATTTATTTAATCGCTGTTAATTGCTCTTAATCACATTTTTAATCACATTTGATATTCCATTATTTTGAATTTCAAAGTTTCAAGAAGTTTTGTGTGCTTTTATTTTGTATTAATGTACTGTCTTAAACGTAGGGTACTTTACTTCATGTTTAGATTCATATCTGCCTTTATTTTGAAAGGAAATAAGGAACTTGTGGTAGACCAAAGATGTTAACAGGAACGGGGTACAGTTTATGACCTACACTGCAGCCATTCAGTAGAGGGAGCTCCGAATGTTTGGCTTTCTTTTTCATGGAGCTGTGTTGTCCATCTTTTTACAGTCAATGGGGAAGATGCAGGAATGATCAGGAAGATCATATACAAGAAGGAAACTCCAACAATAACTTAGATTTAGAATAGACATTTTTTTCAGTTGCAATGAAACTAGTTTATGAAACAACTAACACAACTGATGAATTGTTCTTTTATTAAAAAGATACAAAAAGTACAATTCTGTCTCCTAGTGTTTGAAAATGACAAGGATGGCAGTCTTCAAGAAGTCCCGCCAGGACCTCGCCCTCAGAGGCTTTCCGATCTCACCATCAAAGAGAAGATTATCCCCATCCCGAAAGGCAGCGCCTTTTTTATCTTCAGCAGCACTAATCCGTGAGTCTCAGGCATGTTGTTTGGTTGGACTGGGGTTTGGTGGTATTTACAATGTACTAACTTCTGTCTCCATCTTTTCTTCTTTGCTTTTTTTCCTGTAGGTTTCGTGTATTCTGCCACAAGGTGATCAACCATCAGATCTTTACTAACCTCATCCTGATCTTCATCATGCTAAGCTCCGTCTCTCTGGCTGCTGAAGACCCAATACGCAACTTCTCTGCTCGCAATATTGTATGTGAACTACCACCTCTGTAGTCTTACTGTCTTACAAAAGCTCCTCTAACTAATTATGGAAGAGGGATTTTTTTCTGTCTCACCGCAGTTGACAGTCAACTTTTATCCCAGATTACATTTTACAGGTTGTATTAGAAAAAGCACAGATGTAAATGAGAAATATGAATATGAATTCTGACCATGTTGGCATAAAAATGTTTCTTGTACACTTTCTCATATACCTTAGTGATTTTTCACTTAAGCCTGACTCTAATTGTATCTTTATGCTGAAACTTACTGTTCTGTTATCCTGGTAGTACTTGCTGACTTTAACTTGTGCATTGCCTCTTGCAGGTACTTGGATATTTTGACTATGCTTTCACGGCAATCTTTACAGTTGAGATCCTGTTGAAGGTAAATGACTCTTGTGCTGTTTTGTGTTCTGCTGAGAAGCTAGTACTTTAACATTGCATGTTTCCTTAATGTTTGATGATATAGAAAGGTCATTTTATGTATTATTTCAGTAGATATCTTACAGATTGCTCCTTTAGATTTAAAATTCTGGACTGGGGCGATATTTTTTCCTAATCTGACCTAAGATCATGCTTTAAGTTACTCTACCTGAACATCTCATCTTTTGTTATTTTTGATTAATATAATTCTAAAGAATATACTCAAAGAAAACCAAATATTTCCTCAAGGGTAGATTGAAGGCTCTGTTTTATTTATTCAAGTTTTTCTAGTGCATGCCCTGCTTAAATCTGCACAGAGAATGAGTGCAATGCAGATCATTAACATGCAAATTGAAATGAATGTAAGTAATGGTAATATGAGAAGAATATATGAAATCAGCCAAAAATTGTTGGTACATAAATAATATTTTTTTATTGATACAGGTTTTTGGAACTTGATCATTAACCTGAATAATAGCAGTATACTTTACAATCAGGTTTCAGCCTGACAGGGTTTTGTTTCATTAGTCCTGAATGTTTTTTCTCCTCTGTCAAGATGACGGCATTTGGAGCATTCCTCCATAAAGGAGCATTCTGCAGAAATTACTTCAACCTTTTAGACCTGCTGGTCGTTGGTGTGTCTCTGGTCTCCTTTGGAATTCAGTAAGTATTATTCAAATGTTCTTAATGTCTAATTCTAAATTCATGATCCAGCAACTTTATTATTTAAACACCACGTCTGCTACTAGCGAGGATAAAGGAATGACTGTTGCTCAGTAGTGCTCTTTATTATTATCAGCTGAATCCACTGGTGTTTTTTGTCGTCTTTAAAAGGTCTTCTGCTATCTCAGTGGTGAAGATTCTCCGTGTTTTAAGAGTCCTGCGTCCACTCAGAGCCATTAACAGAGCCAAGGGACTGAAGGTAGGAACATTGCTGTTTGTTTGTTTGTTTGTTGTTTTCTTAGATATGTCCTCATTTGTAATTGCGCTTTCAACTTCAACTTTGTCTTTATTGCCCCAGAGGGTAAATTTGGTTTGCATCCAGGTGAAAACAATGAACATATAGAAACACAGGCACATAGACTCAGACAACAAACACCTTGAACAACATTAAATATGTCATTACTAGAGTTCATCAGGTAACGACAGGAAAAAGAGAATGCATAAAAACGACCATGAAACCATCATTTAAAGAAAATAAAACTCATCAGGGTCAACATTGAAGTTCAGTCGTTTGATGACCTGAGTTATAAAATAATTTTTTCAACCTACTGGACTTTGCTTTTTGGTAATCTGTATCTCCTGCCTGAGGGCAGAAGCTGAAACTCATGAAAGGATGTCGAGGACATTGTAAGATGTGTTGAGCCTTAGCTACAGCTTACTGAAGGTGAGAGCTTTTGCTTAAGGTGCAGTACTGTCTATTTCTACTTACAGTATATACTGTGTGTCCTTTGCAGCATGTGGTCCAGTGTGTGTTTGTGGCAATCAGGACCATTGGCAACATCATGATCGTGACCACGCTGCTGCAGTTTATGTTTGCTTGTATCGGAGTGCAGCTCTTCAAGGTACGATGGAAACATAGACAGGTGGAAAGAGAGATAGGGGGACTTGGGATAAGAAACCAAATCCACAGAATCTTCAACTGTAAATTATCAAATAAAAAAGGTTGTAATTCTGACTTATCTTTTTTTCTTCAACTAAGGGGAAATTTTATCGCTGCACAGATGACGCAAAGTCTAGTCCAGATGAGTGCAAGTGAGTATCCTTTGCATGAATCTTTGTAGTTTGCAGCATTGGATGTTAGAAGTACATAGCCCAAAATACAAGTTAGTAAAAAACATCAAGGAACACAAATTGAAGCTAGAAAACACAAACTTTTGGAACAACTCAAAAACACAAAGAAACAGGTTCCAAATCGTGGACAATCGTTTTTAGTTACAAATTAAAAGAGGATAAAGCTTTCTCATAAAAAATAGCAAAAAAATCTGATTGTTGTCTTTCAAAATGTTTTTTTTTAAATCGATAATAATCAATGATAATTTGTGCATCCAATGATTGCTTTAAAGGCAGAGTCTGTAGCTTTTTCCTGAAAAAATAGAAAATAATGTCTAATGTCTTGTTTTGTGCTTATTTAAGGTTAATATTTGTATCTCTTTAATCACAGAGGTACCTACATTCTCTATAACAATGGGGAAACAGCCATTCCCATGGTAAAGGAGAGGATCTGGTACAACAGTGACTTCAACTTTGATAACGTGCTCATGGCCATGATGGCTCTTTTTACTGTCTCCACCTTTGAAGGATGGCCCACGTAAGTACTGCTTGGCCTCAAGGGAAGTTTGATATTTGTTCAACTGTGTCTGTTTCTGAAAAAAGATATTTGTACCTAAATTAGCTCTTAACTCTGTTTGACTTCCAGCCACCAAATCTGTCATTTAAGGTAGTCAGGGGTCTGGGAAAAAAGTGACAAATTTATTTTGACATTCCTGTAAGCAACAAAACTATCCCATAAAATGAGTGAAAAAAATGTAATGGACGAGGATACAGTTTACATTGTTATTGAAGTCTAGGGTTGTAACTGTTGGAGTTATAATTGGTGGGATGTTTTATTGTTCATTGACTCTTTTCTTTATGTCCCTACAGTCTACTGTACAAGGCTATCGACTCTCACAGAGAGAACCTCGGTCCCATCTACAACTACCGAATCGAGATCTCTATCTTCTTCATCATCTACATCATCATCATCGCCTTCTTCATGATGAACATCTTTGTTGGTTTTGTTATTGTCACCTTTCAGGAGCAAGGGGAGAAGGAGTACAAAAACTGCGAGCTTGACAAGAACCAGGTAAGAGGCGCTTTTGCAAACATTTTAATAACAAGGAAAAATATCAGTTTGGACATAAATTGTTTCAGGGATAGTTTTTTGTTAAGTGGTGTTGTTATTGTGGGTGTACTGGTGTCATACCTGTTTTGTGAATCTGGCCAGAGTACACACACAAACCATATTGACACAACTGCCAACGTCAGGGTTTGAATCTCAAATGTTGCCATTTTCACACAGACATCACTAGACTGCTCAAGCCTTTCATCTCGGACTGAAATCAGAGAAAAATGGCGACCATCATAACATGGTCTATGGAAGCTCAGCTATGTACTGATGTGGATGATGCCACATGATATAATGACATCTAACACCTGATTGTGATTCTGTTTGTGTGTCTGTGTCTTCTTCCTTATCCTCAGCGTCAGTGTGTAGAATATGCTCTCAAAGCTCGCCCCGTGCGGCGCTACATCCCCAAAAACCCCTACCAGTACAAGTTCTGGTATGTGGTCAACTCTGCAGGCTTTGAGTACGTCATGTTTGTCCTAATCATTCTCAACACCCTGTGTCTGGCTATACAGGTAAGTCAATCAATTAAATTTACAACAATGTGCCAGTAAATCTATCATCATCACACTCACTATTATGAATGCATAAATCTGGGAATGGAGATTACGTTATGTGTTCTATACATCTACTTTTGAGAATAATCCGAGATTGATAACCCTCTTTTATTTATTTTTATTCTCACTAAAAGACAAAATATCCACTTAGCTTCCATCATGTGTAAGCATGTTCTTTGCAGCCAGAAGAGGATTGTTATTGATACAGTGAAATACAGTATGTTTCAATGACAAACATATCTTATGCATTAGTCTCATATTGTGTCTTTCCAGCATTACGGTCAGTCTTATCTGTTTAACTACGCCATGGACATCCTCAACATGGTCTTCACGGGGGTCTTTACTGTGGAAATGTTCCTTAAACTCATCGCCTTTAAACCCAGAGTAAGTATCCTCTCCCCAACAACCCTCCCCATTCTCCCTTCATCTTCTAAATATTTGCATATTAATCTAAAACTGCAATTCCTTTAATAAATTGTTTTGTTTGGAGTTTTTCTTCCTCTAGATCCCCCTTTATATTTTATCCCTGAAATATAAGTAGTATGTTGTTAAATGAAAGCATTTCCATTTCCCTTGAAGTCTCACCCTCAAATACAGTCTTGCTGTCCCTCTTACCTCCCCTCTTTGCTCCCTGTGACTCCTTGTTTCCTCTCTCTCCACCCTCCATTAACCACCTCCCTACCTCTTATTCTGTCCTGCATCCCCACCTTGTCTACTGCCTTTCACTCTCCTTGTGCTGGCTGTGCATGCTGCCATGTTCAGGGCTATGTCGGGGACGCCTGGAACGTCTTCGATGCTCTGGTGGTGATTGGCAGTGTAGTCGACATCATACTTAGCCAGGTAGAGAGATGTACGCTTGGGAAACTCTGCATTCCCTCTTCCTACCCTTCCGCTGCACCTGCACCTTTTTTCCTTCCTTGACCACTTTCCACAATCGTCCTCCCTGTTTTGATTTTGTGTTTAGTATTTCATGTTTGCTTGAGATCATTTCTGCTTTTTCAGCAAGTCTGTTTAACCTGTTGTGGACTAAATGGTGGATAAGCACAATGTACCGTTTACATCCTGATGGGCTGGAACGTTTTCCACACCGGCTTCTGTAACTAAAGATGTCAACATTGCATTAAACCACTGCTTCATTCCAACAAGATCTTTGAAAAATATTGCCTATAATGGCCATTTTAGTCTGCCTACCACTTCAAGAGTATTGACATGAGGTTAACCAATTATCATACCTGTTTGTAGTTAGAGTCAAAACTCTCAGACTTTCTGATATCATCCTCTTTCGATCTTCACAGTTCTCTTCTCTCTCTTTTTTGACCTTTTGTTCTTTCTTTTCTTGCACTGTTGTCCCTTTTTTATTTCTCCTGTACCTTTGTGTTGCTTGTGCTTGCAGAACTACTTTGCTGATGCATGGAACACGTTTGATGCCTTAATTGTTGTGGGTAGCGTGGTTGACATTGCCATCACTGAGATCAATGTAAGTAGTCATCTATCACACATATTATGTGGCTCTCCCATGTAAGACGGCCTTGTTTTACAGTAGTTTAAAAAGTTATGTTTAAGATCTATTCTATTTCATGTTTGATTAATGTTCTTCTGAAACTCACCAACTGGCCTACAGTAAAGCGATAGCTTCACAATATGTTCTGTAGCAGATACTTCACTTTTGCAGTTCAACTGAAGCTTTTAAATGTAAAAATCTGACCATGACGCTCCTCTCCTTGTACAAAAAGGTCCAAATAGTCATTGGGGGAAATTTGTTTTGATTGCAGCTCAGTCATCATACTACAATCTTGCATGAATCATGCACCTTGTAGAAATGTACAACTACAACTTTTGAGCAAAAGAACTGAAAAGGATGAGAAACTGGTGGAGTTGTTAAAAATTGCAAGGACGTGCCCTCCCCTTTTTCCATGTTGAAGGGAAGAAGGAAAACAAAAGTTGACAGAAATTGCTGCGGCCTATAAAATAATGATGCAGTTCATATCCCATGAAGACAACCAGGGATGTCTCCGGTGAGTACCCTGAGTACTTGGGAACTCGAGAGCTGATTTCCCCACCCCTCACTTGGGATTTTGAGGGCTGCAGCTATTTATGTCCACCTTTTTTCCCTCTCCACTCCATCTTGGTACAAAGGGGAAGACATGTTGAAGAGCCATTCTTGTTCTCTCCACAACCCCATTTTCTCCTCCTTTTTCACAAGTCAGGAAAAAGCACATATTCCTAGGCGTCCTTCCTAGTTAGAAGCTTCCTGTTTGCTGTTTGCTGTTGTTTGTTGTCACTGGTCTCGAACGGCACAATTTGAATAGGACAAGACTTAAGACCTGTGACAATTATAAACATGCTTGATTTTATCGTTTGGCCAGGATGAGAAAGAGACTGCCTCAAAACAGAACAGATCAAGCCCCTTACACCGTACGGCCGAGATCAACTAAGTGCGCCCCCATTCTAGAAAAACTTTCTCATGGTCAGGTGTAAGGCCAGCATTAGAGTATCAAAACATGCTTCCCATTATCTTACAGTGCTAATGCAGTGAGCAGTGGTGTGTTTTAATGTGATTATGTACCTGGAGCATTATTTGCTGGAACAAAGCTTTGTTCAGGTTGAGCTTTAACCCATTGCCTTGAGATTGACTCAATGTCATCATGGAAGTAGCACTGCATGCCTCAGTTTGAGTGCCAGATGGGTGGAATGACAAGAATAGCTGGGTGTCATCAGCATTGCGGTGGTAGAGAAAGTCGTGCACAGAGAAAAGCCTGTTGACATTCTGAATGGTCCAGCCATCAGGAACGATGTGTGAAGGCATCACAAAGACTGAGACACAAAATCTTTTTAGTTTGGAGAGGAGGGTTTTGATGGTTCATTGTTTCAAGAGCAGCAGACAAAGGAAGGAGTATAGGGAAAGAGGAGAAGAGCACTGCTTTGAAACAGGTTCATGAGTGTTTAGGGGATTGTTCTGTTAGAGGGAAGCAGTTAAACACAGCACAGTCTGCAATCTAGGAAAAAAAAGGAATAGAAGCCACAGAACTGTCAACATTTAATGATTTGTGGCATTATTAGAAAAAAGAAAAACGACCATATAGGCACATACATATATTTGATACGTATACATGAACATGTATTAACTACATGGGTAACTCGCATCTTGTCTATGTATGCATCATTTATGTACTTATTAACTCATTTACTTGATTATTTTGTACGAGTGAGGGTTAACAAAACAAAATAAAGTGTTGAGATAACTTGGAAAAACAGGAAATGTATCTTTGTGCTAAAATTGTTGACTGACACAATAATAGGGCATGATTTCAATCAGGCCTGCTATCAAAAGTTTGTGTATTTTGGAAGCAATGGGAGAAACTTCATGATTAGATATGTTATCACCTCATGTACAATGTAAAATATATTTGGGTAAAATGAGAGTATAAATATTAAAATAAGAAACACTAAAACCTGACCTTTTTCTTTAAGAAAGTGTTCTTTTCTCTTCGTTGTCGTTACATAAGTGTAAACTTTCATAAAGAGCTAAATTGACTTCCTCATTGAATGCTTGCATCTTCTGTCTGGTGTTGCTGCTAAGGCTGTAAAGCTCTGGCATGACTGACTACGCGCTTCACCATGATGGTGTCATTGTTTCATATGTACATAGATTTATGTTCGTAACAACATGTCAAAGTTAAAGTTCAGAGCAGTGTGATGTTTGGGAATGGCTTGCAGCTCGACATCACTCAAATTAATCTTGGGCTTTTGGTTTCAAGTTGGCAGCCCTACCTGTTGTCAAGGTGAAAGTGGAGCCTGTGGTAAGATGAAGCCCCTCCTTATTTAATTTAAGTCCCCCTTCCTATCTGTGATCATCCAAAAGTCCTACCATCGAGTTGTTTTTGTCAGCACTGTGTCACATGGCTCACATATTGCAATGCTTCTCGTCTCACTTATCTGGTGACATTTTAAAGTCTGTGGTTGCTCAGTCTCATTGCCTTTGTCTTGCTTTGACTACACCTGGTGTGTTGCATTTTGGCTTTGGTTTCATTGTTCATCCGTCTTGACATTTAAGGCTCCATCGTGATGTTCATATACATTGTCAAAAATCTGATTACCGTCTGTTTGCCTTTTGCCTGTAGGTTCTTCCTGTTGCCTTCTTTGAATCAGTGATTTAGAAATACATGTCATGTTTGTACATAGTCACTCAGCATGCCTATTGATTGTTGCCATGCAAAGTTGCAGAGAAAAACTACAAATGTGGAGATTTGTTATAGTGTTCATTTACTGTAACTTATACATGTTGAATTAAAGAATGCATGTTTGTCTGCATGAGTGGTACTGACCTTTAGGGCTGTATCTCTGTTTTTGAACAGAGAACTTTTTTTTTAATCTTTAAACCACTTCCTTCTCCTCCTCTTTAGAACACAGAGGACAGTGCTCGCATCTCAATCACCTTCTTCCGCCTGTTCAGAGTGATGCGGTTGGTAAAACTGCTGAGCAGGGGGGAGGGCATCAGGACATTGCTGTGGACCTTCATCAAGTCCTTTCAGGTGAGAGTGGAAACATGCAAGCATTCAAAATGAATCGCAGTAATTAAAAACGATAAGATAAGAGATTGCACTTGGCATCGTCAAATGTTGGAGGTCAAACCTTCTTAAAAAGGGTGCCTGGAATTTAGTCTATAACCAATTCTAAAAATGTTCATCAATAATAAAAAAAGTCAAATTTAATCTCTCAGGGTATGTAAACATATTTTTTTCGTAATTTTTATATAAAATACAAACAAATGTATGAAATACAAACATATGTATCTTTGAAAAGATACATACGTCCAGGACATCTGTGTTGGCTTTCAGGCTGTGCAAGTTCAGCAGTTATGTGGAAAATTATTGACATGGTTTTTAAATAACAAGATATAACCAGGCCTGAGGAACACAAGAACAGTGTGACTTATTCTACAAGTGAAATAAGGAGCTGTTGGTGTCATTGGAGTTTGACTGACAGGTGTTAACATATTTCACGTATTTTACTCATTTTCATCAAGTTTAAATTAGTCTCGGAGCTCCTCATGTCTGTGAAGTTTCTTGCTTAAAATCACTCTTGTATTTGATCAAACCCCTCTATTTCAGCCCTGCTCAGAACAGGCTGTTTCTGTGTCTGTACCTTTAAATGCAAATGAGCTGTTTTTGACCAGGCCCCTCTCTGGAAGGATTTGGGTGGCTTGGGCTGTCTTGCACTATGCCATATTGTTTATGGTGGAAAGGCGCTCTCAGGGGGCAGAACAAACACCTAGCTGGGGGAGTGTCACCCACCTGGGGGAGGGGTTAATTTCCTTTGTGATGTCATGAATGGAAAACCTCCAAATGGCCTGTTTGAGCATACATTTTCTGAAAATGCAGGCAGACAGGCAAAAGATGGAGAGGGTGGACTTTTCTCATAATTGGGAGGTTTGTTTGAAAAACAAGGCAAAGTGTATTTTTCATAATATGTGACCTTTAAGTAAAAGCTTCTCTTTTTCTTTGTGTGCAGGCTCTTCCTTATGTTGCACTCCTGATCGCCATGCTGTTCTTTATCTATGCTGTCATTGGCATGCAGGTAATATTGTGTTTATTCTTAATAATCAAACACAAAAATTACACAAACTTGCTAAGATATCCTGTTAAATAAAAGTCATCTTTGGTTAATGATTCCATTGTGTAACATGTGATTTCATAGTCATCACTTTGTCTTATTATTTCAGATGAAAAGGGGAGTTTGACTTTTTCTAGTAACTATATTTATTTTTCTACTCGTAGGTGTTTGGGAAAATAGCCATGGTGGATGGAACACAAATCAACCGCAACAACAACTTTCAAACGTTTCCCCAGGCTGTCCTTATGCTGTTCAGGTGTCTGTCTTTTAAAAAACATTAATCATCAGTCATCATTCGGGCTGTATTGTGTTAATTGCAATATGCTTAGTATCTAAATTTCGTGCCTACTTAAAAAAAAAAAAAAGAATTCATCACATGCTATTTTGTCCCTTTAGGGGCTTCTTTATAAAAAAAAAAAAAGGGAATAAGTACACTTTGCTTCAGGCAGAACAAAACACAAAATAAACACATAACATGAAACAGTCTTTTAAAAAAAGGTTAAGTTAATCGTGAACCTTAACTAGTTAATTTAGAAAATAATTAAAGTGGAACTCCTGGACTTGGTTCACTGGACTTCTAGTGTAACACTTGTATTCTTTCATAAAATTAAAATAATCACTATTCTACAGAAGAAGTTGTTTGTAGCGGTCTCCTGCCTCTAAGTCATGGTTTCAGACCACACTGGTTTAGCAGTTTAACCATTATTTTAATAATAAACCAAAAGTAAAGATCATAAAGTAAATTTCTTTTTATTCATTGTATTCCTAAATCGAGTATTTGGTAAGAGTTGCTTTATATTGTTATAGACCTCAAAATCTTTTGAAAGGCAAAATTATGGATTTTTAAATGAGTGATTAAAAATGGGATTAATCATGAATACCAATACAGTGATCAGTCGTGATCTAAAACAAATATTGTTTAACAGCCCTGTCATAAATGCATATAAACATTTTTTTTCGTTCGTTTTCTTTCCATGTTAGGTGTGCCACAGGTGAGGCCTGGCAGGAGATCATGCTGGCCTGTCTCCCCGGGAAGCTGTGTGATCCAGAGTCAGACTACAACCCCGGAGAGGAGAGAACCTGCGGCAGTGGCTTTGCCATTATCTACTTCATCAGCTTCTACATGCTATGTGCTTTCCTGGTAATCTTCAGACATTTCAGTGTCTTCAGTTTATCCACTTTAGCAGGCTGTTACTGTATACCATGGGGTAAGCTCAAAATATTGCATGTCCTGGTTTCAGATCATCAACCTCTTTGTAGCTGTCATCATGGATAACTTTGACTACCTGACTCGTGATTGGTCCATTCTTGGGCCGCATCACCTGGATGAGTTCAAAAGGATCTGGTCTGAATATGACCCAGAAGCCAAGTGAGTACTTAGGACCCATTTGAAAGGAAACATTAACCACAGTATTGTTTTTTAGTATTAAGGACCAATCTGCAACAGGAGGGTAATATTGAGTTTATATTTAGGAAGTAAATGTGCTAGTATTCAATAGTGGATAGCCCAAAGGGAAACATTGGACATGTAGCAGCAGGAACTGGGGATTAAACCCCCGAACTTCTGGCTGAGAGATGACCACCTCTGCAACTGAGCCACAGGCAATCTTAGAAACCATCAGCCAATGACGTCTGACAGCCATATAGCCTTTTTTAGTTTGGGTTTGATGACCAACTTTTTGGTTGTTCGAGTACAGCCAGTGGTTAAACATAAATGACTTCCAGCCAAACTTCCATCCCCAAATGTTAACAGTCTGAAAATTGCAATTTGAGAAAGAATAGTGGAGTTGGACTGATTCCCTGCTGCACTTGCATTTACATATCTGTATAAAGACATGAATTAAAGCTAAATAGTGCAATGAAGTACAGTACAATGAAGAAGATTGCATTTAAACCCTTTTGCACACAGACTTTTTTTTATCTTCATACAGACTATGCCTGCTGAATTGCTACTCGGACTACAAACAGAAACTAGAATATATCTGTTACCATAATTGTCCTGTGCCTGAATTTATGTGTAGGGATGTTATGCAAATAGAGATGAAAATGAAGGTAATGCAAAAGTGGACAAATACAGAAGGACAAAGTTGCTTACTTTTTTTTTGTTGCGAAACATTTGTATTAAATAATCCTCTAAAATGCTGATATTTAGTTACAGATATGTTGTTGGAGTGTAAGCACTTGGCTGCATAGAGTTGGACTGATTTTTATTCCTTGACAGCAAGTTTGATTAATGATGTAGGACTCTATATCCTATGCTGTCTCTATATCCTTGAAGTGCTTGAACTGATGATCTAGGACTTATCAGTTACTGTAGTGGCCATGATGACTGTGCATAGTATTATAATTATTCCTATTTAAAAACATTGTATTTTCAGGGGCAGGATAAAGCACCTTGATGTGGTGACTCTGCTGAGGAGGATCCAGCCACCGCTCGGCTTTGGCAAGCTCTGCCCTCACAGGGTGGCCTGTAAGGTGGGTTTGGGCAACTTAAGAGACACACAAAATTCCTTTTTTCCCCCCTGATGTTGCCTTTGTTGATCTGTACTTCGAAATCTGTTGCAGCGTCTTGTGGCGATGAACATGCCCTTGAACAGTGATGGGACAGTCATGTTTAATGCCACCTTGTTTGCGCTGGTTCGCACGGCTCTAAAGATAAAAACTGAGGGTGAGTCTGTCAATGCATATCTGCAAAAGGTATTGATTTAAAGATTGTTACTGTTTGATTGTTGCAGGGGTTTTTTTTTACCGTAAAACTGTGAATAGAAAAAAGTAGGGACTATGATATACTCTAAATTTTAAGTTGCTTGACCAAAAGGTAAATAGATAGTGCTCAAGTGAGTGACTGGGTCACAGTGCTCGGAGCTTAAAGTCATACAGTAAAGGTACTCTAGGGCCTGATTTACTAAGATCCCAATAAAGAGTACTAAATTGCAGGCTTGGTAAATCGTAAATGATTGGCATTTTCTCCTCTCAGTATCTTGCACCCTAGGGCAGAAACGCCCCATATTGCATATTCATGAAGGCAAATGTACTAAATGGACAATACGTGTTGTTTTGCTCCTATTAACCAATCCTCACTGCACGCCGTTAGTAGATCAGATAGCACATTTGTTTGCCTGGTGTCAAGTTTGCACACCTTTTAAGACACTCAAACCTTCAGTAAATCAGGCCCTAGAAGTATGATTATTATTTCCCAAAGAAACTCCTTTTGCAGATATCAATTTGTTTTGATCTTCTCGTGGATTGCAGGATTAGATGTTTGAAGGTCATGTTATGGTACTTACATGTGACTTATTTCATTGTAAATTATTGATGGATCCTTATAATCAGGAAACATTTAATGGAACCAAAACTTGGCAGGAGATGATGTGTAAGAAGCATGTTAGCAAATCATAATGAATGCTGCTATAAGAATGCTAATGCTAAATTCCAGTACAAGAATATCTGTTATTCAGGCACAGGCTCAGGAGATGTTAAAAAAAAAGCAAACCAGAGGCCCTCTGTGTAGAAACACTGAATAGAATAAGAACAGAATAAGAGAAATAGAATTAGTATTCATAGGTACTGAGTGCTTATTACCAACCTTTCCGCCATCTCCAAGGTAACCTGGATCAAGCCAATGAAGAGCTTCGAGCTGTGATAAAGAAGATCTGGAAGAGGACCAGTATGAAGCTGCTTGACCAAGTGGTGCCTCCTGCAGGCGGTCAGTGGATATTACACACATACACACACTGCATTGAAGGGGTTCAGGTGCTTTTCACAAGGGCAAAGGTTTCATTTTTAAACATTGCAGGGCAACATTTTTTGAAGTCAGTCATAATTCATGCACTCTGGTGTACCTTTAAATAACCCTTGTTTTGGTTTAAAAATTTTATCGAAGTAAATATACTTCTAAAATGAATGAATTAAGTAAAACAAAGCACATTTCTGGTTCTTCTCCTGCATAAGGTAAACATTCTAGCAATATTAAAACTTTAGGAATCCACTTTGTTGATTTGAGCATGGGTTACATTAAACTTGTGAATAATATTTCAAAACAACAAAGAGATACAATTCTGGTTACTTTCAAAGGAAATTGAATAAATGCCTTCCTTAGTCGTAAACATAATCCCTCACCCCTCTCCCCCCAAAAAAAAAAAAAAAAAAATTAAAATAAAAGCATGTTTAAAGAACGTGTTTACATCATGTTGAAAACTTTGGATAGATAGAAAAGACGTGGAATATGCAGCTAGACCTTTTCTTTTCAGGAGACATTTTTACTTATCACATGAGGAGAAGAATAGTTATTAGAAACACCATTAATGATGGGGCTGTTCTTTTTAACTGTCTGAGTGAACATAAGTGCAACATGGATAGTATAAACCATACCAACATTATAAAACTGCTGAAGCACTTTGAAATTAAATATCATTCATTTAATAATTTACATCTATTTTCCCCACTGTGAACGCTAGCTAAAAGCTTGCTTGCTGACAAAACTAGATTTAAAGAAACAGAAATGTCAATTTATAAATGCACTGGTAGGATTTAAAAAACTTATGTCTTATCACAGAAACCATACCTGACATTGGCACTGAACGCATCGCCAATGTCTTATTACAAACTTTGTAAAGTCACCTACTCAAAGTGGCTGTTTCTAATAAATGGAAGCCACATTGTAGGAGTTTTATAGCTCGAAGATGCAGGTATGTATTCAGAGGTTAATCCGTCTGCTGCTGTCTGCATCCTCTTCCTGACCATAACCTACTTAAAGAGATCAACAGAGAGATAAACCATTGACTGTTAAAGAACTTTTTCTTCTTTTCTCAGACACTCTTATCTCTCCTGAAGTCAAGACGTAGCTTCTTCTTTTTTTGGTCATAACCCCGTATTTTTAGTTAATCGGACCGTCTACGGTTCTGCATTCACTCTAGTGCTTCCTTTCTGTCAGTTTTATATCACATAAAAGCCCTCCTACATTGGGCCTACATTTTTTTAAATTAAAGATAGTTTTGGATATTTTGTATACTTTTTGTCTAATGCTGCTGGTACAGGTTAGGATAGTTGATGGATGGAGCTGCTGGTTAAAACAAAAAAATAGTTCACACAAGTCACAATACATACATGCATAACTTTTGCAAATGAAAAATTCATTTTGTACATTATACACAACTTTTTAAAAGTTATGCAGATTTTCAATTGGATATTTTCAGAGAACTGCCAGGTAAGAGGTTTTCACATATTTGCAGGTCAAAACTAATCTCTCATCTTTCTCAATTATGATGATCTTGGTTTGCCATTGTGTTTTTCTTTTTAACATATTAATGATAACCATTAGGTTTGAATTTCATTCAAAATTCTATATAACTAAACCTGTGTACTGTCATGCACATACAGCCACTTGTAGTTGTGACTTTGTCATTTTTTCAGTGTACTTCTATGCTTGAAATGCGTCTGCTTTGCTGTGTTTAAGAAATTGCCAAACTTAACACAATTGCATGTCTTCTGTGCATTAGTTTGCTAACCCCCTTTTTCTTTCTCTCATCTTTTCTGCCAAGCTTCTCTCCACCAGAGCTGCATCTGCTTTCAGTAGCATGCTTAGTCATGGCTGTCTTCCCTTCTCTTTCTGCTATCCTGAGCTCTCTGTGGCAGTTCTGTTTTAGTTTGGTGGCATGATACTGCTGTTACCTCTTTCCTAAAACTGCCATGAAAGAAAACTACATGAATGAACTGTACTGTACCGTAGTGTACCAAGACTAGGTTGATGCATTATAAAGAAAAGGACTCTGCTTTTAGAGAATTACTTGATTCAAGAGAAGAAAATTATGTGCTTTGGAAATATGTACATTAATGTACATTTTTAAAATCTGTATTGGAGATCAGGAAAATGAAAAGTGGTTCACGTTCTTTCCATAATATAAAGTTTATTGAAAGTTGTCACACTAAAACGTTGTGCCAAAATAATACTAAATAAATGTAACAACCTGAAATATATTTTTGGTAACAGGTTTGTTCGTTCTGAACTTAACCCTTCAGAGTTTCTTTCTGGCTGTGTCAGGAATATTGTCAGCTGCTCTCAGATGGATCAATGTCATGTCACGCAGTATTCCTTTTCTGTGACTGTCCGAGGGAATGATGGGTCTTATTTTAAACAATCATTTCACTCACCTCTTTTACCTTTACTTTATTCTCTGGCGAAGAAAAGCTAGCTATGATTAAGCCTTTTTTTTTCATGTTAATTCCCTCTCCACTGACGTCTTCCCCAAGTGGTTAGCTCGGTCAGACTTACGCTTTATTAGCATCCCTGATGTAGTGATGAAGGGATGAGGTCAAGGGTCATGGATGGAGTGATTAGGGCAAGTGGCGAGGGAAATATTGATGAAGGGATGGAGTGTTGAAGGGATGAGGGTAAAGGGTGAAAGGGATGTAGAGATGAGGGAGGAAGAGAGAGAATAATTAGCTGTTGAGGTCAGATGGATGTATAGGGGAAGGATGATTGAGTGGTGTCAGCTTGTGCTGGAAAGACATGAGGAAACCAGAGGGGTCCAGACTCTGGATGGGAGTTGTCTCTTTGTTGCTTTCAGTGGTTCCTAGGTTCGGCCAAAAAAGTTTTTAAAAAAAGGGGGGAGTTATGTGAAAGCAGAGACAAGGGAATAAGAACGAGTAACATATGGGGGATGTTTTTTTAGTCTATGTTCTTGAACCAAGTATTTAAAAAATACTTGTGTGTTTATCCTTAATAGAGTAGCTCTAAATCTGACCAACTCTGCTCCTCTCTTAAGTCTCTCTTCATTGCCTTCTTCTTTCATGTGCTTCCTGTTACAGATCAGGAGTTTTTTTCATAGACATATATAAATATAAAATAGTTCTGCTTGTCTCTGAATCTGTGAAATGATACATCTTAGATGTATTCATTCTCTAGTCAATATCTCAGTATGTGTGGCAGTAAATGAATAGATGGAAATTACTGTTCTAAAATGTAATCATGAGTCGAAATCAGATTTCGGTACTTTCAGCGGTATGAACTCAATAGAGTGTACATTGACTGGCTGTTTGTATACTTTCTTTTTGTGTGTGGGTTACGTTTCTCTTAACCACATACAGTTCCTCAGAAATGGAGCAAGATACAACCTGCACGTGTAGAGATCATCTTTTGTTGGCTACAAGACAGCTGCATGGATTTTTGAGTGTGCATCTGTAAGACTGTGAATTTTAGTCTCACAGATACTGCATACTTAAAAATAACATAAAGCTCTTAAATAAGAGCCCCTAAGCCTTCAGTTGTGATATTTAAACACTGTGTCAACACATAGTAGCATAGCATAAGGTCCAGATAAGACATTATTACCAGTTTCTTTAATATGTTGAAAATAAATACAAAATGAAACTGGAAAATATTCAAGGTTTGTAGCATCAACATGTCTTAGTCTGTTTCTTAAAACAGGGTTTTTTCTTACTGACAACCTTCAATTGTGATGATGCTTCATGTTACTTTCTGTTAATTGACTTCTGTTTTCATACCTGATACTCGATATTTGAAGGTGAGATGGAAGTTTGTAAGATCTCCGTTGAAGGTTGTTAATCTTTTGAAGAGAATTGTGGATGGATGCAGAAGTTCACTCCTAAGCTATTTTGGTGTTTATCCTGGAGGCTTTGGTGTGTATGGTCTGTTCACTCAGATGACGAGGTAACAGTGGGGAAGTTCTATGCCACCTTCCTGATACAGGACTACTTCAGGAAGTTCAAGAGGCGCAAAGAACAAGGTCTTGTGGGAAGGCACTCATGGGAGAGGCTGAACACCACCATGGCTTTACAGGTCAGTTAAGTACAATGTATCATGCTTATGTACTGTAAATGGAAATCCCAAAGATTTACTCCAATGGATGTATCAAATTTAGTATATTGGAAGACTCTTTGTTGATAGAGAACTAACAATGACATAACATGAGGGGCCCTGCTCCAACTTTCACTTTGTCATTAAAGGCCCTTTAAATGACCTGATATGCAAAATAAAATAAAATAAAGTTTTCTTATGTAATACAAGTCATATCTAGCAATACTGACAGTTACTCTATCCGTCGATGATCTGACGAGATACAGAGATGACGCATGTGTCTTCCTAGCTACCATGTCTTTGTTTTTTCACAACAAAATCAAGTCAGCACAAGTTTTCCTAGAAACTGAGAGGCCGTCCTTTTTTCTTTTTCTTTTTTTACAACTAGACAAACAGAGTCTTCTTGGATGTCATGGTTTTTGTCTTCGCTTTGAGTTTTTTTTATCTCATCATTTAACACATACCCCTAAATTTACAATTTATATATAAGCAGTTTCAGTTAATTATTTATTTATTATTGTTCATTGAAATTAAGAATGTACTTGAATGGACCTGAGCTTGTATAGCGCTTTTCACACACATTTGTACACCGTCTCCGAAGCAATGGAAGCAACTTGGGGTTGTGTCTTGTCCAAGGACACATTGGACCTTTAGCTGCAGGAGCTGGGGATCGAACCCCTGACCTTCCGGTTAAGACACACTCTACCAACTGAACCACAGCCGCCCAACAAAAAGACATATTTTTTGTGAAATAATAGTTCATCAGATAACCTCTGGAACTTAATCTGCATGGTTAATGGTTCATAATTAAATATTTGTATTTATTCATTTCTGTTAAGTGACCTGTTGAAGTGCTTCACACTTTGCTGCAAAGGTTCAGGTAGTAGGACATTTGACCTCTCAGGGAAGTTTTCAGTGTTTATGAAACACTCTGCAATCACTGTTGTTTCAGTTTAAAAATTGTATGAAAGGTGAATTGTCTCAACCAGATAGAGATAAGAAAAAAAGCCTGTCTAGTAGGAAGCATTGGTATTACAGCTTCTCTCTTTACAGGCCGGACTGCGCACGCTGCATGACATTGGACCAGAGATCCGTCGAGCCATATCCTGTGACCTGCAAGAGGAAGGGCTCGTTGATAATGATGAGGAAGAGGAGGAAATCTACAGGGTAATCCTTGAAGATTCTGTCCAGACACAACATATATTTTGTGACATAAGACTCTGCTAGAGAGGTAGCAGAAAGAATGCATGCGTAGTAAAACCTAATGGAAAAAGGGAAAAACGGGACTAATCCACATCTCATGGACAACTATGTCTTCTTGAAAAAATATTTGTTACTGTGTCTACTTTTAAGGTACAAAATTGTGTCATGGAAGGGGATTATAAACTAACCTGAAATGGAAAAGATTGTTTGTAAAAAAATGGTTGGAGACTACACTTTTGAATAAATCATGTTATATTTCCGGGATTGATAGAGAATTAATGTGTTTTATTCTTGAAAGTTACCTTTGTAAACACTACCCACAACTTTGAACAGTTAAGTACATGTGTTGTGTTGTCACCGTTATCATTGGCTTCTGTTGTCTCTGCAGCGTAATGGGGGTCTTTTCGGGAACCATGCCAACCATGTCAATGTTGATCAACAGGGCCACTTCATCCCAACCACTGTTACCCAACGTCCCCTACAGATTCTACCCTTTTCTGACAGTGCCTCAAACGAACCCTCCCAAACAGACAGGAGAGCCAATGAAAACGACAGAGGAGGGGACGCAGAGATCAATATGCCGCCAATCCAGTACAATCATTATCACACCTCTCATCTGTACAATCATCCTCATTGTATTTCCTTTTGCCATCAATCACCGATACCCTCCAATGCCAACCTCAACAATGCCAACTTGCCCCCACTTCTCTCCCTGTCCAATGGAAGGCAGCAGAAGTGTTTGTTAAGGCCAAACCATCCATCCTCAAGTAAAAATGGAACCTCAGTCATCACCGTCAACAAAGGAGTGCAAGACAAGCGTAGGAATTCCAGCACCGCAAGGTAACTGGCTTGGGACCTTAAAAGAATCCTAAAGTGTCCTTGAAAAAGGAAAGGTGTTACATGCATGGACATACAGTAGACAGTGGTGACTCCTTTTTAATCAAAAGTTCTCCACCAAAGTCTGACTCAGCATGGACGGTCAAAAATGAAAAAATGAAACATTCTGCGACAGCACCAGATATGTCATAATTCCATGTTTGCTTCATCCTCAATCAAATCTGTATTGTTCACTGTGGATGCAAATTGGCTGCTTAATGTTTGGTTGGTAATTGGATCATTTTGGCACTACAGAGGAGAAAAGTCTAGTAGTTAGCGACTTAGTGCCCTGCTGTGAATGTAGGACCAGGCACCTTTCATTGGCAGAGTGTAGTGGGTGGGAGGAAGTGTAGACCTTGATGAGGGAGTTCAGGTAGGCAGGAGCCGGATGTTTTTGCTGTTTGAAGCAAGTTTAATGCGAGCAGCAACTGAGAGCCAATAGAGGGATAGAGGGACATAGGAGTGACTTGTGCTGTTTTTTGTTGGTTGAAGATCAGTCGTGCTGTTGCACTCTGGATTATCTGCAGAGGTTTGAATGTGCATACATGGTGGCCTGCAGGTATAGGGAGTTGTAGTAGTCATTACATATGTGGTCTACTGACACCTGCCATTGTATTCTGCCAAAAAAAGGAACAACAACAACTAAAACGTAATACTGCTTGTCTTGCTTTCCAGAGCACAAGGCAACAGTTACCATAATCACAGCTGAGAGGATGGAACCATGTCAATTTATGGAGTGTGTCATTTGAAACAGACTTTTCTTGTTTCTAGTTTCTTTAAAATGTCTGACCAAAAGTCTTAGATCTGTAACTTGATCTGTAAAAGAACTGAATGATCAACATTTGACTGATTGTTTCTTTGTCATATTGATGCCAGGTCAGAAAGTGGCGTTGGACTCTGTCCTATAGCTCTCCATGATAATACCAGTGGGAGGGACAGTGAGGAAGAGCAAGGATCGGTGGAGAACTACTACAGCGGGGAGGAGTTTCATGTTGACAATATCAAGCTCACAAGGGACAGGTACAAACTCAAAGTCCCCACACACACACAAAATGTTTGCATTGATCACAGTAATTTTGATCAATAAAAACTCTTTGCCGCTTCAATTAAAACTCAACATTTGATCATTATTATCATTTCATCTGGCAGGTTTTCCAACAAAGACCAACATAATATAGAGAGAGACTCTGACCTCAGCGTTTCCAATGGTGACCATCAGCATGATGGTTGCTTTGACGATGACAAGCAGCCAATCTTCCGAGACAGCAGACGTTCGTCGAGAAGATGGCTGTTACTCTCACCTCAAGGTAGTGTGCCTCAACTTTTAAACTTTTTGTCTTTAAGATGTATCAGTCAGATTTAATACACATAACGTTATCTGCATGTCAGATAAAAGTCATTCTGGAGAAGTATTTTTCTTAAGCTCCCTTGAGATTGCTAAATCAGTTTTAAAGATGTATTGAACATAACGGTAAACTGGGTCGACCTTTTCAAAATGAACAAACCAAGTTGAGTTGCCATCATTCACATTCCTAGTTAAAATCAACAAAAGTAGGCTAAATTAGGTATTACTGTGTTATTATTGGGAAAAATTCATTTTGTGTATATCATAGCTTTGTTTTGAAGTTCAAAGAGATACTATTAATGGTTCTTGTGGGTTCTAACCAAGCAGCAATCTACGGTGTTGAAAAATGAAGCCCAATGCGGAAGTGCAAAATCCTGTGTTTCGTCAAGTGTCCTCTTGAAACTGGCAGCACAAGCACTGGAAGCTACATACTCACCCAGACAAAAAAAAGCATGTTCTCACAGCAGAAATGAACATGTTTAAAAAAATGAAATAGGTCTGGTTGACTCATGTCTCTATTGGCACACACTGTACAATGGGTTAATATTTTGACAACTCATCAATTTTGCTTTGATGAAGTATCCTTCATCAAAGCAAAACTATTATTATTATTCACTAGTCACTATTCACAATTCACTATTATTCACTATTCACTATTCAACTATTATTCACAATAAGGCGTGTAGCTGACCTGAGTGACAGGCAGGCGCGGTGTAACGGTTTGTCAAGAGGTTTAAAACCCGCCTCAGCTCCAGCTCTCAGCCTGTTGTTAGGGTGACTGAAAGTTAGTCTGAGACAGCATTTCCAACATGGAGACCGCCATCGATGGGACTCCAAAGCCCCCTGCAGTAACATATGGATGATGTCACTCAGGCTTCGACCATTACTATTTACAGTCTATGCATGCTGTTTTTAGTGTAAATACTGTCTATCATCTTCAAATAATAAATGAGTTCATCTGTTCCACAATTACATCATTTATTATCATGTTTATTTCAGCATCTTTTAAACAACTCACTACTGCACCATTGTCTCATAATGACTTTTACATACTGTATTTGTATTTGTTTAAAATGTAATGTGGTCATTTTTGTACATAGAGAGCTCAGTCTGGCCAATAAAGCTCATTCTGATTCTGATTCTTCTTCCAGCCGCCAACAGACCAACATTCAGTTTTGAGTGTCTTCGCAGAAATAACAGTCAGGATGAGCCCCCTCTGTCTCCATCCTGCACAGCTCTGCCACTACACCTTGCACAGCAGCAGGTACAAAACACACTTTATGCTACATTTATGAAAGTTGTGATGAATGAATGCTCAGCAGTGTCACTAAATGCAATCATGCAATGGTAGGACTAGCTGTAAAGGCCTTGTCTTGTTTCTACTCCCTATCCCACAAATCTCTTAATCGTCACTTTTCATCATCACTGAATCTGAATCCCATTCTCAGGTCATGGCCGTAGCCGGTTTTGATGCCAAGAAAGTTCCCCACCATTCTCCTGCACGGTCACTGCTTTCCTGGGCCACACCTCCTGCCTCACCCATCAGCACTGAATGTGTAAAATGCTATACACCACTTATACAGGTTTGGTTTAATGTCTGATAATTAAAAAAACACAGGAATTTTGAAGGTTGGCTTTAACTGTAGTGATGCTATCAGTAGAGCTACAACCCTTTCTGAGTATAAAGGAACTTGATCAAACTGCTTTGCAGAAATGAGCTAGTTTCTGATAATGGCATGACTGGTTAAGTGAAAGTAACTAAATGAAAAATGGTTCGTCATCCTTTTCTTTTTAACTTTAAAGTAAGTTGGGTATGGACTAATGTTTATTAAGAAAGAGAAGTGTCAATGAATTTTAAGCTGAAACAGACTATCTACTTTGTATTCCATTAAACTCATAGTTAGTATATTATTCTTATATCCTTAATTGACAAAGTCATTCTATGATGGAGCACCTTAATCAGTGTCTTGTGACAATACATGGAGTTTGATAAACAATTGTGAATGTGTTTTTGTCGACCAAGGTGGACTGGCGCAGTTCTGGGAGCGTGGGCAGCATCCCCGGAGCAGTGAAGAGGAGTTTGTGGTATACAGATAGCCAGAATGGCCCTCCTAGTCGCAGCCACTCTCCAACATGTCTGCAGTTACCTGCCAAGAGCTGCATGCGCTGCCTGAAGAAGAGAGGCAGCGCTGACAGTCTTGTGGAGGCTGTGAGTAAATACTGTGTTTTATGTATTTTAATATACCCTCAAACTAAACAAGATAGATAGGTAGGTAGTGCAGAGGAAAACACAGGAAGCTTGTATGTTGAAAATACCTGAGGGGCCATTGTCAAGTTGTTCATATCAGATGATGAATACTAAAATAATTTTGATATTCATTTCATTATATATATATATTTACAAGTCCCCGATGAGAACCACTTGCTGTACAAACTGGAACAAACACTAATACTCCAACACGCACGGTTCAGATGATCATACATTTTTCTTTTGTTTTTGTGTCTAGGTGCTGATCTCTGAAGGTCTGGGGAAATATGCCAGGGACCCTAAGTTTGTTTCAGCGACCAAACAGGAAATTGCAGATGCCTGCGAGCTGACCATTGATGAAATGGACAGTGCAGCCAGTAACCTGCTGAACGGCAGCATGGGAAATGGCAGCAACAGAGGAACGGGGAATGTCACATCAGACACACAGGCCATCGCTCATCTCAAAGACCACAATATCCATGAGTACAGCGACGGGGAGCAGTGCACGGCTGTGAAATATGACGAGGACCTCACAGACGAGATGATATGCATCACATCGCTTTAGAGGGCGGCATACATATAATTTCTTAGGTTTTTTAAATTGGATGTGTACATGTACTTGAGAATGAGAGGATGTCTGTGCTCAAGTGCATCCTGTCATAGATAGAATAGACGTGGATGGAGAAGAGAACAAAGTGCCTTGTTTTCTCAGTCTGTGGGATGTGGGGTTGATATTTTTTTATTTTCAAGAGTGGTTTGATACAGCAGAATAACCAAGCAGCATTACACAGCGTGTTTGACTGTGAGAAGGAAACACTGCTGACAGACAGACGGTGGTGTTGTAATGTTGCAGGGTGTCACAATGATGTCAATAAGTCAAGATGGCTTTTCAGAGTTGCACTTGTCATTAACTTCTTGTACATATATACGTGTATATATATATATATATATATGTGTATATATATATATATATATATATATGTGTATATATATATATATATATATATATATAAGTGTAATTTTAATCCTTTATTGGTCATTAAAACAGCCTTAGTTCTGATCTGTCACAGGTCATTTACATGACATTTTGGCTACCATGACTCATTACACTAGTAATGTGGCAGAAAAAGGGTATGTTTTTTTTGTTTTCTTTTCTTTTTAAGTATTTCAGCTATCCTCTGTGCAGTGTAACGATCACGCAGATCAAAAAGCCATCTCAACAAGCAGGTATAATATAAATCCAGGAGCTGCTCTGGGATCACAGTCTAGAGTTTCAGGTTTAAGCATTACCTGCCTCAGTACTTGACTTCAAAAAGGAAATCACATATCAATAAAAAAAACACACACAGGGGTTTTCCTCAGGCAAGTCATTGTGTTTCACATGCACAATGCTGTGTTACACAGGAAAACAGAGTGTCATTCTTCTTCTTTATTCCAACAAATAGAGAGAATACATTTTCTCTAGTTTCATTTTTTTCTTTCCTATGGAATAATTGGGATAATTCTGCAATGCCAAGGACATGTCACCATAGTGATCCCTGAACTTTCATCACAACACTGGAAAACTGAAATCACTCAAAACAATTTGTTCAGAACATACAATTTCTCCTTTAACCCAGCCCTATTGTAAACTGTTGAATGTGAGGTGATGGAAACAAGAAAAAAATAGTTTTCACATTCCCAAAGTGATGGCACCTGAACATTATCCTTACCAGTGAGACTCCAACTTTTTTTTTTTTTTGATTCCTGCTTCATTGGCTGAAGCAGACAGCCATCATGCAAGTTATAATTTGTCAGACCTTAGTCTTAGTTCATGTTTGGCTCAAGCTTTAACTGCCTCAACAGCTTAGCGTCAAAACCAATTTGTTTCTGTGGACTGGACCTCAAATTCGACAGGTTTAATCTGCTGATCAGTGACGGAATGACGGATTATTTATCCAATTTATCTGAGGCACCTTACTACTTGTTTAATGTGTCAGATGTAGGAAGCCAAAATTAACAACACAAGTCTGACCGATATTTACAATGTTTATGAAAAATAAAGCCATAGAAGATGAGAAATATATTTTTGGAATTTCCTCATCATATTTACTTAATTGTTGCTGGATGTTTAAAATGTATTTTTGAAATTAAATATTAGGTTTTAGCCGTTGCCTTTAATGAGAAGGATTTTCTCTTTCATAGCAGTTGGAGTGCACGTTGTGCAAAACAGCTGCTGTCTATAAGGTGGAAATATCAAAACCTCCTGACTTATAAAAACAATATTTCTCACTTGCTGAGGTTCACATTTGGACCAAAAGTACCAGCGTACATGCGTAATCAGAGTCTATCACTGCCAACCGTAGTAACTCATCAGAGCAATTTTTACTGGACGTAGCAGGAATGCTTTTTCTCCTCAGTCTTACTACTGTCGTCAGGGCAAACTATTTGTTTTGTGTCATTAAAGGGCTCAGTCATTCAACAGATACAATAAAAATGTATACTACAATGAAATATGACAGTCAATTGTATGCTTTTTAAAGAAATGATGTGACATTAAAAACATGACCGAAAGCTTTGTTGTGCAACGGACGGCTTTATTCACTGAACTTTTTCACTAGTATAGGGCAGTCGATTAGCCAATACTAAATAAAATCTGCACAGTGTTAATATAAGGCATGGTATTAAATTAATTACAACTGACTGAGCTTGGAAATGTATGATTTCAACCCATTTGTTTGAACATATCAACAAATAGTTTTACATTAAGGCACAACTTTCATACAGATTTTGGAGAAGTTCAAATGAAAATCTGAAATGTTCATCTCTTTGCTTGAATGATATTGGACCTGCAGAAAACATGGGTAAGGAACACTAAATCAAGTCTGAGGACAAGGTCAGGATTGGTTTTCCTTTTTCTTTAACAACGGTGAAGAAGAGCAAACAAAGGCTAAATTTTAAAACAATGTTCCCTTTACGATCAATGTGTAACTCCTTCATTAGTACACAAACGGTTTGAGATGTTGTGTTGTATAAAACTTCATATCATGTAAACAGTAATTGTCAAAGCAATTAAGATACTTCAGAGTAGTGCAATACTTGTCAGACATTAAGCCTTCCTTCTAGCAAGTTATATTTCAGTATTATTTATTTATATAAATCTTCAATTCACCATACATCCACAGTACCCAAAGGAAATAATGTGTCAACTCAAGACTGACCAATGAAGATTTGTTCAGTTTTTAGTGTAAAATGTATTTGAGTATTTTATCTAAAGAGCTTATCACGAGGCAAAACTAAATCTTCAACTAGATTTTCTGTACCAAGGGGGGGGAAATAAAAGCTATGCGCTGGAATATTTGAGGATTCCAGAGCAACAGGAAAATTACATAGTGGATCACCCGATGAAACCTGATGAACCTCACACAGAAGAGCTGTTCAAATCTTTTACAATCCATATGCAATGATGCAGCGTATTTACAAGATTGTTCCATTATTTGCTTCAAGTCAGACTGTGACTGGATTATAATATCTGACGTTAAAGGCATTGCCAAAATGCAAATCTTACTGAGTTTGATAAACCCTTCCTTACCTCCTAGTTATTACTGTTCTGATCAACAGTCTATTCACTTATCGAGCTGTGTGTGGCTGCTTAGCCAGAAAAAGAACATTTGAGATGAACTGTGAGTGACAGTCATACAAGCAGAGCTGAAAAACAAAGGTCAGCCCATAAGAAGAAAGGGCTGGATTGTTTTCAATCCACCAGTTGTATTTCCAACAATACCACAAAAAATGTTTCGCAACAAAAGCACCAGTTTAGCACCATTATTTGTGAGGAATGCAGCCTGTATGGTGTTGGTGAGAGTGGGACAACTGTACTATTTGTGTCAGTCAGCTAAATATCATCAGTTTTTCACTACTTTGGCAAAAGCAGAAGAATGAGCAACAGACTGGGTAGTCTTGTAATGTTAATAGTTCAGAGTGGCATAGTCAGGAAAATGTAGGCCATTCCGTTTGGAGGCTATCAGTTTCTTGGGCTCATCAAATTTTGTTTGAAGACAATGAAAACAAAGACAAGCAAAGAAGCAGAGTTAACTTCTGTAAACCTTCTTTCTGATCTAAACTACATGCAAGAAACCAACAAAAACAGTGTTCTCAGAAACAGTTGAATCTGCAAGTTTTCAGGAAGGAAGTATGTTAATCTGATGAAAAGCTATCTGAACAGACATAACAAACTGCTGCTCAGACGATTTGGGTAAACAGTCTGCAGGCTGATCATTGGTAGGATATGAGCCATAAAGATAACAAAAACCTTTAGCTGTTGACTGAAATGCAGCTGTACTGTTCAAACAAAAGTTTTGTTTTGAAAGACAGAACAAAAGTTCTCTGTCTTTCAAAATAACCCGAGTGCAACCAATGACCCATGTAAAACATTCATGTTGTGTTATATAACTTGTAAAACTTTTTGGTGGAAATGTTTTAAACCATGTTGCTTTGAAGCTAGAGATTGTCAGTTTTGAATGGCTTTATTGACTACATGAAACCGTTTCATGTAGTCTTGGGGTTGTTGGGGTGGGTGTTATGACCCCTCCATCAGCTTCTTGTTCTCTTTCTTCATCTCTGCTTGTCAAGTGTTGGTGGTTGGTACACTGGAACTCCTGGGTCAACAAGAGGAGGGTGACCTCTGATAATGTCAGCGGCCTTCTCTGCTATCATGATGGTTGGAGCATTGAGGTTTCCGCTGACTACACTGGGCATGATAGAGGCGTCCACCACTCGCAGTCGCTCCAGACCCAAAACACGGGTGCTTGGGTCGACCACTGCCATTGGGTCAGATGGTGACCCCATCTTGCAGGTGCAGGACGGGTGGTAGGCACTGTCAGCTTTTTGGCGGACAAAAGCATCAATGTCGGCGTCGGATTGAACATGAGGCCCAGGCTGGACTTCCGGACCCCGGAACTTGTCAAAGGCCTTCTGGGCAAAAATCTCTCTCGAAAGTTTGACAGACTCTCTGAATTCCCACACGTCGATATCTGACAGAGTATAGGAGTCATTAAAGCAAGTGAAAATCAAAACCCACTCTGTTGTTACATTTAACCTTAGAACTCAATCCAAAATAATTTTCCAAAATAATTAGATGTACTTGCTAATAGATTTGGATAGGAAGAACGACTTAACATGTTAAACCTTTGACAGTTTTAATAATTGACATAAGTGCAATGACTGAATCTTACCAGTTGAGAGATAGTTTGGCTGTAGAATCGGGTGATCCAGGGGATTTGGGCTCTTCAGCTTCATCCAACCGATACTAGTGCTTCTCATTGGTCCTACATGAACCTACAAACACAAACAGAAACACTTATGTCTGAGAAAGAGTAATAACATCAGCTAGTAACATTTTTGCGTCATTCTTCTTTGTCATGGTTTTAAATGACAACTGTGAAGTGATGCATCCACACTGTATTGAGAGTAACTGTTTAAATAAATCAAGACATTTCAGATATCATAGTATTGTACTAATTATCGTTGGCTGTGGCCATAAAGTAGAGGGGGCTGTCTCTCAATCAAAAAGTTTGATCCGCAGCTCCTGCAGTCTACATGTTGAAGTATTCTTGGTCCAGACACTGCACGTAGCAGCCTCTGGCTGTTTTTTGATGCCAATTAATGCATCATATTTGTCTATCCATCCATCCTGGCATGGCACTGCTTCCTCTTCACAGATGCAAGGGTAACATAGTGTGTTTGGACATTCATGAACATGCCAACTGACTTGGAGAAGAGCTGAGGAGTGACCTCACGCCTTTACAAAAATTTACAAAGATTTTTCTGCAAAGCATTTAAATGTGAATAATTTCCCCATGAATGTGTACTTAGAAGGACAGTGAGTGAAATGAACACTCTACTGTATATGAAGAAAGCCATATTAATTGTGAACTTTGTAACAATGATACATCGAGGAAATATGCACAATGATGACTATAAACATGATGATAAAAAATGTATTGGTGCAAAGAGCATTTCAGCCACTCTACTCAAATAAATCAAGTATTTCTTGGCTGCAGAGACAGCCTTCAAGTATTCAGTTGTCGTAAACTACAGAACCCTGGCTGTCTGTGTGGATTTATGTAAACAGCTACAGTCGGCTACTTACAGATTTGACAATGAATATCAACAGAAACTAGAGCTGAGTCTTTATAAGTGTGCCTTTGAACCATAAAAAAAAAAAACTGTTGAACATTTACTCAACAGTTTGCATCATAAAACTGATGTTTAGATTGTATAAAGTGTGTTTGATCCTGTAAGTCAGACAGACTGCAGAGAATTCATATTTAAAAAGCAAATGAACCTTTGAAATATTTGACAAATAACAAAACTGAAAGGGTCACCTTTATAACAGGGTCTGTAATGAGTACTTAGATATTATGTGATGAGTACATTCATATTTTGGCCAGTAATAAACTTTCTAATAATATGGTCTGTAAGGGGTACATATGGTCTGAATTGAGTACTGTGATAACAAGGACTGTAATGAGTAATTTTCATGAAATGCACTGGAAGTATAATAGTTCAAATATATACAGTACCACAATGTCACACAATGCCAAAGGATGTTTTTTTCTTTTTTAGTTTTTTGCATGCATGTACAAGCCTTTAAAGCTCTTGCTTTGACATCATTCCTCCGACTCCAGCAATGTTTAATTGTTTCAGAGTAAACTAACACAAAACCCATACAGTCACTGGTTTTTACTAATATACTCCAATATCATTTGTCATCACATTTCTTAGTTTAAATAAAGATTACTGAGCTGTAAGACGCACAGAGACATGGTGTTGGCAGTTAAACACATTTTGCCTTCTCGTTACTCAGCCCATCTTTATCACTTGCACATATTTATTGTGTAAATGAGTGTGGATATTAAATTGGAGCATCTCTCATCATTCGGCCTATATGTCATCATAATTAGTCACAGTGCAGACAGTTTGCCACGATTCAAATGTGGCAAACAATTCGCTTCGTAGAGTGAGGGAGACAAAAACAGTGTGGTAGCTCACATTACATGTGCATGTAAACATACTGATTGTCTCCAAGCTGCAGCTGCCCTGTCATAGATTAGTCAATGCCTTGGAATTTTCAGCTACACACCCTGGACCATACCCACAGACACTCTGTCTTGTGCTAAAAACATTCAAATAATCATACAACCCCCCCGTAGCCACCTCCCAAACAATGTGAATTCAGATCCATGTATTTATGACACTTTGATGAAACATCCATTAGTCGATGACCTGCAAAAATAAAATAGCCACACATACCTGATAAGCCTCTATCTTGGAGGCAACTCGTCCATGGTCGATGACTTGTGAGGGAAGGAAGTGAAACTGGATATCAGGGTGTGTGACGTGTGGTCGGCTGCGGATGAAACCTCCACTCTCCAGGTGGGCTGTTGCTCCATACCCTAGAGGACATGTCAGGGGAAGTCCGATGAACTCATCACAAAGGTACTTAATATATTAATTATGAGTGTTTATGGACAATGATGAGGAGCCAGTGGTGCAATGTACATGGTCTGACTTCTTGTGCCCTGTCACAAGAAGTCAACCCAAATATATATTCCTGCTCATTATTGTGGTGCTGATAGAGAATTGGATTTATGAGTGTCAACATTTCAAATTAGAAAATCCAAATTCTTTATCAATCTTGAACAATCACATTCCTACAAATATTTATTTGTATGCAAGTCTCATAAAACCTTTTCACTGATATTGATTAGATATAATCAAAAAGCTGTTTTACGTTAACCCATACATGTCCTTGACTGATATATCCTTATTATTCAAAGATAGAGTGAGGGGCATCTCACTTGAAATAGGGCACTGTAAATGATTTTAAAGTACATTGTCTGCCAAGTATACTACCTTAAACAGTGTCAAGGACAGTTTGTGTGTTTCCATTTGCATGTGTAGGGGTCTTTAGTTACCAGTGAAGAGGGAGAGCCATTCCAGGCCTATCTTGACCATGTGGAAAAGTTTCTGGGCCTTGTACAGGGTGATGGGCTGAGTGCACTGCTGCTGGATGTACAGCTCCAAATGATCCTGCAGGTTACTACCAACACCTGAGGAATAAAGGGAAGAAAAAAAAAGAGTTATTATCATACTTTTTAATCAGGGAGATTTATTTTTAATGTTTGTGGCAACACATGAAGATTAATTGGTCCATAACTTTTGGATGTGTTAGATGTATTTACATATCCATAAATGGCAGATTTACTGCTTCTTTTTTTGACACTAGCAGCACTCTAGACATAAATTCCAGAGCACTTCTCATCGGCATTAACTGTTGCCAAGTTGAGAAAGATTAATGTTGCTTGCCTCGGTGACCATAGGTCTGTTTTAAATAGGTCTGTAGGCCAGAAGCATAAGACCTGTACATTTCACATGAAAAAGAAAGGGTTGGACTAGTTTCTTCTCTCTTATATATTGTCAGGATGTGATGCATGTGTGAACGCCAATGGCCAAATCTGTTTAATCCAGCCTTATACTGATTATTTTCCTGCCAAAAGCCTATAGTCAAAAGTCTGCCAATGTGTGTATGCAGCTGCATGTAACAGTCTGGAACACTCATAGCGAGTCAGTGGGTGGGGTGATTAAGTATACTTTAAGTTAAGCTTCAACGCTTTTCATTTGTTACTGCTGGCCTCAATTACCAATATATTATGAATATATGCTTTATGGGAGCTTGTATGATATTGACTACCTTCAGCTTAACATGCGTGTAAAGCAGTTCCAGAAAATAACAGGGCCTGAATGTCCTGAAATGATTTACAAAAAGTCAGGAGTTCCTGTGTACAACTTTTGTGAACAAACTTTACCTGGTAGGTGCTGAACCACAGGAATGTCCAGACGTTTCAGGTCATCTGCGTTTCCTACCCCAGACAGCATGAGAAGCTGAGGTGAATTTATGGCTCCCCCGCTTAGTATCACCTCTTTATCTGCATACACCTTAAGATAAGAAAAATGGGTCAATGATTCGTAAAAAAAAAATTATAGAATTAAACAAATATTTATTTGTCATTGCTATAAAATGACAAAAGACAGTTTAGCAGCTTTTGCCAGTGTGCTCACTTTCCATAGGGATGACAGCTGTTGTTATACCCCAATAAATACATTCTAAAGAGTTCTGATGATACAGCCCTGATTTCTTAATGAGCTTGGACAACCATGGGCAGCACAAACATGCCATAAACAAAGTGGGCAATTTTAATGATTTATTATTTGTATCTTCTCGTTAATATCTATGTTGCAAATGGACCTGCTGTGACACATTTAAGACTTTGACAATAAAGTTACTTAAACCAATCAATAAACTTCATTCTTAACACTTGAGATTTTTCAGTATTTTTCAGTCTTTGAAAATATTGCAATCCTATGAAAAATGACCTTTTTCGTCTGTCCATTCTGTGTGTATTCTACACCCACAGCGACATTGCCTTCAAACAGGATCTTGGTGGTGAGGCACCCAACCTCGGTCTTCAGGTTTGGTCGACCCAAGGTGGGTCTCAGGTACGCACTGGCTGTGCTCCACCTCTTTCCTGGACAGACATGAGCAATGTGATGTTGACAATAACAAAGCTGTGTTTATACGAGTGCATTGAAGTAGTATGTTTTTTCTACTGTGGCCCTACATGTCATACAAATGTTTAAAAAAATACAACAATTAACATCACCAGATATTTAAAAAATAAAATAAAATAAAAAAATTCACTTAACACAATCACAAGTCAGCAAACAGAAATGGTAGAACAACACTTCTCTTTTTTAACATCATCGGATACTTTAATAACTATGTGAAAATGTCAGTTTACAAACATGTACTTTTTAAGATGTACTCTGATCAGACACATTTTCTTGAAGCCATTACACTCCTTCTCTTGCCTCCTAGCTGAGGCATTTGTTGATTATTTTGTTTCACATTTCAAACTCACAGATTTTTTCACAGGGACCTTTTCATTCTTACAGAGATGAAACTGCAATCTTTTGCCTATATTGCTGTCCTCCACTCTGTCCTTCAGTTCTCCTCACAGCCTCAATTAAGATTATAAGCTTCATGTGATGTTCAATGCATCCTGGAGCTTTAGAGTTTACGATTTCATGGTCATCAGTCCTGGAGAATGACAGAGTTTGAGGGGACGAGCTGAGGGCTTTTTTTTCTTTTTGTTACTTTTGTCTCACTTTCTCCTTTTTAAACTGTTTCGTATGGACAGTCTTTTTTTGAGTGTTATATGAGAAATATTTTGTCTTCTGTTATTTGCTAGTGCTTGTTGAAATGTGTTATTCAAAACGTTGTGTTTTGGACCTTTTTGTGTTTTATAAAATGTCCTGTTTTAATTTTTCGGTCGTCTGTAGTTTTCAACAGTTTCCACAAACCTTTGTAAATGGTCATGTCCATCCAGCCCAGACCCTCCTGTTGGTGCCCATTCATGTCATCAGTAAACGGGTATCCTGCCTGCTGCCCTGCCTCAATAAAAGCCTTGTGAAGGGGATGGTTGGTCTTCCCTCTTGACACATACAGAGGTCCATCGCCTCCTCTGTACCTACAGTACACACAGTACACACAAATATAATGAGAAGAAAGCAGTTCCATATCTTATATATCTTTAGTTTCTTCACACTAAATGAAATGTCTTCTTATTTAGGCTCTCCACCGACTCCAATGGAACTCTAAGCTATAAACTTCAGTCTCAGACACATCCGGTATTTCATTCCACATTCCACATTCCACAAACTCACTCTGTCTTGGTAAAAGGCTTTTTTTCTTTTTCTTAGTCGGAGCAACAGGGTCGCGTTATACTAGTAGTAGCCCCTTCATTAGTTTGGAAGATTTTAAACCAGGATTAAGGACCATTTGACTTTGTGACAGACAAAAAGTGTCCCGTAACCAAAGCAACTCACTCGGCCTGCCCATGAGACAGAGAGAGAGAGAGAGACAGAGAGGCAGTGCTGCTGACTGATCACTATGAGCTGCATGGAAGGAAAAAAGGGGACAACATCCTGAGTACACTGCTAATTTTGTCATTATGGATACGAGTTGTGGACCTCAGTGATTTCAAAATTGGTTACAGCCTTCATTTTGAAGTAACAAAAAAAAAGCACTAGTCAAAACCGGATCACAGCTGGACACAACACAAACAGCCATACTTGGAAATGAAAAGAATCCTCACATATTTAGTCTGTGGATGTAGTAAAATTCTCCTTATTTAAGAAAATAGCACCTTTCTTCTATAAAATGTGTTTTTATGTTTATCCATGATTCACCTGGGTCACCTCTTCAATCGGAGGATACAGAATTCCAAATTTATTCTGATCACAACCTTGACCAGCACATAGTCAATGTTTAACTTTTCTGTCCAAACAACACAGTATATGTTATACCAGATCTTACCAGTCTGTTAATGTCCTTGCTACTTTCCAACCCTCATTGTTGTATGTGCCTTCTGGTTTCCCCGTCTCTGAGTTGAAATGATATTTGCTAAGAAGTGCATTGACAAAATCTTAAGTGTTTCAAATTTTGATGTAAAATCTGATCACCCATGATGGATTTTGAATCCTGATACGTTTTTAGGACTGAAGCCCTAGTGCTGCAAGAGTCAGAGTCACGGACATTAAAAGCGTTATTATGACCAAAGTCGAAATAAGCACCAAGATCTTTAGCTTTAAACATTAAAAAAAACAAAAAAGTTATATAATACCTGTTTCCTCCTAGCTCATGGCTTTGTGCCTTCCTGAAGTAAGGAAGACAGTGTTCGTAGTCCCAGCCCTCGGCCCCCTCTTTCTGCCAGCGGTTGTAGTCTTCAGCGTGTCCACGGATGTACACCATGGCATTGAGTGAAGAGGAGCCACCCCACACACGGCCCCTTGGCCAGTACATCACCCGGTTGTTCATCTGGGCCTGAGGTAAAGTATGGTAGTACCAGTTATACCTATGGAGGAGGAATACAAAGAAATACATCATGGCATTGAGTTGAAACAGATGCAGGGACTGTAAAAAACAAATGTATAGACTTATAAATCCACACTGTAATAATTGAACCACTTTACTTGTCATCACAGAGGTTGTAGGTCAAAGCAGCTGGCATGTGGATCTTCCATGAAAGTCGTAAGCTGCCAAGAAACATGTCTTTGGGCCCAGCCTCCAGCAACAGGACCGACTCATGGGTATCCTCACTGAGACGGTTGGCAAGAACACATCCTGCTGAGCCGGCCCCAACAATGATATAACTATAGGAAGGGGTTTTCTGATTGGCTTTGGGTGATGAAGCATTCTGAAGGGCAGCCTTAGCACTAAAGCATCTGTAATGGTTGATTACATGAAAGAACTGGCCAGTGTTTCTGTTCATATGGACAACGGTACATTGTCTCAAAGAAGAAAACTGGCACATGCCACCTGCCATTAATCCCTGCCGGGTCCCCGTTATGACCCGTCCGGCTCCAGTGAGACCTTTTGTAGCCAAAAGCAACATCCTGGCTCCGGGAGGGTTTTCTTCTTTCACTGTAAATTACAACAGCACACATTAATTGAGATACTAATGGGGTACACTGAAACTGGAAATATGTCTGAGGGTGTAGAATTAAATGTAACTATAACTGTGTAAACAGTGACCTACAGAGAGGCTTTTGGTTGAGTGTTTTTTTTTTTTTTTTTAATCATAACTTGAGCAACACTGCTCCCTTTGCAAACTCTCATCTCATACTTTTAAAAGGGAAATAAACAACTACAGACCTGACATGGATCTTTTAAGTGCCATGACCACTCACTGTTCTTGAAAATGTAATATAATAATGTTTCTTTCACCACTTTTAATATAAAAGTTAGGCTGTCAAATTTCTAAATTTAGATTGGGTTGAAATTCTTGTTACATTCCAACTTCGAGATTCTGCCAGATAAGATCTCTGGGTCATGCCTAGCTTTCCATGAGATGTGCTCATTTTGAGCAGAATAGTGGAAAATAAACCTAGTAGGCCTATCTGTGTATAGGCTATTGTATCCACTCTTTAAAATGAGTTTAAAAGTAGCCTAAAGGCTGCAAAAAAAGTTCTTTAAGTTCGTGACAAAAAGTGTGCACATCAAACTACGTCAGGAATGTCATTTTAAAAAAGTGACTCTCAAACTCTCTGTTGAGTGCAGATATCCGAAATATCGTTGGGATGTAACTCTCACACCACTATAGGCAAAGTAACAATAGGAAACTAGAATGAAGTTTTTAAAGTTGCACTCGTTTCCAAACCCATGTTAAAGCCTCGGCTCAAATGTGTTACAAAAGGAAAATGTCGCAACCGCTTCGCTTATCACTTAATAGTCTGGGGTCAAACTTAAAAAGTCTGCTAACGAAAGCTACTTGCTACACTGAAGCAAGTCTCGTTAGACACATTCACTGCCTGCTTGCCTACACAAGTAGGCAACAGCCCTAAAACACGTTTTTAAACATATTAACATGTTTGGATAATGTTGTAAGCGTTGCAAAAACGCGTCGTAGGACTTTACCGTTACTTTGTCAACAAACTATTTATGTATTTAAACTCGTCAGCAGTTTACATCAGGAAATGGATATAAACGCTCACCTAACTTACTGTAACCTTATAATGTGTTGGTGCCATGTATCATTTATTGCAAAACAGACAGAAAGACATTTTGAATGGTTGCATTTGCATTAAATACTCGGAGCTTACCTTATGTCTCACACTCGACACTCTACGCTCATATTGGTGACCTGGCCGAGTCATCGACGTGAGGCGGAGCTTAGTCTGGCTGTGTTTATAAACCAGTGCCACAGCCTCGCTGAAATCTCGGGCTCATTCAACAAGTGTGTTAAAGGTAGGGCTATGGCTGTCAGTGGTGCTTGTCAGTTTTAAAGATGCAGCGGATCCTACAAGAGAGCCCTCATTAAAAAAAAAAATGATTCTGTTCTTTATAGGACAAACGTGATCAAGATGTTGGGAGTGAAGCTGATCATTTTCTCCTTAATCGTGATCAAGGTGACAGCGAATGAAATTGTAAGTAAATGTTATTTATCTTATTTAGACCAATAAGCCAATCATCCTTTCCTTTTAAAATAAGACAGTTGAAGTGATTTATTTCTGCGATTTCTTTACAGAAAACGGAGTGTCGTGAATTCTCTGGTAGGTTTTGTCATGATGTTCATTGATCATAAAATTAGAAGTTTTTTGTATTTTATTCAACAGTGAAGGGTAGGCGGAAATCACGGGGAGGACAGGGGGGTCCGGACCCCCCCCCCCCATCCTAGAAAAATAGAGAATTGTGACCTTTTCAGGCTTTCATGTGTTAAAAGAAGCCAGTTCTGTCGAGATGCCATTTATTGATTGAAGCTCTATATTAACATATTGATAGTTATGAGAACTATTGTAACTATTTTTATAGTTATTTTAAAGTTTTTAAGATTCCTGTCTGTTTAGTGTTTCCTCTTTATACATTTAATACCAGTTTGTTGGCCTTTCTTGATAAAACAATACTTTTTATGGCCGCTTTGGTGTCCCCCTCCGGAACTGCTCTTTTAAAAAAATCCTGTTAGTTGTCCCCCCTAATAGTGAAGTGAGATATCCGCCCCAAGGGGTGGCAAACACCAAATTCTCATCGGCTACAGTGTAGGCTTACAACTTTGGTTTAATAATTTGCTGTTGAATGAGAAAATTACTCATTGTGTTTTCTATTGGTGTCGCCAGCTGACTGGAGTTTATTTATTAGAGTGAAGAGACAGACTGGCACAGACTGCAGGATAATCGGGCCGATTTGAGGTCCGATTCCTCCTTCCAGACAAGCATGGGGGTGTTCTTGTCTCAAGGCTGTTCCGAACTGATTATCTTCCCAGATTAGCTTGTGTGTGGTAAAAAGATCCAATCTTAACATCTCTGTATTGTTCAGAGATCATCGGGAACCTGTTCGGGAAAACATGTTTGATATTTAGAATGTCAGATCTTGACGATAACATCATGAAAGTTTGGTGGGAGAAGTGTGTGACTGCAATAACAGCGAGAGACGATGGGGAGGACAGTAAAAAGTAGACAGGAGTGGCGACCGATGGCAGGATGCAACCTGCACGCTGGACAACTGTATATGACATCTTACATCCAGCTCTCACTGAAGAACAGACAATCTATGTTGTCAGCATCTCCCCAACATATCTTCACCCAAAACTGGGTTGTTTGTTTCTTTTCTCTCTATACAAGTTTTTTTTAAAAATACTTTTTATTTAATAGTTTTGTAGAAAAACAACATAAATTGTCAGAATGAGTATATATACATTTGTATATGGTTTGTATAGAATATCTACATATAAGTGCATCATCTATACAGGCATGGATAAATATTTCTGTTAGCTCATTTCTCTAGCTACACAAAATTAATTCATGAATTTCATGAAACTATTCATAATTCAAGTGGGCGTGTTGTAGCTGTTTGTCAGTGGGCTTAAGGCCCGCATCATCTCCAACTCTTTGCTTGTTACTAAAGTTAATCGAAAGTTAGGTTAAGATAGCATTTTCAGTATGGCGTCCACCCTTGTTGGCCTTTTAAAATGTCCCTTCAGTAACTAATGGGTGACATCACTGAGACTGCATCCATGTTTTATACAATCTATTTCAATAACACAAACATAGTCAAAAGATTATGTTTATTTATTTAGCACTCATAAGAATACATCAAATAGGATAACATAATATAAAAAGTGTGTGAGGAGAGGTAAAGAAGTCAACAGGCTTATACAAAGGACCTCACCTCTTAATAGACAAATAAAAGCAACAAAGTGATCAGAATTACACAATTTTGAATCAAAGTTAGTTCTTGTTTTGTTTTGGTCAGCGGTGAAATCCCCAACAAGCCCCTGTGCACTGAGCCTTGTCGGGGCAGAGTCAGTAAATAATGTCACTAGCTAACGTGTTGGAATTGTACAGATGTTGTTGTATTTCTGTTATCTGTTGTTCCAGGTATCCCTCCTTCCAACCTGACCTCTCCATCTTTACTGGCAGACTTGAAAGTTGAGCTGGTGACATGGGAAGGAATGTATTTGCTGAACATAAGCTGGGCAATAAACATTGATGGTAGGAGCCAATTCTTTGGATAGGTCCCACATGGAAACTTTTAAAACCCCATTTATTATGTTGACTTTAAAAGAGATTAGCAAATAATTTCCTCCACCATAGAGCTTTTTATTACATCCAATCTTCAGTTTTGGTGTATGATTGGGATTAGTTAATACTGATTGACACTTGACATAACAACATCCACCATCAGTGTGTGAATGGGTAGGTGTGACATGCAGTGCAAAAAGCACCTCGAGAAGTCAAAAGTCCATTTGTGTAACTGAGTATGAATAAAAGCAAAATATGACTATGAGTTAACAGATCGTCCCTTCTCTATATTCAAACAGGACGATTGGAGGACACTGATTTCCAAAGATCGATGGTGTTAATGCAAATTTCTGTCTCTCTGCAGCTAGTATTGAATATCTGAACGCCACTCGGATTCTCATAGAAAGTCTTGCAGTACCATACCATTGTGAATACAACCCACCCTTGGCCACGGCTAACATCACTGGGTCAAAGCAGGTATCACAGATGTACTCACGCAGATTTAATAATAAATGATTGCCTTGACAGCATACTTCAGAAAGACATGATAAACTAACATGAATTTAAAAAGATTCATTCAATGCACGTTTGTTCACCTTATCATACCTAGATATGGTTTCATTATTTGATAAATACCGGCTCTGGCTCTGAATTCATCCAAGCTGCCAATATCCCTCTGGCTCCGAAGGGGATCTGTTACAAAGGTGTTAGTATTATAGTGCCTACTCCAAAACCCTGTAAGTAAATTTTCTTCATTATTTTGATATTCAGCAATGTTGTGTCAATAGGCAAAGCAAAGTCGGTTCAACGTTAATGTTTCATAATTCAAATTTTCAATTTGAAAGGAAACTGTAAGTTAAAGATACATTTTTTTAATGAAAAACAATATTTTTTGTTAATTGATTAAAAAAAAGACGTGTTTAAGATAAATTGATAATATAAGAATGTTTAGATATCATTTGTAGCTGTTGTGTTGTTTTTATACAGGAAATGTTATACAAACATTTCTGTCTTCTTAGTAGATGTGAAAACAAGAACTACTCAAGTTCCTCCAGGTTAGCGACATATTGTATATTATTTTGAAGTATAAAACTCTACAACTATTACAATGATGTTGGTTATTCCGTCTTAAACTGTTCTTCTGTTTTCCAGTTTATTCTACAGCCTCAGGTAGGACTCTACTATTACTGAAACGACTGTCATTATAAACCACTGATTTACCTTTAATCTCAAACTAATGACATTTAGTACACAGGAATGTATTTCATATTTTTGAGTTTATCTTTGCAGGCTTGGGACAGGAAGCTGTCGACCTAACCAGCATAGTCATTGCCACTTTTGGATGCCTGGCCAGTTTGATAGTCCTGAGTTGCTTCTACATTATCTGTAAATACAACACTTTCAAAGTAAACATTTTGGGTAAAAAATAACAAAAGTGACACATGATAAATGGCCATAATGCTGAACTTTATAGACTCTTTAATTTGAATTGAATTATACTAATGGATCACTTTCTTATACACTTGGGTATAATTTAAGTTACAGGCTTAGTTACAAGAACCTTTCTATCACATTGCAAGAGGCTTACATTTTTACCAAATTGCTCTTCTTACATATCAACTCCTAGACTTTAAGGTTTGATGATAGAAGTACTTAAACTTACCCAGCCTGGGCTCAGTATAAACTCTCTATAAAATTATCTGTCTTAATATAAAATGTTTGACTGATGCTTCTCATGAATATCTTCTTACTCTCCAGATAAACGCTTTGGGGCCAAATTAGCGATTTCATCGAGCTTCAAGGGTTGTCATCCATCTCCCATGTTACCTGTTCCTGTCCTTGTGGTATATCCTGCTGAGAATTCTGCCTTTCAGAGGGCAGTGGTGGCCTTGGCAGAGTTTCTTCAGTGGCAAGGTGGCTGCCGTGTTGCTGTCGACATTTGGCAGCAGGGCAAGATCGCAGAGCTGGGGCCAATGCGCTGGTTGACAGAACAGGCCAAAGCTGCTAATCGAGTGCTCATTGTCAGTCCACAGGCGGAACTTGTAAGTTGTATGGTATATAAAATAATTATTTATTTCTTTATGACTGAGTATACAATGACACCTAGTTACAAGGATTGCTGCATCCGATGAGAAAGACTTTGCATCATTCTTGTTTTGACATCATTTACAAATACAGTATGTGCTAAGGACAATCCTTGACATTAAGCAGATCTGTTATATATTCTTCAGGTCAAATAAACTGAAATAGAAGTCTCTTTTCTTCTCTCAGCCAATTTCCTATCCCAGCCACCTTCCAAACGACTGCTTCCCAACACCCTCCATCCCAGCTTCAGCTCAAGACCTTTACCCCTTGGTTCTCAACATGGTGGTGAGCCATGCAAAGAGCTCCAGAGACTTGGCTAAATTCTGGGTGGTGCAACTAGGTGACCAGCAACAGTACAAGAGGTGTGGTAATCTGGTGCCAGAATTAAGGGCCTGCAAGACTTTTTGTGTGATGAAAGACTTGAACAAGCTGTGCATGAGTCTTCATGAGCACGCGCAGGAAAACATAAGGATTTCAACTCAGATCTTAAAACCAGGGATAGTTTACAGTGAAAAGAGTGTCGAGACCTTAAGGGAAGCTGTAGAGATGATAAAGTGATATCAGCCCTCTTACTCAGAGAAGTAGAGACATTGCAGTCTGGAATATTAATTTGTTTTAACATGTATTGAAAATGTATTGATTCACAAACAATAAAGATGTGTGAGACCAGTTAAATAGTGAGAAGCCGACTCTTTCATTATGCATATTATTTAATACCATTTGTATTTGGTCACAGATAATGTTATGCACAATGAATGATAATAATAGGGTTCCATATAATAATAACTTTTTTTCAAATCTTCTGCAACTGCAAACATAACAGAAAGACAGCCATGTTTGAGTGACAAGTGTTGTAAGCATCATCTGTAATGAACTTAATCGCAGAATGGAAACTGCATCAACAGGTTTTAAAGTTGCAGCCGAAGCATGCCTGTATAAAATTTCACTCTTATCTAACACTGATAAAAAAGTTGCCTCAACCAGAGTTTTTACAGTGTGACAAAGTTCACTTACTAAATTTGATATATGGTTTTAAAATAGTAACTTCTCATCACTCCAAATACTGAGGTATTAATATACTGTTACTCCTTCAATATTGGTGCCACTTTTAGTATTGATGATGAGATTCTCCAAATTTTATGTTTGGCTCTGGAAAATGTATTTAATTGTCTCTGCACTAATCTAACCTAGTGCAAGCAGCATTGCAGAGAAGGCTCCACAGACTGTGCATGATAAGCAGTGCAATACAAATTTTTGTCATTACCATAAAGTTAAATTTTACAATCAGAAACAACTGACACAAAACCATTAATATAAAGATAAAAAAGAAAAGGACCTAGGACAGAACCTTGTGGAACACCATTGTAACAAATTCAGATTTTACAGTTCCTGGTGCTACACATTGCTGTCTACCCAAGATAATTTTAGATCAAATCATCTCAAATCGGGTCGCTGGATAGCTTGGGGGTTATGTCGCACCCTCCACGTACAGAGGATGTAGTTCTCATTGCAGCAGTGGTGGGTTAGAATCCAACCTTGGCCCTTTGCGGCATGTCAACCCTTACTCTCCTACAAAAATGTCCTGTCTCTCTTCAGCTGTCCTATGTAAAGGTAAAATGCCCCCAAAAAAATCTTTAATCATATTTCATGTGTCAGATAACAATGGATCGAACTCCAGCCATTTGAAAATGTTACATTTAACAAGTATATCAATATATTTGTATTTAAAGATAAAAGGGCCATTTTCAATGTGGTCCCTCCACTTATGGTAGGGCATTTACAATAGGGTGCAATATAGAAGTGCTACAGGTATGATTTGCTTCGTGTGGAATATGAATAAAAATGTATTTGCAACTCTGGTTCATATATACAACAACAGAACAAAGCAACAACTAAAATAAAATAAGAATGACCAATAAAAGCAAAACAACTGTTACATGTGTGTTTTGTATTTTCAGTCCTGAAGCAGTTTAACTTTAAAAACCACAAACAGTCTACTTGATTCCTGCCACCATGTGGATCCACCAGTTGGCCTGTACTTTCCAACCCTGATTTTCACACACAGATATTTGCTTTAGGAAATGCTCTTTAGCATCTGCCTCACTCTGTTTCTCTTGAAGTGCTTTACGCAAGTAGCGCATGTCCTCTGCAGCACTCAGCTCTGGGATGCCAGTCAGCAGCATGAGAGAGAAGAGAGTGACCAGCAGGCGAGAGTGGGAGCGCAGGGAGAGGTACGCTTGGGTGCATGTGTCCTTAAATGAGCATTAGGGAAAGATAATAAAAGAGGAGAATAACAAACATAATGAAATAAGCACGCATCATTGCAGGTAATAGGAAATAATATTTGAACAGTGGTTTTGCTTATGCAATCCCATAATCACATATTCCATAAAAGCAATTTCCTTAAATAGACAGATGTGTCTCTGTTATTGGGTTTTTGAGTGAAGTTTTTCATTGCACATTGTCGCAGCATGGTGAAAATTGTAAAGACTACATGTCAGCACAAGCATTTTTTTTTTTTTTTGAGGAATTATATTTCTTTGATTGGAGCTGGAGAAAAGGACAGGATCATTATTTCATGTTTTGCTGTTGTTAGTTTTTATAAATAGACATTTTATTAAAAGTAAGAATAATACGAAACAGCACCTCCCTCGTCCTCTGACTCAAATTACTAAAATAATAACCACTTACACACACAATGAAAACAAATTTCATATACACTAATATTAAGGTCTTCTCACCATGAACTGCTGAAAGTAGAGGCTGTTGCCACCTTTGACTCTGCCCATGACATAGAGAAAGTCCGGGGTGAGGACGAATGGTACACGCTCCCTGTTCACACAGAGGAAGTGTTTTGTGTTCCCCAGGATGTGACCAAAGTCGATGTGAAACAGGTTTCCTGTGAGGAATAGGAAATTGAACTTCTGTTAGAAAAGTCTACACATCACATTTCATGATTCATTGTTTTCAAATGTAGTTCTTCCTTTTTTTTTTCTTTTTTACAGATATTGAGGTTTATGTAATCTATTCTTTTAGTTGCCTGTAACACTTTATCCACTTTAGCAAACACCTTTACAGTCTCAAGAAAGATTCACTCCTAGAGTAGTAGAAGAAACATTTTAAAGAATTTTGCAAGGTGCTATTTTTGATAACAAAGGAGAATCAGAAGTGTCCTGTTTGATAAAGAGATAATTTATTTAAGAATGTTCTCCATGCCCTGAACAGAACCTTTGAAAGCATGTTTGGTCCAACACAGCAATGACTAAGACCTGCTGCGGTTGATAATGGTGCTTTGACAAGACACTAATATCTTTCTGTGTTTTGAAGATTTGATCATTACAAAAAGACCCCACGCAAAGCCGCCATAGTCCTCTGTCTGCTCAAACCTACCCCAAAAACTGCAACTTTCTACTGTTTGAATGACCTTCTACTTCACCCCACATGCGCTTTGCATGAGAATTTTTTGTCTGTGGTGCCAGCACATCCTCTTATTATGCAGTGTTAATATGGTGCAGTCATTTATTTGTTTGTTGACTTCACGGGCTGTAAACAGGCAATCAGCGTTCAGAGTGGAGGTTTTTTCATGCTATAAGTGTACATACCTTGATCCGTTATCATGATGTTGTCATTGTGTCGATCTCCTATTCCTAATACGTAGGTGGCCACACAGTAACCAGCACAGGATTTCACAAACCTCTCCACGTCTTGTAGTGCTGTTGGTTAATTAGATCAAAACAACGTCATATAATATTTGCAAACAAGGAACATAATTTGCTCTCACTCATGCATCTGTAACCAACACTGCAGTTAGGTACATGCAGGACATTATGTTTGAAAGAAACGGGAAAGGAATAGATGTCACTTGATCAACATTTTTTCAAGATTATTAGATTATTCAAAGATTATGCACAAGTATCTTTGGGAACAAGACATGTCCACTTAAAATGCTTTTTTTTTTTTGTCATTTAGACAGAACCTCATTTTACTTACGATTTCCTGAAAGGGACACTTGGACTTGAGCCACTCAAAGAGAGCATCATTTCTGAAGGCTCCAGTTGTTCCTCCATGGTTCCTCTGGATGGAAGCAATTGTCACTGCATTCCTCACAATCTCAATCATGCCTGTGAGTAGAAACCTTTTACTGTGAAAGTTTGTTTAATTTGCTTTGCACGCTATGATGGATACCCTGGCTGAGTCCTAGGTGCTGTTTTGATCATGTCAAAAATAATATATACAGTATTAGAGCTGTGCATCTTCACTGGTCTTACAATTCGATTCGATTACGATTATCCAGTCAACGATTCGATTCGATATCACGATGCATCACGATTCATCTTTCTGTATTACTGCACATTGCTGCGTTTTCATGAACAAAGACAAACAGTCTTATAAATATGAACTCCTTTTGTAAAAAGTGCTTTAGACATCAATGTCATAATCAATATCTTTACATTGTAAGTTAAAATTAATACATTATATAGGTAGCCTACAGTATCGGTAATAAGTTTACGTTTTTGTGTGTTTAGTTTATTATACGAGCGAAAGATGTTTTTAAGTCACTGTGTGTTAAACACACCTTTAGCTGTAAAGAAAATGTTAATCTGTGCTGCGGTCGGCTAAAGAGACACAGAGTCAAGCCGTTTCAGCCTGCAGCAGAGCACTGTGGGTGGTCTGAGCGTGCAGGACCAGCTGACTCTGCTCATAAAGTCAGCAAGCACAGGACCGGGACTCAATTTACACTGTTTTCTGTCACAAATCCCTCTGTTAGCCTACGTTACTTTCATTACACACCACCGTGTGTGTTTAGGTAAAACAAACTCACTCAACGGTTAGCAAATGCTTTTTTCTAACCCTCGTCAGCATCCATTACGTCCTGTCCCTGCATCGATGCATTAAACTTCTAGTCTGCATCGCGATGCATCGATCAAATGATTCATTTCAACAGCCCTATACAGTCTATATACTGTGTATAGAAGAAGCATTGACTGTTGTGCTCCCTTCTCCAGATAACTCAGTTATCTGGAGAAGGAGTTCACTAAACAAGATATAGCATCCTGTGCTTCTACTTAATGTTAAAGCTTATGCTATAACGTATAGCACAGGGTTTTTGTTCTCTAAAAGCTTTATATCAACACAAATAAAGTTCTTTTCACATTTAGTTTTTGGTGTCCCCCCTCTCTTTCTCTTCATTTTGGTGGAGTTGAGTTAGATATATTTAATTCATAAACTGCAGGTTTGCAGAGTCAACTTTTGGAAACGATATCTAAAAATCTTAATAGACTACAGCGCCTGTTTGAGCCGTAATGTGGTTAATACCTATGTTGTGTCCTGTTGAGATGCAACCATATGGAATTAGGTTAAGGTCCAGAGATTTCTCCTGCCAGATGGAATCCATCACTGCCAGTGTCTAGACAGGAAGATACAGTGCCAGGCATCACATATCCAAAGATAAAACACATTCACTAAAATGAAACCCTGTGTTTGCTGTAAGAGAAGTTATTGATGAATAAAATACATCTCATTGACCTGGAGGACCAGCATGTCCTGTCTGAGGTCATCCCCCTGTTTGAAAATGATTCCCACAGGTAAAGAAGGGGTTGGAGATGGCATGGGACAGAACTCCAGCCACAGTGGCTTCTTCTTAGAGGCCATCACTTTGCATGTGTCAAGCTAAATAGAGAGAGAGAGAGAAAGAGAGAGAGAGAGAGGGAGAGAGAAAGAGAGGGTTTGTTTTACTAAGTTTTGAAGGCACTAAAAATATTTTCTGAATCAAACATCTTACAGTCAGTGATGAGGTTGAAGATTTTAACTAGACTATTTAAAGTTGATCTAGTTTTGTAAAGCACAAAGAGACCAGGACAACAGTATAAGCTGCCTTCTACCCCTTGATCAGTTAGGTTTTATTTCATAAAAGAAAACTTCATCTGATAATTCTATAAGGATGCAGAATATTATATGGGCTGTAATATTTCCAAAAATATTGTTGTATTATATTGTTATAATATATGTTGCCAAAATACCACAAAATGAAGAGGTGTTTGATCAAAACCACTAAAAAGAGCAGTAATTCCCATCTGTACTGAGTCCAATGGTACTGTTGGAGCAGCCTCTGCCATCAGTGTATGGAATAGGTAAATGTGACATAAAGAGTAGCTTTGAAAAGTTAAAAGACTGCAATGACTACAAGTAATTAATATGTAAATGTATTAGTAATACTTCAAATTTACTACTCCTTGTCTCTAAACATGTCATCTATGTACAGTACCTAATCATTGTATATGGTCTAAATACTTTAAAAAGGCATTTTGCTCCCACAATTTTAACAAACACATTCAACAGCAGGACTCACCAGTATGTTCCCGACTTTAATGCGGGGGTCCAAGGGCAGCAGGAACTCATTTGGCAAATCACAGTCTCTAAGAAGCTCTTGAACCTTGAGATGAGCTAAAACAATAGCAACAAGGAAAAGTGGAAACACAGAGAAAATGATAAATTCAATTGAATTAATTTCTGCAAGATACAGAGAATTGGAAAAATGTAAAAAAAACTCTCACACATCTGATTAAATAAATAAAAAAAATACCAAAGTAATCTCCCTGGAATAAACATTACAACGTACAACACACTTATATAAATATGATAAATGAATGCATAACCTTTTTTATGAATTAAAAATGTTGTCCTGAGGTGCTGTGATTACACCAATAACTCAGACTGTTTCAATCTCAGCTGTCCTCTGTCAAGAGGCAGGATTTACCGATGGACAAGACACCTTTTATATCACATAGTAACTTGCTGAGGGGTTTAAGTATCACTTCAATGTCCCAGTTTAACTAGATATGTAAGGGCAGTGAATATTTATTCAAATTGAAATGACATTATTACCTAGGAGGAGAAAGGGGAAGAGAAAAGGGACAGAGAGCACACTGAAATGGACAGAAGTGCAGATGCAATAAAAAAGTTGGAAATGTGTCAACAGTGACAGAATAAAGGCTATCCATGATATATATTTTAATTTTCAAAACAAAACTGTTGCTAGGGAAATGTCTTTAGAAGCGTGTTACTGTTATTGTTGGGATATATCCCGGCTCTGCCTCCTAAAGTCTAAACCCTTGTTTGTGCTGGGGACCTTGACAAAAGTTGACCTACACTAAAAAACAGATAACGGCGCACACTTTGACTTTATTTTTTTTATGTGTCCCACCTGCAGTAGGAAGGTCTTTTGAGTCAGGGTATAATTTTTTGATCATTATGGCAACCTCCTGTAGTGAAACCACGGCCTGGACTTGTTTGGTAAAGCTGTCAATCATTGCCTGACCACAACCCAAAAGGTAGGCCTCAAGAATCAGAGCCATACGCTGGCGGAAGTAAGGACATCCTGCCACTTCAGTGCGGACATACCAGAAGAAGAAGTGTCCGATTCTTTTGCTCTACAATGAGGGAGGACAGGTGATGTTGGGTGAGAGAGTCAGAGAATGGTACAGATACAGATAACATGTTTGTGTCAATAAATCTGCAAAAAAATAAATTCTTGAATTTGAAGTGATTGACAAAATGTATTCTTTTCAAAATGTCTCTTCTTTTTCTCTGTCACATAAACCGAATCCAATGAAGAAGTACAGAGCAGCTCTAAACTTGGGCACAATTTGTAATATACTGCCATCTTGTAGTAAAAGTATAAACACTACTTGATGGAGTTTAATCAAATCGTGGATTTAGCACCAATTCACAACATCATCTCAAGAGAGTTAACTAAAAAGAACAGTTTTAGACTGAAATCTTGACACATGGCTGTCAGTAAACGTAAAGTTGAGAGCAAATTAAACATTGTGCATGAGGTAGTACTGGTTGTTAACAATAGGTGGCACTATGACTGACAAGTAATCCATGTCAATCTTTTCAGATTAGTACTTCAATCAAAGGATGAAAATTTGACATTGGATCATTGACATAAGAGTTGGTACTGCTGTTGGTGATGTGACTTTGAATGAAAATGTAATTTAGATCGATCATGGATGGGACTGCCATTAAATGTGAGAAATCTGGAGCGGATCAAATATTCAACTTGAGAGTTTTTACTGGCTCCTAAAAATGGCTGGTGCTATGACTAGAAGAGAATAACTACATGAATAGCTAATAGAAGGTAATAGAAACCTGCACAGTTTTGAGTCCTCACTGAAGCTCATCATTTTCATTAGTACACAAGTATCTTGTTTAAGTGAACAACATGTAGAGGATATTCAAGAGAGATGGGGTTTGTCGTACAAAAATTTATTTTTTCTCATAGTCCACTGCACAGCTCCTACATTGCACTTTTTGTACATTTTGTGTTTTTATTTTTTATTTTTTATATTTTATATTTTATATTTAACATTTTTAAATTCTATTTTATATATTGTAATATCTTCTTATACTGTGTTATTTAAGTTGTTGCTAGTTCTGCTTTATTTCCTTTCTTCCGTTAATTGTTTAGCACCAATACACCGAGTCAAATTTCTTGTATGTGTAAATGTACTTGGCAATAAAACCCGATTCTGATTCTGAAAACAAAGAATAAAAAACGTATTTTACAAATTCAGATTTAGTATGATGTGTTGTGTACAAGGGAGAATTAGGGTGCTGCTTGACTCACCCGCAGAGCTCTTTGGATCAGGTAACGAGCCAGGAAACTGTCATGGTAAGGTTCGACTTTGAGGGTCTGTGTGAAAAAAACATGAATGAGAAGAAAAAATGTTACTATGAACTCTACAATCCCGGCCTCACAGAACGTCTCCATGAAGGCCTGAACACTTGATAAATTACAAAGTTGAAAAACAAACAAACCTCAAGCCTATAAACAGGATCACAATATTGGTCATGAAAATGCAACTTCATTCGTGAAATGTAAATTTTCAGCACAATATGGACTGAAATAATATAAGCATTATGTCTTTATATACCAACATATTCATTTGCCTATTTTATAAAAAACAATACCAATTAGTTGGGGACATGCAATTGCTTATATGTATATCATATATTTATTTTAATATATATATACTATATACTTTCCTTTCAATAGTTTCTATGACATTTGATATATATTTGGCTGATAAAAGCCACAATGGTACCAAATGAAGATCCATTTGGAGCACTTCTTGCTAAGCTGAACCAAATTATCTGTAAAGCTAAAAACACTTAGGATATTCACTTTCATTATCTTCTCTACCCAACAATATCAAGAATAGAACTTAAAACCGCCCCTTCCCTGACTATTCACCAATGAGTCTGTTTGTACTCAAGGATTTTACCCAGACATGTTTTCTTTCAACTGTTCCCCAATTGCTTGCTCATGGTTTACTGCATGTACTTAATTAAACAAAGAGAAGAGTCAGACCTCTAAATTTGTAAAAAAAAAAAAAAAAAAAAATTAAGCTGAACAGCACAACACATTTTTCTTTATTGTGCTTACAATATTTCACTTACCAGTGTGACTGCTATAAAACAGAAATTAGCTTGGGATGTTTTGCTCCATTGACAGTTTTTGCTATGGGAAAGTTTTTAATATCATTTACTTGAGGTTTTTTATTTTTCATTTTGTAGGCCTAATCATGTCCAAATTTATAATTGTAGATATTTTTCTGTAAACACATATCTGTACTGGTCTCTTTTTTGGTGGCTGTATTAAGGAATGGCATAATATTGAAACATGTCCTGACTTCTCTCAGATAAACAGGGGACACATTTTCCACGTCTGTTTGGAGAGAAACACATACCTGCACCAGCTGCAGCAAATACTTCAATACATCATCATTGGAAAGGCTCTCCAATCTCTTGACTGCTAGCCTCCTGACGGTCACATCAGCAAACTCCATACTTAACAGCTCCAGGGCCACTGTTACATCCAGTTCCTCAGGGTCCAAGGTCTCCACCAGCAAGTGCACATCCTCAACCACTCTGCAATTCATCCAATCAACATTGCGCAGGTAATGAGGTAGAATGGAGGCATTGCAGAAGCTGTCCTGCTGGAATCTTTTCATACCGACTCGTTTGGTCCGAACAACACGAGGTGTGGATCCTACAGTGTCAGTTAAGGGGTCTTGTGGAGCATTTTCATGCAGAGAGGAAGAATCCGCATTGGGTGAGGTGGAAGGAGGTGAAGAGGGTCCATAGGGGACAGCATAAGAGGAAGCAGTAGATTTGGTCAAGTTCAGGCTGGAGGTTGGACTGTCAGAGTGTCCAGCAGTGCCAAATCTATTTGGGAGAACAACAGGGACGCTGTAGTGGTCGAGATGGAAGCTGATAGCCATGCAGTCCGCTTTGTCTGGGTTAGTAGCAGAGGACAGTTTTTCTGCCTGGTAGTTGATAGCCTCTTCCTCCTGGTCCGGATTTGACCACATGTGAAGTGTGAAGGGGCCCTGGCTGAGAACAGACCTGCAGGGTGGATGGAAAGATTTATTATAATTGATTGACAAAGCAATGTTGTTCTTAATATATATCTTTTTACAAGTTCTGTTTTGTTATTTCTATTCTACTCTCTGAAATCCTTAATAATCAGCCCCAAACAGCTTGATCCTATTTTTGTGTTTGTATATTTTTTTTAAATTTAATTTCTGCCTCATTAAACAATACATGATTAATAGCAGTGGGGCTCAACTGGTTTAGGCATAGGTCCACCACCACATCCTTAATCAAAAATTGTGAACCACTCTTCTAACAATTTTCAAACCCGAAAAATGTATTGAATAAAAAATGGTTTCAACCTTAGATGGAAGAAAACATGTAGCCTAATAGAACAAACAAAGATTAAACAAAACAAACTCATCACTTTTCTTGCAACAATTGATTTCCTCTAGGTAGCCTGAAAACAGCTTTGCTTTTGAACCACTGATCCATTTGGAATACCTAAACAATACAGTAAAGCACTTGAAAAATAAATGTATAAAGAACCAGACCTGTGATCGATGAGAAGAAGATTCACAAAGTAGAGCACCTTCCCCTTTCCTCTCTCTGAGTTTGGTACTTTGTTTGAATCTCTGTTCACGATGGAGTTGTCACCATCACTGGCATTAATAGTGAAACTAAGCTTGGATCCACGTGGCAGGTCCCTGAGGAGAACATCAAAGTCGAACCACTCATTCCACAGCACTTCATCTGCGAAGCTCTTGGAAACGGAGGACACTGAAGACAGCACCTTGTTGCCATAAAGTATAGAGGCTCTTACATAAACAGACTGAGGACATTTGTTTGGAAGTGTCGGGATATCAAAGCCGATCAATTTGACTCTAAGTTGTCTGTTGCAGTCCCATAACGATATCTTAAAGATGTCTTCCAAATCCTTTCCCTCGGGGCGGAGGTCTTCTTGGGAGCTGAACTGACCGGTGGAACCATCAATGAGGGGCCAGTCAATAGACTTGACAGTCTCATCAACAAGTTGTGACACCGGGACCACAGAGACGTGGAGGTCTTGTTTGTTCTTCAAACACTGTCTAACCCAGAGGAAATCCCTGAGTGGGTAATCTCCAGATAAAAACTCCTCCCTGCCGCAGATTTTCAAAACCAGGTTTTGAGAAGAGTCATAATAAAGTTTCTGGTTGGCCATCACTCTTTGAAAAACTTTCAAAAGAACATTTGGTGTTGCATCCATATCGACTTGAATGCTGAAGCTGATTTTGCTCAGGTAGTGAAGGGTGACAGGGAGCTTAACGTTAGGGTGGTCCTGCATGTCGTTTGGAATGGGGACACGTGTTACCCAAGGCTCAGTGGCATATAACAGATCATCCCGTTTCTTAAGCTCTTGTGTTCTCGGGGTTGCCAGTTTCCTGCGAGTGAATGTGAGCTCACCAAGTCTGTCGGATGCTTCTTCTTCAAGATTGTGCCCGGTCAGGTAAGACAGGCACTGCTGTTGTTTCATCTTGGCCTCCAAATCGACTGCCAAGAGTGGTTTTACCACTATGTGTGCTGAGAGCTGCCCAGTGTCATCATGAGACAATGGAATATCTAATGTCCTGATAGCCTCACTGTCATCATAGGCCTCATACCAGTCTTCCCCTCTAGCATATAGCAGAGTGTATTTCTCTGGATCCAGTATGGCAAGTGGGTCAGGATGGCAATTCTTTTCCTGAGCCTAAAGGCATAGAGACAAATGTCGGGAAAAAAAGGTTCACAGAAAAATGTGCAGCAGGATTATGCATGGATGATCATATTAGAGAGAGGACAAAAAGGAAAGAACAGACACTTTTTATCAAAGACCATCCAATTAGCACTTTGATACTTTCAAATTTAAAGTGTGTTAACTTCTAAGACAATTATTGTTATTATTGTTATTATCATTATTGTTATTGTTATTATTATTATTAATATTAATATTATTATTATGGTGTTTGCTTACCAGCATACAGATGCCTAAGCGCAGTTGGTAGATGCTGCACTGTGTGGGGAGGATGACTGACACTGACTGACAATCCGTATTGTAAATCTCATCCTTATCCCCAGATGCCTGAGGCGGAACAGACCCAGGCTGGAATTCACAGATAAACTTCAAGATGTTCTCTGAGCAGCTTTGGCTCAACATCCCAGAAAGACAGTGAAAAGCATGTTGACCGGCTGGCTGGTTCCAGGGCTGAGCCGAATCCATCGATTCCTAACCAGATGAGTTATAACTCAGTCAGTTCATATGACTCTGATTATCATATCAATCTCTCTGTAAGATTCACAGGTAAAAAAATGTATTCACATTGCAGATTGGATATGTTAATAAAGCATATCAATAAAAAGAAATCTTACCACAACAGGTGCTGTGTGTGACCAGATTGTAAGGTGGAGTCCGTGTGAATCTGTGCTTGTTTGAACGTTAAAGACTGTGTGTTCCCTTTTTTGGAATATGCTTTGTGACTTCCTCATTCTTATGTACCACATTCCTCAAACAAACAACAGCATAGAGATTATAAACACAGAGCCTTTAATTACAATGACAAACATTTGACTTCCTTGTTCCCTTGTAGCCTCTGATTTTTTACCATTAGTTCATAACGTGTACAAGTATCTCTTTTTACACATTTGCCAGTGCAAAGATGGACCCTAAAGGGAACTAAACACCTGCATGTTTGTCAGGTGCTCACCTGCTGTTTTCTTAGCATTGTTTCAATACAGTACTCAACTATCAACAAAAGGATGCTTTCTTAAAACTAGGCCACCCATTTTTGTAATTATTTGGGATTGAACAGGTGTTGATTTCTGTAGCCAAAGCAGCTGGCTCAGCTGGTTGTGTCTCTTCTTTTAAAAAGATCACAAGGACACAAACAGGCTTTGACTTATCAAATAGCAGGCCTTCTGCTTCAGACTCTGTGTGTGCTAAAATAAAATAGACGCTAGATTCTTTATTTTAGCACACACACAGAGTCTAAAGCAGGGTTTTTTTTCTGCACAAAATTAAACAATCCTGTGCCAATAATGAGACGAGATGAGGTGAGGTGAGGTGAGGTGAGGTGAGTCATTTTAATTTCAATGCATTCCGGCACCACCTTAAATGACTCCCAATAGAAAGGAGCAGCTCCTCTACTCTGAGCTCCCTCCATGGATGTACAACCTCCGTTACCATTTCTCAAGACTGAGGCAAGCCACCCGCAACCAAGGTGATGAAAATGATGATTAAAAAAAGCTATTTCTCTAAAATCAAGAACCCTGATGTTGCAAACTCCCACTCTGTAGGTGGCGGTATGGACGTGTAACGTTGGTTGCGATCGGCCCATTTAAAACCCAAGAAGAAGACTACTTCCGGGTTGTTGTACATCCTGTACGGATACGATACGTGTATTAAAGAGTAGCCTGTGCCTTTCTGTAAACACGGCTACGTGATTTAAAAATGGTGTACGTTTCCAACGGTAGGTGTTCCGTTTGTTCAACATTGTTTTTATCTCAGTTAATGTCTTTCCTTTCCGACATGTCAGCTTCAACACACCTCTGTGATAGTAACTTGTAACAGAACAGAGCCTGGCTGTAGCTAGCAAACAAGCTGATTAGCAAGTTTAGCTTGCCTGGAAGTGCGTAGCAAGAATTATTGATATATAAATATTTATGTTGATCGAGTTCAACTTTAAAGGGGAAGGCTTTGAAGTCTACTAACCCTATGTTGAATATTAGACGATGTCACAGACCTCTCTCTAAATCATCTTAAGACATAGTTAATTGTTGTTAAAATACTATATTATCTTTATGACACTTTATGAAGTGAGACCCTGATAAGATGCTTGTCACTATTATCACTTTTGATTGGTTACATGCCTATGTGTACTAAATACCACTATAAGCATTTATACTTAATAGTGACTAGTCTTTAATAATAGTTCTATATACACTAACCTCTCTGTCTTGTAGGTCAGGTCCTGAACAGCAGGACTCAGTCACCATGGAGACTGTCCCTACTGGTCGATCTGTTCTGGGGAGCAGTGGAGTTTTTTGGCCTTTTGTAAGTCACCATCATCCACACGAGTTAAAGCCTAGAGATTAAATACGAATATAATTCTGTGAGATAGTGTTTACCTAAGGTAACAGGTGGACTAGTAAGTTAGTCAAATGACCATTCTGGTGTCTCTGTGAGGCTTTACTTTGTTCAGCAGGGTTTTATATAACGCGTTAGTATCAGTATTCTAACGTCCTTAAAATGTAGCCCATGTAAATGAATTGTAAATTATCAAGTGCCATACAAGATCATTAATAAGATAATATTCCAACACATTCATAGTTCATAGGCTGTCCATTAGAGAGCAAATTGCAGTTGGGTATGTTGCCCAGTTTGGGATACTTTAACATGTAGACAGGAGTAGCTGAGGATCCTACCACCAATATTCCTATTGAACGACTACCTGCTGTATCTCTGAGTCTCAAGTGCTCAACCATTATACTCACAGTGCTAAGATGTTGATGTGCAAATGAAATGAAGAATGTGTAACATGTTACTTGTTTGTCAAGTCCCACAATGGTAGATTTGTTCTTCTCTTGCATGTATTTTGTCAAGTATTGGGGCTGATTATCAATGTTACGTGATCAATGGCAGTTTTGGACTGCCATTGATCACGTAACATTGACATCTACTCTGATCTTTTATTTCCTCTTCCAGTTTTAAGACCATGATTCACCCTGACATGACAAAGGACGGATACGGTGGTTCATTACGCATGAGTGATGGCAGAGGGTAGGTCATTCCTCCACTGTTTTAAACATTTGGGAAATGTACTACATGCCTCTTTAAGCATTTACATTTTATTTTGGATGTGAATATCATCCTAGGGAGAGCAGGTGAGACATATCCAGGTTTTCTTCGAATTAGATGAATAGACACAAACCAAACCCCACCACAGATAATGAGTATCCCCACAGAGGTTATCTTTCTTTTGTAACTTTTCAAGGTTTTAGTGTGCATACCACTAAAAGGCAGCTTGATGATTCTTTGACTGGTCTTTTGCACAAACAAATAGTGACGCAAAATGTGGTCAAGTGGAACAGTTCTTTGTAACAGTAATAATTTTGACATGTAAATACCAATGTTAGTGTCTATTTCTGTTTACTCTTTCCACTCAGTTCACTCCCAGTTCCTCCTTGTTATGTCTAGCATGACAACTGCATATTAAAGGGTCTTTTCACATGATTCACACATTACCCTCAACTATCTGTCTGTCTCCAGCAAAGGGTATGTGAAAAGTCACTTCAGATTTTGGCCAAAACTTGAATCTAAATCGTTTTTTATTTTCATTCTTATCTGTGTTTGGTTGAGGTTTACTGAGTGAATAATCGCATAATCTCTGATAAAGACCAATTATAAATTTTCTAATTGGTGTTGCTTAATTTTACAATTATGGCAGTCAGAATTAACTTTTAATTCATGAATAATTAAGGTCCCAAATGAATGCACTCATTTTTTTTAATTGTGTGCTATTTTGTCCCTTGAGGCACACAGTAGGCATTATTCTTTGTAACGTCTTCCTGTAGTCACAGTGATGGAAAAGAACGGCCCTGCTGCACCTTTGAATGTCTCATTAAAAAATCCTAGACAGTTAAGTCAGAATTGAGTTAATGTCATAACCTTCGATCTACCGGAGGTTCCTTATTGTACTTCAAAATAAATGCTGGTTTGTATTCATACAGGAATTAAAATATTGTTAGTCTTAAAACAGTACAACAATTCAAAATAAAAGCCTACCATAAACCGTTTTCAAATGCTTAATGTAATTTCAAACATGTATAAACATTAAAAATTCAGTGATGAATCGTGAATAAAATCACTTGATGACCCTAGTTAAAATACAAGCACTGTAAAATACAATTTGGCACCAAATCCAGACCAAACATTAAAGTATAATCCAGGTAGATATGTAGGTTTACACCTTCAATAATCTTTCATTGTCTAGATTTTATGCTGTTTGAAATTTGAAGTGTTATTATGACCTTAGGTCACCAGAGAGAAAATGACAGGAGGAACTAGTGCTCAGATGCTGCGTCCACGACTGAACACATCCAGGTGTTCATGATGTGTTTCATACTGCTGCTGTGACTACAGGGTTTCACTCCTCTTTCTGTTTCTACTTAACGGTTCAACAAGTTTGCATATACAGTATTACATGTTCCTTCAGTATTTCTACGAGCCTTTTTTATTCTCAGCTGTCAGGGAAAAGAATAATTGAAGTCAGCACTTTTTTCCACAACTGATTAAAATCTGAAAATTCTGGGAGGGAAAACCCACCCCCTGGTTCTGGGTGGGTGTGCAGTATACAGTCAGTTACCATGGTAGCCAGGATTAAAGAAATCCCCTCTTGTAAAACTGAAGACTCTGTATTTATGCTCAGCAAACCGCTCTAACCTGGTAATCTTTGCCTGTGTTAAAATACTAATTTGTGGATTAATTATGGATGAATGAGATTAAGGAAAGGGAAATATTTGATATAGCCTGGTCTCATGTTTCCTCGATCCTCGCTGCCGAAATAAGACTTGAGACGTCCTTCAACATGGTGGCATGGAACAAGTTTAAGTGAGGAGCGAGGAAACGAAAAATAAGAGACATGAGAAGTAGCCATAGTAGACAAGAGACTGACAAAAACACAGAATTATATCATGACATTTAGTTCACCTTGATCCGCTTCCTTTTCACTTTGTTTTCCTTTTTTTTTTTCTGTAGTCCTCCAGGTCCCCCTGGTGGCAGGAGAAGTATTGGAAGAATAAACCACGGTGCAGGTCCCAACGCTCCACCAATGGGTGGAGGAGGATGAGGAAGGTGATTTATTTATTTTCTTAATATTTAAGACCTTTTCTCTGAAACATGTATCATGAAGTCAGCTTATGTTTTACAGGCTTTATTTTAATTATTCAACCGATATTTAGACATGATTTTTTTTTAAAAGACTCCTCCATTGTATAACTTAACTCTCGCGTCTCTTTAGGTAAACGCCTACATGTCCTGTGTAGGCGTGGGGCCGGGCACAGTGTCCTTTTCCTGAGATCTTAACAGAGAATGTGACATCAGTGCTGAAGCCCCCCTTCATCTGCTGCCGCTGCCACAAGCAGTTTCTTGACGCCTTTCTGGGAAGACCTACTCATAGGGTCCAGAACGGCTGATACAGCAGCAATCCACATCACCCCCCCCTCCCTTTTTTTTCTGCCTTTGCCCCTTTAAACTTTCCTCCACCACCAGACATCAGTCTCCTAGTGTGTCACTTTTTGTCATAACCCCTCTATCATGAAAGTAGTTTGTTCTATGTATCGCTGTTTAATTAAAAATGTCTACTTTTCAAATGTGCGCCTAAGTTTTCTTTGCTTCAGACCAGAGGCAACATTGTAATCCACTCAAGCATGTTCAAAATAAAAAGTAAAAGGTTTTTGTTTGTTTCAATAAAATGCAACTGTTTCTGACCGGTTTATTTGTTCCGATCCAGACATCAGTTAACATTGAAGCATTAAAGTATAAACAAAAACACCAGAATCCAAAGGTATTAGTTAACAAAAACCATATTCAGGTATTTGATGGCAACCGGACACCCAACAACAACAGGATAGTAAGATTGTTATGTGACAATTATCAAAATGTTAGCAGGGATGTATTGAAATCCTGAGTTCATCAAATACCTCCCAAGTACCTGATGAAGGTCGGTTAGACCAAATAAATTTATCAGCATAGAGTGAGAGGAGAGTGGAGGAGCTCTTCTCATTGTCTTTAAGTTTTACCCTCCTCTGAAGCACCTGTCACACATTCCGGTGTACAGAGATTTTTTTTTCATCAAATACCTTCCCACCATTCAGAGCATCCCAATTCAAACGTTTGCTTTAAGAAAAACAAGTTTATTATTCCACAGCCCTGTTTTGTCTACTTGTAAGTTTTTAGTGGGTGAGTTCTTCATGGTTATCTTTAAACCTTACTTTGACCTACTCCAGAACAAGAATCCTCTGTCATGGCATGTGCAAGAAGAATTAGCCTACTTAAACCATGTATACCATGTTTTTGTGGATCACCTCAAGAGCAGGTAAAGTTTTAGATTTAATTAAACGTCGTTTGGTATCACCAGACGAAGGCAGCTCTCTCACGCAGCATTCGGACACCGAAGCGCTGCCACTCTCTCTGGTGGATCCACATCTCCTGGGTGGTGTCCAAACATGCCAACACTGCTCCGCCCTTCCACGATATCAGCCAAGGGTCCATGTCCTGTAGTGTATAAATATCACAATATAGTTCTTTCAAAGAGCTATTTAGAGCATTTTGCCACCAGTCTTAACAGCTTGTTGTGTTAAGAACGTATTGTTCTTACACCTTCATCTCTGTATAGATATAGTTAGTATAATATACTTAGAATTTCCCTTGGGATTAATAAAGTCTATTAATCTATCTATGCCACTGAACACCAAGCCACTTTCCCCTGCACTAAAGATCTAGATCCAGTTTTTTGGAGTATGTGCAACGTATCTCAGGTTACCTTTGGCCGTGTGATAACCTCCACATTGTCCACCAGTCTTCTGAATGACGGTGGCATCTTGTTGATAATGCGGTGAAGCAGGAACTCCTGTGCACCGGAAAACATGAGCCCTCCTCCAACGACCAGGATGGAGCTGTACATCTTGCGTTTGGTTTCGTCTGACGCTGTGGATATGAAAGAAAACGTGAGCTAAAAAAAAAAAAAAAAAAAAAGTGCAGCACCTGGTTACATTTTTATTTTATTTTTTAAATTAGGCCTACTATGTCCTTCTTACCACAGCAGTCAATGCTGTGCAGGATGGCCTTGTCCAGGCCAAGTGCCCTGCTCTCAAACTGGCTTATGATTGCAGTCTTCCTGGAGAGATGAGCAGACAGGGGCTCTTCCACCTCTCCTGCCCCAATAAGACAATCCCCCTGTGCAGTCCCAAGGTCCACCTCCCCTTTAGTCCCTCCGCCACTACTGCAGCCCCTGGGCAGGTCAGAGAGATCTCCAATCCCCCCCTGACCACTCATGTCTCCATCCAAACCTCCACCTGGTCTAGGAACAGCCTTCCGGTCTGCAGCAGATTTAGAGGACTGGTGAAGAAAATTTAGAGACTATTTAAAAATCGCAAGAATCATCAATCAACTACAGTATAAAGGACTTCTAATTTAACTCTATGTTTTAAATGAACGTGTGTGTTACCTGGTCCTGTTTGCTCTGTGTGGCGAGCAGGTAATGTTCGTCGTAAGGATCCTCTGAGTCACCTTGGGAACGGCACTGGAGTGATGTCATCTTCTGGGCTACAATGCCAAATGTAGTCGGATAGAAAAGACCCATAGGTGCCTACAATATGCAAACATACATTGTTACCAGAAAAAAAAGTGGGAAGGACACAAATGGAGCTAGACAATGAGATTAATGCGAGACCACAAAGCACTCTCTATACAAATGTTCAGTTTGAATTATTTGAGCAAAGCACCTGTAATTTCTCATCCCCTAGTCGAACCTGGTAGAGAAGAGTTGGGGCTTCTGGAAAGCGTGTCTGGAATTCATGATCTTGTAGTCCTGATATGTCCTGTTAAGAGTAAGAACCGCAGCGAAACATCTGTACCATGGTTTACTGTTCAACATTTGAGCTACAGTAAACACACAGAGCCCATCCCCTGATGAATACACACTTGATCTAGATGGCACAGGGTCTCTTTCAGGTGTTGCAGGAGCTGACAGTCCAGTCTGCTGGACAGCTGGCAGTCTCTGTAGGGGAAACCTGCTCTTTGCAGGAGCCAATAGAAAGTCCGGGTCACATCTGAGCCCCCATATGCTAAACACAGCCTGTGAAATGCAACACAGACAAACATACAATTCAATACTACGTAGGTCCACTGTTTTTTTTGGTTTTTTTTCAGAAATTCTATGACCTTGAATTAAATTTTACCTTTCCTTGCATTTCTCTGCTTTGCCTACAACTATGTTTTTCATTCCTACAAATCAATAGAGAAGGCTGATGGCACATCATCTGATCTCTTTGTGGTATTTGCTGAGCACATGTATCCCCCCCCACCCCTACTTTACAGATTTGTTCTGAATTTCTTTCTAATCCCATCTGTTTGTTTACTCAACGTGGCATTACAATTCTCATTGACTCTATGCTAAATTATTTTTAATAGAATTACTAAATGTTAAACTACAAGAAAGATGTCCCCATCAATCCATGAGAAACAGATCATTTAAAAAAAAAATTAAAAAAAAACTCCTACTTATTATCAGTGTCACAGCTTCTCGTGTACAAAAATGGATGAATAAATTGGTTCATAGATGAAGCATAAACTAAAAGTTCCTCGGTCCTACCTGGAGTTGCGATGTGACACTCCGTCCTCTACACAGCAAATACTTGTCTTCTGGTCTCCTACATCCACGACACAAGCACTGCTCAAACCACTTCCAAATGTTGCACTCACCGACTCCTGGTGCACTATGATAGCTATACAAAGACAACATGCACACACAGACGCAGAGGAGGTTAGATGATGGTTGAAAGAAACAGTCTCCATAGTTCCTTAGCTTGCCACGAATATGATGAGGCAGAATTGAACATTCACTTTTGATATGTATACAAGTATATATAAGTATGTATTACCTGAGAAGCCCATATTAAGCAGCAGCATGTTGACAACTTCTTTGATGTGCTCCCTGTTGCAGATGTCTGGGACCAATAAGATGCATCTGTAATACTGATAACCAGGAACAAAATGCAAAGAAAACATGTAAGAAAGTATACAAAGCAGCTTTGATATTTTTTTATTTCTTTCTTTGTAAAGCTCTTAAAAGTGTTAAGAATGTCTTAAAAGCTTAGAGCAGCAGGAGTCATCCTGATTAAGAATGGGTTTCTCTAAGATTTAATTGAAACTGATATAGAAATACATTTTGCTTATCAATACCGACAATAACTGACACTTAATCTAAGTGCTCTCAATAATGTATCGAAATCGACATGTAGATGTTTAAAAAGTTCTGCTGATGCTTTAGCATTCCAGCAACAGAAAACATAAACATGCTACCAAGCCATAAGAGAGTAAGCCGGGTCAGTTGAGCCTAAAGTCAGAGTTTTCTGTGTCACATAGCTGGCTCTCTTTTACCCCAGCTTGATCGCCATGGTAACTTACTTTAAACTCATAACCTGATTGGGACCAGGAGTTTTTAGCTGGAAAAAAAATGCTGACTGGTAAGTGGCAGAACCCATCTTCTCACTGATCCACATAAAATCTGAACCATAGTTTGTAAAATGCCCATTCCTATGTTACAAGTTTGTTTCCGATTTTCGAATCTGGCACAGATTGGTTTGTTTTGTTTTGACCAGAGAATAGGCGGCACCCCCACACGGCTGTTTTGGACGCCCAGCGGTATGCCATGCAAATGGAAAACCAAACAGGTGTTGCAGCGATGGAAGCGGCAAGTGAAATGGTTCCGATAGAATGGATTCTTCCCAAAGGAAGAAGAAGAAGTGTGACCAAAAAAGCCACTGCATTCTTTCTAATAAGCACCACGAGCAGAAACGAAGAGGTTAGAACGCAGAAAAGTTATAAAACCGATGCAGAGCTAGCTAAACACTGAAGCATCAGTGTATTTGACATGGCAACCTGCGTGCACATCAACTCTAGAGAGAAGGAATGAGGGGCAGCTCTATCCAATGTTTTGAATGTCTTGGATTGCAGTACCTATTTTAAACACTAGGTGTCAGAGTTACATATTGCTCCTTTAACTTTAAATATTTACATTCTGCCTCACACTGATCAAACTTTTACATCAAAGTGCTGAAAAATGTAATATCATTCATAATTTAACTTTAGTTATAAAAACATTTCATCATTATGTCTCTTTCATTTCATCTCTGTCAACATGTTGCAGAGTCCTGCAGAAAGTTGGTATGGAGAGGTGAGGAGGTTGCTTCTACCTTCAAGTCCTTAATGGGGATATCCAGCTGCTTTTGAATGATGTGACTCCAGATTGTCTCGAGGTCAGCCAGGACGGAAGTCAGTGAGCCTCCAGGACCTGCATGTACATTGAGCCGACCTCTCACAATGGGCCAGTGGATGTTGTAACAGTCGGTTGGATTCACATGAATAGCCTGCATGACGGTAGGATGGAAAGATGGAAGGGTTGAGCGTGAGGGAGAAAATGAACAAGCAGGGTAGAAGAAAAAAAAGAGTTGAGGAAATGGACTGTAGAGGTCCTAATTTAATATCTCCTTAATCATGAACTCAGCCATGAGATACTCACTGACCTCCTCTCCGACCAGATGAGGAGGATGGTGGGCTGTGTTTGTCCACCTCACCCTGGTGCTGCTGTCTAGAACTGCTGGACGGATCTGGCAGTTATAAGCTCTTGCCTGAACCCACAAAAACACACACACCAAAGAATTCTATTATTTCCTGCACATTGTTTTGCAAACAGAAATACTCAAAGTCATAGCAAAACTGCTGAGTTGCTCCTCAATATAATTTTTTATTTTTACCAGATCCCCTTTCGATAAGCATGGAATTGTTTCACATTTTAGCCGCCTGACTATTTCAAACATATGCAACAATTCTTCCTCTTCCCGTTTCTTTTTCATAATGCACACCTGTTCAGCTGATACTGGTGTCCTTCGGATCCCATTTGACATCTTCTTGGACCAGATGGCCTGGTCGACCATTTTAAGCCCATGCTGCCTCTGCTCATTACTCTCAGGTTTCTGTCACACAGAAGAGGATCAACGAATAATCAGAGTTCAGTGGAGATAGGAAATACAAGACAGTATAATGGTTATAGCTGAGCGTGAGCGACGTACATTTAGACCGTCCCTCAACAGCCAGGCGTCTTCATATCTGGGCTGTCCACTTTGTTTGTGTCGTCGCGCAATAACGTGTGGAACCGTCACCGGCAGAGTGTCTGTTGCTCGCCCGATACGGAGTGTCCTCGATCCAGGGTGGATAACAACTACAAAGTTGCTCTGTATTTGCTGTGAAAGAGGAATATATATATTAGGTCATGGCAATTTGTTGTACTGGTGGATCATGATGCTACGTAGTATTAGTGGAAAGGATTAACAAGCATTCAAAAATGTTTATTTCTACAGTGAAAAATGTTTATTCAGGCAGGCCACAAAAGTAAATTATGAAAATTCAGTAAAACAAAGAAAGGAAAAAATATATAACAGAAAATGTGCAATGGAACAGACTGTAACTTGCACTGCTGGCAGTTTTAAATAAATTAGAAAAAATAACTTGTACTTGCATCTTTTCTGATGAACCGAACTTGTATAGAACAGTGACCCCCTGCACCGGGGCACAGACCGAACTGTGACCTCTGAACCGTCACGACCCTTCTGATTACATCATGTTTTTACTTTTTCCATGTTTTTTTATTCATCATTTATTAAGATTGTTGTATTAATAGTGTATATACTTTATCAATACCTGCCATGTAATTTTCCTTACATCTGTTCTGTTTATTGTGTGTCTGATATCTTCTCTGTCTGCATCAAATCAGAGCACTGGGACTATTGCCATGAAGTGAACCTCAGATTACTAAATAAGGGAATTCAACAAATGACTTCTTTCTCTTTCCAGTGCTGACTCAATGTTCACTTTGGCCTTTAATAGTTTCAAATAAAAAATGTTCATTTTTCTTTAAGATTTATATTATTTCAAGTTCAACAGTCTTTTGAACCAATGAACCTCCAGCTTTAAATTGAAAAGATTGCATGAAAGCTTGGTTCATTCTAAGATTTGTACCATTTACAAAAGGAAAGGTGTATGCCAAGGGATGCCCTAGACCTATCATTTCATCATTAAATATAAAAACAGATGATGATATTGGATATTAGTTTAAAACAGATTGAGAATAGAGATGTGATTGGTGCAAAACTATTTATAAATGCGTAAAAAGATGCAATTGTGTACACTGACCCAGAAATGTTTGACACTAAGGAGTACATCACCTTTCCTTTTCAGATTGAGTGCAATGTTTCCACGCTTTTTCTTTGGCTAAAGTCTCCACAAAGAGGGATTATTTTTTGCAAAGCATTAATTGCATTTCTTTATTTTTTAAATCTTACTGTGTGAAAATTGTTGCTTTTTATTTTCTTTCTTTCTTTCTTTCTTTCTTTCTTTCTTTCTTTCTTTCTTTGCCAGAGCTGGCTTGTTGGCAAATTGAATTTTATAAAAAAAAAATGTAAAAGATGAAACACGTGTAATTTTAATGTTATCTATCTCTAAAGAAGGTCATAGCAGAAAGGGGAAGCAAGGCATATATTTTTTAACCACAAAAAACAGTTCATTTCGTTAGAAGAGACATCAAACAGCACGACACAGCTCAGCTCACTGAGGAGCTCAGCTGATATGGAGCCAGTCCAAAACACTGAAACACAGGATTAACATTCAGCCAACGCTTTGAATACGAGCATTACAGAACAATCACAACTCTTGACTTCCCATCTCACCTCGTGTAAGGGCTCTTGGATGAGCGGAGGAGCGATGGGTCTTTTCACACCTCGCTGTTGCTCCTTCTCTTTCTCCTTCTCTCGCTCCTTCTCTTTCTCCTTCCCGTTGTCCTGCTCTTTCTCAGCCTGAGTCATGTTTCTTGCTCAAACTCATCAAACATGTAAAGAGAATATACTATTTCTAGGCAAGTGCGTCAAAACGCGACCACATAACAGACCTTGATCTAAAACATTGGTCTAAATGTGCTGCTTTGGATGTGATAGATTCTACTTCCGTGTTTGGTCACATGGTAAATTCTTCTTCTTCGCTTGTATTTTTTCCCGGGTGGCACTCAGCTTCCAGGTACATCACTGCCACCCACTATGTTGAAGTGTGGACCGTAGTTTTTACATAACCCTTTGTAAAATAATAAAATAAATAAAATAGTTCTGCAGGTACATTTCGTTGATTAGCTCTATTTCTTTTTCATAGTACATTCAGCTCCCTAATCCAATAGCAAGTCAGATGCCATTTTAAATGTCTCTCTTTCTCTTTTTTTACTTCCGACATTGTATAAGAGAACATGGTCTATTGGTTCCTCTACCTGACACTGTTGGGGTGCATAACATGTTTGATTCAGTCTTTTATGTCCAACACTTATCCTTGTTATGATGTCTTCATTTTTTCTCCTAATATTTGTCAGAAGTAACTAATCCCATTCATACACCACCACTGAAGCAGCAGAGCAATTTGGGGTTAAGCATCTTGCCCAAGGACACATTGGACATTTGGCCAGCTGGGGATTGAACCCTCAACCTTTTGGTTGAAAAGCAACAACTCTACCAATTGAGCCACAGCCGCCCCGTACCTATCCATATGCATGCAATTAATACATTTATATTAGGATAGGATTTGGGCGGTTGGGTGCATTGTGGCTCATTTGGCAGGGTCAGTCATCTCTCAACCAGAAGGCAGGGGGTTCGATCCCCAGCACCTGCAGCATGATGTTCGATTTGTCCTTGGGCAAGACACTTAACCCTTGCTCCTTCTGCTTCGTCAGCGGCGTATGAATGTGTATGAATGGGATTAGTTACTTCTGATGGTCACTTTACATAGAAACCATCAGTGTGAGAATGTGTAGGTGTGAGATATGTAAAAGTACTTTAGTCAGAAGACTAGAAAAGCGCAATACAAGCTCAAGTCCATTTACCATTTCATATATTTTACAAATAATATTCTGTTTACTGTGATTTTAATGACTGTATATGAACCAAAGATGACTTTGTATCTTTGCCTGTTCTATCCATCTCTAACTGTGTAAACTGACAAATATTTGCAACCAATCTTAATCTAGAATTTTAATATTTAATATTAAATTATCACACGTCACATGAAAGCATTTCAATTCAAATTCAATTAAAATGATATAATGACACCTCAGAAACGTAGAAAGTAGAATCAGAGGTCGGAGGTTATATGATTGAGGCAGTTTCTTCAGAATCAGATTCAGGTGTGCTGGATTATTGCTGCCATGAAGCTGTTTATGATCAGATGTGGATCAAATTGTTTTCTATGAAGGAGCACGTGTTGAAGAAAATTAAAACTCCCTCAGACTTGAAATGAGACACATTGAAGACAAAAAGGTAACTAAGGAAGTTAATTTATAATTGGTCGTAGCAGCTTGCCTTATCATTCTATTCTTGAACATTTTAAAAGTACCACCAACTACAAGGTTGATTCATTCAACCTTTCATATAGCTTAACCCTTTTCACAATGCAGAAATCTGCTGAAAAACTCTGGAGATTAGTCTACCCGGAGGTTCTTTAGGCGCAAGGTTCTTTGTGTGAACGCAAACAGACACATTTTTTGCGCGGACTTTACCCGGAGTTTCTCCTGCCAAACCCCTAGTCTTTTATCCACAGAGTCAGGTCAAGTCAGAGTGAGCTGATGTCTGAACGCGGCCGCATATACTCCGGAGATTTCAACTCGAGCCAATAGAAAGAGAATGACGTTTATATACAGTGACTGTCTAAAGTGACTCCTCTCCTCTCTTTTGTGGATTTTGTCATTCCATTGGATTACACATAGCATTGATATAAAGGCAAATGTTCTCATTATAGCGTCGTGTAGCGGACTCTGTTGCTTTGGCCGCTACTTCTGTGTTGTTTATTTACGCCACGTCTTATGTCGGGAAATCCCCCGACCCCCCTCCCCTCTGACAGGGAAAGTCCCCCGCTGTGAGGAGCATATGTGAACGACTAGGTCGGGAGAATCTCCGGAGAAATCCTCCTGTAATTATCTAGATATCATCCGGAGTGCATATGTGAAAACGGCTATATCGGTGAAGAGTCTTTTCTGTTCAGGATTGCTGGGCTGCATCAAAGCACACATTGGAGTAAAGTAAGTTTTTAATGTGAAATGAAGGTACATAAAGCAAAACAAACACCAACAACAGTACATGATGGGCATGTGGACGAGCATTCCTAGAATGCATTATGTAACTCACAAATGCTCAACACATTTTTAAAAGTGTCAACAGCCAGTCTGGCTGCCATTTTTTTGGCTAGTGAAGCCTCAATAAAGGCTTTTTTTCACATCTTAGACTAAGATGTCATCAAGTTTTGCGATGCATTGTAATACAGTGAGGTTAACACCATCACAATACTTAAACAACAGCATCGATGCTTTATAGATATTTAAACTTGTGTACACTCCACAGCTGCTGTACCCAAAATGAGAAGCCAGCACACTCTGAAATGCAGATGCAAGACATAAGGTCTCTTCCTACAAAAGTGTGAAGGACACCCTGAGCTTACCCTTTGTTCCCATCACCCGATCTAAAATAACATGAAAGGATAAAGAATGACAGTGTGACTGCGCCCTAAGGAGCCTGTTTAGTCCTGGTAATATCATGCACTCTGGTTGATCCAGTCCCAGGCGGGCTGCTCTACAATGGCTGGTGCATTATCATGTGTCTTCAAATACATCCATGAATGATCAACTCTCCCTTCCACTCTCTAAATGCTTACACATGCAGTTTGAAGAATGCTGCCCTGGATAAGGAGAAGGATACACAGTCCTTGAAAGTGGCCCAGAAGACATTTGTAAAAATGAATGTAGCTATTATGACATTACAAAGATAGTAAGTCTAAACCAATAGCAAATAAGCTTGTGTACACTTGAGTCTATTAGTGGTGATGGCTGATTTGTTTACTCATCAGACTAAAGAGGCTAGGAGAGTTTGTGGATCTTAGAGGCCTCGCCCACCTACTGGCTCAAATTGATGAGAGAGGGGGGCTGCACAAAACAGAGACTAACTCAAAATAATCGGTCATGTCATCATTACTGTCCTTAGCTAACTCTGCTACCAGCTTCTTTGAGCCAGGATATCAAAAACAAAACAGAATTTCAATCACATAAAAAAAAGTGCAGTCTTCTCAAAAGGCCAGTTAACAGTTCTAAATCAAAGAAGAAGCCACAATATTTGCATGATTTTTGGATGAAATATCCCCAAAAAGGCCCCAACAAGGCAAGGAATGTACAGTATGTTTACAGTGAATAATGCTGTAGATTTGGGTACTTTAATGTGGGGACTAAAGGGAATTCATTGGCTTTTGGAGAAAGCCTCAACAGTACACTAGAGGAACTGCATTTTTATGCACAATTTAGTACAAGACCACCCAAGAATGTGGCCAGAGTGATCACATCTCAATGCTTCTGCAATCAGATCAACACATGTTAGTACCAGGTGTAAACAGGACCTGAAGCCCATATGGACAGGTTAAGGGACAGAGAAGTATTGAGTAGATCATCCCACTGGTAGAACGATGAAGTCAAACAGATAATGACCTCTGTAAAGCCACTTTATCAGGTTTACTCTCAGCATGAAGACCTTACACTGGCACTTATTTGAACCTGAAAAACAAGAAGACCGACTCCTCTTCCACCGCGAGATGTGCATGGAAAAGATCCACCATATACCAAATGTCTCGACTTCTCAAACAACTCTTTGGTCCCGTCAAACAGTTTTTTTTTAAGTCTCAAATTGTGATTCCTCATCGAGACACAATAGCTTTGAAGTCCTGGCCCTGCAGTAGTGGCTTGTGGTTCTGCTCAGCAGCCATGGAATGTAAAGTTTTCCTCTGGTTCTGCCTGGCCTTGTTGTACAAGAAGACCCCTATGAACACGAGGACGGTGCCAAAAGCGTTGAGGATGGAGATGTGGTTACTAAAAACAATGATGCTCATCCAGACCGACAGGGCGTGTTTGACAGTACTGGCAACACTGAAAGAAGAGATGGGGGTTAGCATATTGAGGTTCTCCTGGTTAAATCTTTGCATTATATTTAGGGCATAATTATTCTATTTCTGGGAAAAGTTTAGAACTGCTGGTCCACTTGTTTACTTTGGTGGGTCTAAACAGGAAGTATTTTGCTTCAATAGAATACGTGTTGGATGTAGAGAAATACTTCAGCCCAGTCTATTTAGTCTGTTTATTTCTGACAATGTCACCTTTAAAAGTATGCTGAATGAGCTGTGAGCAGCTCCTGTTCACAGATTAAGAGCCATGTTATTCATGTGTTTTTAAACATTTCTTACCTAAAGGTAACAGGTGATATCCGCCCCATGAGAGCGTAGGCAGTGACACTCTGCAGGTGGAATAAGGAACCATCCAAAAGCAGCAACAGGATAATGTCGTGACTTAAGATGAGACTCTTCCCACTCTTCCCAATCACTGGAATGTCCTGGAAACATGAGACACGAGAATGACAAGCTTAACCTTGATTTTCAGTCCTGCTACAGTACATCCTGTTTCTTTAATTAAAATACTACCTCAAAAAAATCGGTTTACATATTCCTGCCCATTTTATAACTGTAAAGGATTCGACTTTATTGTCAGAAATTAAACCCCAATTCTTAAGAAGTTGCGATGTTATGTTAAATAAAAACAGAATTAAATGATTTGCTAAACATTGAAAACCGGTATTTAATGGAAAAATGCAACAATAAAACAGATCAACTATTTAAACTGAGTAATGGCAATTTTCTTTAAATTTTTGAATTTGATGGCAGCAGCCAGTTTCCAAAAAAGTTAGTACAGGGTCATGTGCAAACCTCTGTTGAATCACTTTTACTTTTAACAACAGTTTGTAAGCGTTTTGAGAACTGAAAAGACAAATTTCTGTAATATTTTTTAAGTGGAGTTATTAAGCATTTTGATTAAAAAGGTCCAATATCTAATATATTGACTGAATTAAATCATTAAATGACCTTACTATATGATCAGACATTAAGGAAACATGCTATGTTGAAGTGCTGGCTTCTCTGACAACAATGCAGCAGCCAGTATGTCCTCCTTCTATGTTTCGATTCCAGAATGGTTTGTTTTTGTTTTGACCGGACAATGAGCGGCACCCCACACGGCTGTTTTGCCCCGTTCTTGCCCTCTCATTTGCCTTGCAAACGGCAAACCAAACAGGTGTTACAGTGGTGAAAGAGGGCACGCAAACCTGACCTAAAAAGCCTCAGCATTTCTTTCGAAAGAGCTCCACGAGCAGAAACGTGCTCAAACTAGGATAAATATTAGAGATGCTTTTGAAAAATGGAGAGAGGTTAGAACACAGAAAGGTTTACAGACTGAGGCCGAGCTGATTAAATACTGAAGCTTCAGTGTCTGCAACATGACAACATACCATCAACTCTAGGGAGGAGGGGGCGGGGGGAGACAGCTCTCTCCAATCTTTTGAATTTGGACTGCAGTACCCATTTTAATCCTTAGGTGTCAGAGTTACATAATGCTCCTTTAATGTAGAATGTCAGCTTGTTCAACTGTTAAGGATCTCCATTTTTTATTTTACTCTACATAATGCTCCAAATACTTTCAATGGGTGATAAGTGGAGACTACAGGCACACCAGTTTATCACCCGGACTCCTTTATTACAGAGCCATGCTGTTGTGATTACATCCAGAATGTGGTTTGGCCATGTCTTACAGAGATAAGCCAGACCATCCCTGAAACAGAAGTTGTGTACTGGCAGCCTAATGTTGCTCCAAACCCAGTCCATTGTAAATGATCCCAGACACATAGAGGCCAGGTGGCCTTTCTAGATCTGGATGATACATGCTTTTCTCTTTGCATGGTAGTTTCAGCTAGCATTTGGGAATGCAGTGATGAACTATGTTAACAGACATGTTTTCTAAAAGTTTTCATGTCCACTACAGAATCATGTCTGCTTTAAATGCAGTGCCGTCTCAGGCTCTGTAGATCACAGACACCCAAAGTGTGCTTTGGCCCCCTGCATACAGACATCTCTTCAGATTCTGTTTTATTTATATTATGTACTGAGGGAGATGAAGTGCCCAGATTCTACAGATTTTTACATCTGGGATTTTCTTTTTACACCCAATCATGTTACTAACCCGCTGCCAGTTAGTCAACTGGTAACTTGTGAGAGGTTCCATCAGGATTTTTCTTTTGGCATTTCACAAATGTTCCACTCTTTCGTCCAGTTTTTATTAAAGGTGTTGCTGCTATAAAATTCAAAATGGGCATATATCTTTCCGAATAAAAATCAAAGGTCTCAGTCTAAACATTTGACATGTTGTCTTTGTGCAGTTCTAAATTAAATGGGGTATGAAATGTTTTTCAAATCCTCACATTGATTATTTGCATTTTAACACAACATCCAAAAGTTTTAGGAATTGGGGCTTTATTATAGATACTTCTATAGATACTTCTCATTTGGACTACATACTCCAGGTACAGTAGATACACTAAAAACATTTAGCATAACTGTAATAATAAAATATGAAAACAATTAAGTAAGTATGAGTCAACATACCAAGAGGAACACCCAGGCCGGTATTAGCATGATAACTGCTGCTGCACTAGTATAGAACTGCAGTTCTGGAGGGCTGAAATAAATCAAGTTTTCATAAGAACAATTTGATTGTGAACAAAAATAGTTTAAAAAGTCATAAAGGAGAGTTTGCGTGTGTTTTTACCTGAACCTGTATGTGTCACCACTGAGCAGCTTTTTAGAGAACACATTCTGCAAACTGAGATCAGAGAAGGTGTTACAGAAAGTATCTTACAGCGTCAGGATAGCAGGTCAGAGTGCTAAATTAGCTCTCTCTCTCTCTCTCTCTCTCTCTCTCTCTCTCTCTCTCTCTCTCTCTCTCTCTCTCTCTCTCTCTCTCTCTCTCTCTCTCTCTCTCTCTCTCTCTCTCTCTCTCTCTCTCTCTCTCTCTCTCTCTCTCTCTCTCTCTCTCTCTCTCTCTCTCTCTCTCTCTCTCTCTCTCTCTCTCTCTCTCTCTGGCTTTAAAATTACCAGTCCATGATGTTGGTGGATAGAGCGGCAGAAAAACCAAGCATGTTGAAGCTTATCTCTGTGGCTGTGCAGAGCGACAGGCCAGCCATGACAGGGAAAAGGGCCAGGTTCACCCACAGCCCTGCAGAATGAAGAATTCATAGAATTAATAACTTGTAAATTTCTGGATACAGTTACAGTGTTCCTCAAGTGCTGCAAGTACTCAGTCACCAGCACTGAGTCCCATTTATACACATCCATGAAGTTCTTGTATGGAGTGCCCTGGCACGCTTAGAAGAGGTGTGCTTCGGCACGGTTCAATTGCTCATGCACAAGCACGAGTACACAACGTGGACATGAAGTATAATCGATCCCGCGTTCCATGATGACTCAAAATAAAACATAAAAAAAGTGAAGTTGCTGTGTTGTTCACTCTGTTGTTCTCTGATGTGCGGACGCAGACTCGACCGCACGTCCCTTACCCCTCATTCACACATACAGTACATCAGTGCGCTACCTGTGTACTCCCCGAGAATCAGCCTGGACATGATGACAGTGAAGATGGGTGCTGAACTCTTCACCGTCTCTGAAAAAGACACTGCCACGTTCTTCAGGCTTACCAAGCCCAAAACCACTGTGGTGAACCTGACACATGGATACAGAGATTATGTCAGCGATTTACTTTCTGAAAAGCTACTGTTAAGTTTCAAATGGGTCATTAAGTTTCAAACAAAATTGTTTTCTATAAAAACTAAAAAAAGCCACAACTCTCAGTGGTTGTTGGAAGGGTGCACAATATTTTTCAGCATTGTTGTCACACGTCTATTGTGTAACAGTCACATTGCAGGATATTCAAGGCCATGCAACACATCACTCTGCTATGTTTGATTTTGCTTGTTATGCTTCGTGTTTCTAGATGTAGAATGGGTTCAGTTTTGTGAAGGGAAAACACATTTTTAACTATGGTTTACTCAAAAATCAACAGCGTAGTGGAGCTGTCAGTCAAACAAACTTACCAAATTAAGAGGTCTTATCATGGTTTTAATCACTAACACCTGTGCGGGTGTACAGAGGCTTTAACTGAAGCAGTTAGTTAGCATTGACATGGCAACCAGAAATAGAAGGGTTGCTCAGAACATTAGCAAAGCTATGGTGACCGAACTCTTTCACTACAACGTCCATCTGGGCTAACATGAATGATATTGATTTGATTGCAACCAGCTATCAATGCTAACCCTAACAACGTATTAGCTGTACTTACTAGGGTCCATTGGGGCCCTGAGACTAAAGTTCTCGCCAAACAATAAAATGAAATTTAAAATACATTTTCCTGGTTTAAATCCAGCATTCCTGTGTTAAATGTTCACTTATCTGCATTTCAAATATCTGATGACTCCTCCTGCACTAAGGGCCCTTTACTCATTTTTGACTAATTAAAAAGCTATGTTGAAGCTAATGATCCAATCAAATTCACTCAACAGTATGTCCCGCCTTCTGTCTTGTGATTGGTTGTAAGCTGGAAACATGTCAAGTTAGATACTCTTGAAGTTCCATTTCATGGAGACTTAAATAAATGATGTCATTAATTTAATCTGACATAAAATACTTAATATTATTCACAAAAGTAACAGAACATTTGTGAATCAAACAACAAGTTTCAAACAAGACTTCATACATTTTTGGGGGAAATCTGTGTCTGTTGTCTTTGGAAATGACTGACTCTGTGCCCTTCCCCACTGATAGTATGAAACTTTCAATAAGGAGCCATGACAAACATGGACTCAATATAAAGTTTCATCCATCATAAGCGGGTAGGCTAATTTGGGTCCCCTTGACTGCAGGTATTCCAGTGGGAAGAAAAGTTTGAGTAGCACATGTACTCATTGATGAGAGAGTTAGTGTAAAGCTCTGTTTTAAAGAGAGAGGGTATCCACCTCATGAGTCCAACAAACAGCATGATCATGACGAAGTTGGGGGGATACTCGGTTCTGGACTTGTGCTGGTACAGGCAACAGGGCACAAACATCTTTAGGCAGCCTATTACAGTAGTGGAGAGCATCTGAACTGCACCTAGGGGAGTATACACAAGACAACAAGGTACAGCCAGAGCCACAGCCTCTTACCCCGCAACATGGACTTGGTGTTTCTGGCGTAACAGTATTTCTCCACTTCTTTGCACCTTTTAAAGTTCACAGTATTGAAGATTTATTTTTTTCCCAAAACAGCTCATACATGCATCAAATATAATAGTTAACCTGCAACATGGTGTCAATCGCCTACAACATTTTTTTATGTGTCAAAATGGAGTTCTTTGCCAACGATGTCTTAGCCCAAAAAATAACAAGTTCCTTTGACACCGTGTAAAACCAAAGTGGTCAAAATGTTGAGATGTTTTCAGAATGTCAGTTAACTCAGTGGCAGTGTGACTTGCTTCTTCTTGTTTTCTAAAAAGTTGTTCCAAGATACTTTTGGCTGACAAAAAATAAATCCTGTATAGGTCTGTTAAATCTCTGAAGCCAACTGACCTCTGTCTTGTGTCAAAGTCACTACTCTTCAGGTGATACACTCCCTAAAGGAGAGGGATGGAGTCAATATTTTAAAGCCAAATCACAATATAATTTGACTAATAATTGTGTTTTTTATGTAACTTCATCTTAAGACTCACTGTATGCTTTTGGAATACTGAATAGTTTAAATATAAAGCTGAATAGAGCTGAGTCTTGTGAAACCACATGAACAATCCATTAAGATTCATCACAGAAACACACAAAGAGCTCTAATGTGGAAGTGCATGCCTTTAGTTCACATTATAAGAACAAGAGGTTTATAATTCTGGCTTACCTAGCATGCTGGGCTCCCCCTCTAGTAGAGACAAAATGTACTTGTTAAGGAACAGGGTGCAGAAGCTAAAGCAGTACCAGAGGCCAAGGTAGGTCAATGAGCGCCAGTTCCACACCCCTGACTCCGCCTCAATAACAGTAGTCTCTGTGACAGTGATCTTTAGAACCTGTTCCCCTGGCAGGCTGTCACTTCGGGTCAAAACCACTCTTTCCTGGCGGCTTCGGAAAGGCAACAGGAGGCGCCATATGGAGTGTCTGCCACGCGACATTATGTCTGCTACCGGGAGGTGTTAAAAAGGAGTGGAGGGTTTGATCAGAGATTTTACATTTAGTCCATCCTTTGATAGGTCCAGTTTTTGATGTGTTGCTCAGTATTGCTGTGAACACTGAAAATGAATTAACCTGGCGCCCCCAGTCCTGCAGATGTTGGGAGAGAAGAAATATGGTATTCTGTCACATCATGGACACAGGTTGAACAGAAGTAAATGAAAAAATCCTGGGGTTTGTGTTTCTGTGTGTGATCTAAATATAAATTAAAATAATCATGATTATGATTTTTTTCATCTGCAAAAAATCTTATCACATTTTTTTTTAAATTAATATTGAGATCATAATTATTAAACATGATTACTCAGTGATTTCCCAACATTAATCGAACTTCAACACTTAATAGTGCTGAAAACAAGCAATAAATGAAAATAAACAAGTGAGAAAAATGTATAGAGATAATAATATATAATAATAATAATAATAATAAATAGATACAAATAAATTAACAATGGTTTTTTAGGTGGTGGTGATGTACGCTTGTGGCCAAAATATAACAAACACTTTGAAAACTTGACCACACAAGACAAAACCTCGTTCGATCTCTATTATGTTTTGTCATGATAGTGGGAAGGCAAAATCGTAAAATATTGTTATCCAAATCTTTATTAGTGGGAATGCTGTAAACAGCACTGTTCTGATCTTCAGTATCTTCTACTTTTTCTACCACTTCTACTACTGTTTCTTCATCTACTAATACTTCTTCTTCTACTACTCCTTTTCTTCTTCTACTTCTTGTTCTTCTTCTTTTACTACTTCCTCTACTTCTTCATCTTCTACTAATCCTTCAGCTGTTTCTGCTGATTCTTCTTCATTCAGTTTTGCAGAACATTTCAGCAGTCAGCATTCCCACGCATTTTCCTAGACAAATTGTCTAGTTGAAATTGAAACTGATTTCCCCAACCATTGTACTAATCTATCATTCTCAGTCACATAAATATTAAGTTATTGCTGCACGCGGTATAGTTTTTTTTATACCTTTGTTTTTTGTAAAATGTAATTCTACATTACAAATGTATATTTTTTTAACACAAAATGCTATTAAATAAAAACTATGTAAAACATAATAACGTGTTCTCGTACGTCATGACATCAGCAAAGCTTCACAATAAAGAGAGTCGATTTGTGATCAGATCAAGTGAATCACATGCGGACCCTGAAGGGATCCCACACATATGTTTCCACATTGCACTGCTAAGCTATAAAGCGACTATAGTATAAGTATAGTACGTCATGTGCTTTATAGCTTCAAAGTGCAATAAATAGCGTATCTAATCGATAGCCCTGAGCTTTGATCTCAACAGCAAACAACAGGCAAATGTTGCCTGAGAGAAGACAAGCGGATGTTAAACATTAAGTCGCTAGCTTCTTCTCGCAAGAACAAACAAAGCGAAGATTACAAGCAAACTGAAATGTAAGGAAGACGAAATCCCACCTCTTTTAGACCCAAATATGATGAAAAAAAAACACCTCAAGCCCAGCCGGTATGAAAGACTGCAGCGAGTCCCACATAAAAAAGGAAGTTGTACAAAGACGTTGGCTAGCCACTGTTGCCTGAGATAAGATGGGATGCAGAGGTCTGGTACTAAAACCTCGGCTTCATTGAGCAACATAGGGAAGTGCCAAGTGACTACACCCACTATACATAAGCATTGACATATCTACCTGGGTTACCTTTCGTGGTGAACCTGACTCCGAGAGGTGCCAGTTCAACAACAGTCATTTTGCCAAGTCAAGCTAACTCTTAATAAATACAATGCATGAGGATTTTCAAATTAAAACTCAGATATGGCTTTTGACCATCAGTGTGTACAATTATGTGACCATTCAAAATATTTTAAAGTAGTAATTGCTCTAAATGTTTTTATTTGTGCATTTTTATTCGGATCTTTTTTCGTTTGTATGGTTTGTTTGACTCACCGAGCATAATAATAAGCTTTTATTTGCACCAATTCCGGTGAGATTGTCTTCATCCTGCTTCCTCGAGCTTGACATTTTCAGTGTTGGTGATTATTTATGATCAAACTGTCGTGGTAGTTTGAAATTTGACTGGTTTAACTTTTGATCATTTATTTTTTATTTTTTAAAGTTTCTATAGTGACAACATCCTAGGAAGGACAATTTTTAGTGTGTCGGTTTCTTTATTTTCAGATTGTGCGTACCTTTTTATGTTTTGCTGTTTTTTAATTTGATGATATTTGAACATTATTAAGGGGGATGCTTCAAATAAGCTCTTTGAGTTTTCTGCCGCTACCTGCACTGATATTGTCTATTTTGATATTTGTTTAATATATAGCCTATGTTTTTTTCTGACTGTGCAAATAAATAAATACTACTTACAAAATAATACTACCTCCAGATATGCTTTTTTTTCACGCATTTCATGCAATTATTATTATTATGATTAATATTATGATTATTATAACATTTGCAAAAGAGGGGGGAGGCCACGTAGCCACCAGGCCCCGAATAAATGCCTTTTTAATTCAAGTTAAAGTCAAGTCTTTATTGTCATTTAAACCATACCATACCATGTAACACCCGCCCTGGTGGGGTACTCAGACTTTGCAAGGTCCCCTAACAGGGGTCAAATGAATGACCAGTCAAAAATGAAACACAGAAACAGATTTAAAGAGAAAATGTGCCAAGGTTTATTACATTAAATAACATAAAATTCATGAGTCACCATAAGATAATTGGCGCAGATTTCAATGTCTTACGGGCGGGTTAGGGTTAGGGTGGCTTGAGCAGGTATTTTGATGCTTTACTGAGGAGGAATTCAGTGTCACACTCCTACAGTAAGGGAGTAAAAAGACTCCTTGTCACACAATATCACTGCAACTTAAATCACACTATGTATGAGCATGCAATATCACTGCAACTTCAACTATAATCACACCATGTATGAGCATGCAATATCACTGCAACTATATTCACACTATTGGCATGCAACAAACTTGTGGCGTTTACACACTCAAATCAGATCCTCCGTCAGCTCGCACCCAGAATGACCTTGACCCTCCCCGATGGTCCGCCCTGACCTGCGCTGGGGAAGTGGTGACAATTAAAACAAACAAAACAAACAACACGAAAAAAAAAAAAAAAACTAGTCCGCCTACTTAGGCAACCCCAGAGATCTTTTGCCTCAAATACCGGCTCATATGCCCGGCGGACTAGAAACAAAAATTAACAGCAAAGAAAACAAACTAAACCCAGACAGTAAGAGCTGCAGAGGAAATCTACCAGGCTCCCTAAAACAAAGAAAATAGAAGCATTAGTTGTTCACCTTAATACATTTCCCTAATCCTAAAATAAACATAATACAAAACCATATCCTCAACCTCAATGACACAGTGGCCATAGCTTTATTAGACAAAAAATACATATCGCTGTGCGTACCTGGTGTGCTGGGCCCAAACCTTCACAGCAGTAGTACAGAGTGCAGTAGTGATGCAGTAGTGATGCAGTAGTGATGCAGTAGTGATGCAGTAGTAGTGATGCAGTAGTGATGCAGTAGTGATGCAGTAGTAGTGATACAGTAGTGATGCAGTAGTGATGCAGTAGTGATGCAGCAGTAGTGATACAGTAGTGATGCAGTAGTGATACAGTAGTAGTGATGCAGTAGTGATACAGTAGTGATACAGTAGTGATACAGTAGTGATGCAGTAGTGATGCAGCAGTAGTGATACAGTAGTGATGCAGTAGTGATACAGTAGTAGTGATGCAGTAGTGATGCAGTAGTAGTGATACAGTAGTGATGCAGTAGTGATACAGTAGTGATGCAGTAGTAGTGATGCAGCAGTAGTGATACAGTAGTGATGCAGTAGTGATACAGTAGTGATGCAGCAGTAGTGATACAGTAGTGATGCAGTAGTAGTGATGCAGTAGTGATGCAGTAGTGATACAGTAGTGATGCAGTAGTGGTACAGTAGTGATGCAGTAGTAGTGATACAGTAGTGATGCAGTAGTGAGGGGTTTTCAGTCTCTATGAAGCGCCTGTTGACAGTCTGCAGCCAAGGTCGCTTTCGTGGTTTTGATGCCTTGATCCGAGTCTGTTTCTTTGGTCCAAAGTCTCTGAAGCACGGTCACAGCAGGAATTACATCTGATGCTAAAGCATCGGACGAGCTCACTTTTCGGGTTAACTCCTGAAACGGAGCCAAAACAGACAAAGTTTTTTCCACAAGTGTCCACTGGTGTCCTGTAAGATTGTCGGGGAGTTCATATTCGGAGCCAAATCTTCCCAGAGCCCGCTTGTAGCATGTAGTACGTGCTATTCCAGCTCGTCTGCACGTCTTGTTGGAGTCTTCTTACGGGCTGCTTGAGCTGCAGCTCAATGTCTTCCAGGCGGGAGGAGACTCATGCTTCAAATGTCCAACAATTTGACGTCCGACTGACACCGAGTCAGCTACACTCCTCTGAGCCCAAAGTCCTTCATTCACAGCAACAGCTGGTCATCAAGAGTAATGACCTGGGTCAGAGCTTCTGTTATTTTTACCGTGCAGGTTGTCTCTCTCTTGTCTCTCTGTGTCCCGCTGCTAGCTTTAACACACTCCGTGAACTCTGCGGCGTGCTGCTCCTTCTCATGTTTCATCTAATTACTCGTATTGAAGGAGATCATTTTCACCCCTCCCCTTGACAATTTTGCAGTACAAAGTTTGCAGTCTGCTCTTCTTTCGTCGTCATCGTTTACGCTAAAATATCTCCACACCGCTGACATCTCGCTTCTCTCCGCTCAACCGAAAAGAGGCGCACGTTCCGCCGTAAAGTGGTATCGGTGCCGTTGTATTCCGCGTAGTTTTACGACTACGAGTATGAGTACTTAAAGGCCGATGCCGAATACTGGTATCGGTATCGGGTCATCCCTAGTTCAGTGTCTTGCCCAAAGACACCCTGCCATGTGAATGCAGGAGCTGGGGATCGAACCATAGACGTTCCTGTTGAGGGACAACCAACTGTACCAGTGAGCAGCTGAGGCTCCGTGATACAGAGTCGTGAAGTGGAGAGTCAGGAATCTTGTCTATCAAGTGGAATGACAAGATTCCAAGAAGGGGAGAAGTAGGACAGAAACACTGTGTTTGTCTGTCTCATCATTTAGCATACTTGACCTGTATATGAGAAAGTATTGTTTAGCAAAACAACTAATCCTGCTTTCTTTTAACACTCCAACCAATCACTCACTGTCAATTTTTACTTTTGAACAAGTATTCTGTGAGTCACCTCGCCTCATGCCTACCTTCAAAACCATTTTCAGGCACTTAAAATAACTAAATAATTAGAGTCAATCATCTTTCAGATTTTCTTGTTTTTTCTTTTGTGAGTCCTATGGCTCGTCCCACTTCATTTCTTTTGTTATGTGCATAAAATGTGAATACCATAAGCGGTCGCAAGATGGCAGTAATGTTTAGCTTATAACTTAACTTTTATACATTGAGTTTGTAATCCCAGAAGCTTCTTGTCATGAGTATTTGGGTCTGAAAGACACTACATTTATAAATATCCAACTTGGATTGAGAGCAATTCTGTGGCAAGAAGAGCAAAGGAAACAATCAATCAATCAAGAAAAATCGAACTAGCATGTGTTTGTGAGAGGAAGCTGTGAATTGGAGAGAACACACACATGCCCGTGGTGAACCTGTAAACTCTACACAAATAGACCCCTGTCTGGCCGGAGATTTAAACCAGTAGGCTTCATGCTGTGTGCTACACTCTGTACCACTGTGCATCTTTGAGTTATGCCTCTGCTAGTTTGAAAACGAGGGGAGGTACCGATTGAAAAAGACACAGACGATTGTGTCATTTGTAAATCACTGAATGGTGCTTTTAATAGAAGACTTTTAAAGTCAAAAGCCTCTCAATGCTGCATGGAACAAATACAAAATTCTGGCCCAAGTCTAGACCATACTCTGTTATATTATTAACAAAGACCTGACATTAATCCATCATGAGCAAACCACGAAGCAACATTTAGCAAAGTAATAGTGGCAAGGAAAAACCTCAAGGAAACCTCAAGCAGAACCAGACTCATGTTCAACAATTCAATCCAATTCAATTCAAACAACTTTATTAATCCCTCTTGGGGCAATTAGTGAGGAGCAGCCCGTACACATGAACAGCCATCTGCCACAACTGTGTTGGGCTTGGAAAATGGGAGAGAGAGAGATGCAGAAAGAAGGAACAGAGCAATAACAACACAACAGCGATGAATAAAACCGATTCACAGCGTTAATGTCGGTAATGGTTTAGCAGTATGGGGAAAGAATATAAAGTATGATAATAGACTCATTAGTCTAATAACATTGGCAATTATAATGACAATTCAAATGAGGAGGAATGATCATTTTAGCTATAGCAGTTGAAGTCGAGCAGCTCTTAGATCCACATGGTGGCTCTGCTTCTTGCCTGTTGCCTTGGAGAATTTTGGAACTCTGTTGATGATGGTGTTGAACATGGAACAACATGAACACACATAACAAAGGGATGGGCTACTTTCTCCATTAGTATGATGTTTTAATTAACCTTTGTTGTCTCACAGTTCTACTCCTTCCAGCCTCAATCTAATCTCAATCTACCCATGTGTCCTAGAAAAAGTCTCTGAACAGTCCCTGACCTCTTTATTTGTTATGAACATGGAGAGGGAGAATAAATTGTTAAATGCAAATGCAATAATTGACAAGAGAACAAGTTTTACTTGTTGAATGGGATTACAAAACAAGTATTGTTCATTCCAGGTCAATTTATGCTACTCTTACTAGAGGAACTAGGTTATGGGACTATCTCATAACAAGTTTCTCTTCATGTGTTTGAAGTAATATTTTGGCCCCAAAATTACATGAATGAAAAAAGACCTTGAAGTGGGATTTTAGAAAAAGGGGGAAAGTATAAAGCTGATATAGCTACAACAGAATATATGTTATTGGTGCTTATCTGTGTATCCTGCCTACAAAGTCAGAAACAAGTCGGCTCCCATCCTTGGCTAAGGTTGGTTGTTGTGCACCTGCCTGACTGCTACTATCAATGCTGCAGTGCTGAGTGTTCTTTATTCATCGTCTTCCCTAGAAAAAAAAAACTGCTCTACACGCAAATAAACTATAACATAATGGGAAATTATCATACAGGATGTCTACCAATCCCTGCACCTTTGCAACCTTGCAATTCTGGCCAATCACTGCAACTTGTACTTTTTGAGCAATCATCCTTTTTTCCATCACGTCATTTATGTCACCCACTTGGACACCAGTCCAGAAAAGTTATTCAGAGGGTTTATTTGAGTGTTCATTGGATGAGAGGACAAAGGCAATCCCCATGGAACTCCTTGGATCTGGCCACAGGGTGCAGATCTCAACTGCAATTACAAGAACCAAAAAAATACCAAGTAAAGAATAGTGTTCTTTAAGCTGATGAAATAAAAGCAGTCCATCTTTATCATATAAATATAAAATCATGGACTCCCCCAGAGGGTCAGCGTTCACAGTGAGGCCCCTATAATTGGTCCAAACCATAGACTGTAAATAATAACCCAACGCATGCTAGCTTGTTCATGACAGATCAGCGGCTGAAGGGGACCACTGACCAAGTTCATGAATGTTAAAGATAAGGATATTAAAGGTAGCTGATGAACACGGGCTAAGAAAAGACATTTTCTCCACATGCAGAAGGGGAACTTCAATAATGATGACTGTATCACTGGAACATTCATGTTTCTGCTGTACAAAAGCAAGAGTATTATCTGCTGCTTCCACTCATCAGCTCACCTGGACTCCATGCAGCCTTATTACTTGGAGGCCAAACATCGTGTGATAGGGGATTAAGACTACATTTAACATTTTATGAACATATACATTATATATTTTTGAAGAATGGAAGCATTATGCTCTCTTTTCTTTTTAACATTATATTCAATGTTTGCCTTGTGCAACTTTTTTTCTAAATGTTCAACACACTGCTTTTACATGGAGCTTTTCTCCAATAAAGGCCTTTACTTTTCCTTTCTTAAATTAGATTCATTTGTTTTTTCCCTCCTTTTTCATTCAATTGTGTAATTTACTTCCTAGACCATCTTGGGCAACAATGGAATGTTTTTTTTACTTCACTTTCTCCAGCACTTTCATTTGTTTGAGCATATAATATAATATTAGGTCTTCATAAAATTACAAAATAAGATTGATATTTGGATATTTCCCATCTTATACAGTATAGTGACCCAAAGACTGGTTTCAAGTGTGAGGTGTGTTGATCAAAGTAGGAACACACAACTGTTCAGACAAAAACTAAAGACCTTCATCCAAAATTAAACTACTCAAGCCGCAGTGGAATTTATTTTGAATGAACTTTGACTTGCTTTCCAGCACCTTGTAACCAATCAGAAGAACTTTTCATACCATGAAGTACTTCTAAACAGAAGCAGAAAATCCAAACTGTTTCGACGGACTCTTTCTAATAAAATGGAGAACTTCCCAAACAAAGTTAAAAAGTAGCAAAAGATTTATTTTCAGCAATGATGCATTGTAAACTGGCTAACATATAGACTTTACAAAATACATTTTTTTTATTCAAGGGGTTACAATACATGTACAAAATCAGTTCAAGGAATGATTGCCTTTCAGTTGGTCCTTTTGAGAAAAACAACAGGTGACACATCTGTTTATCCTTACATCACTTTTTAAGCCAAATCATAATCTATATATTAACATCTCGACTAAATATGATTAGATATGTAAGGTAAGCCCCCCTTATAGTATTCAGTAAAGACCGCCCAGTGACAGACGTGTTGCCAGCTGATTAGAAGGGCTGCATAAAGTCGCTTAATAAATCCAGTCTTTCACTTAAACACTAATATCATCAACTCAATTAAAGAATACATACATTAGTTTATAAAACCTACAAAGAGTTAAGATATGGCTTAAAATAAATTTTAAATAACGGTCATTTAAAAGATGCTTAAGACATCTGATCTGTGGTCTGGAATGAGTGGTAACATGTGATATCCTTGAAAAGTGTTGACAAAAGAGAAACTACAGAACTTCCTTCACGACTCAGTTAGTCGAGTGTCATGTGCCTCACACAGCAAAGACAACAATCAACATGAAGTTACAATGGAGATACAAAAAATCACAGATTAGCATGTGTGTAATTGTAAAAAAGTACAATGTAAAGCTGGAAAATCAGTGTTTTTTGTGTTAATTATACCAATGTATAAGGCACAGTCTGTACAGTGGGGCCACTATTGCTAAGTAGATGTACTGTGAATTTGCTCTTCCTCATAATGGACTTTAAAAAATGTTGTAAAATAACATCTATCATTCGTCGATGGCAACCTGTCAGTAATTCCTGATTTCACTAACAACATTTGGGAAAGTTTGACAGATCAGATTATAAAAATGTTTTCAAGAGAACTGCAACACAGCTCATGAAGGAAACAAGCTTCTGTTGCTTGTAAAGTAGTCGATGTGTCCCTGCCATTCATCTTAAAGATTAGAAAGTGCTTTGAACAGATCTGATAACATCCATCAAGTGTATCACGACATCTGTCTTCTACATGTGACCATTTATGTCCACCATCATCCCAAGCCTTGCTTCTCCATGTGGTGGATAGAGAACTTTTTTTTTTTCTCTCTCTCTCTCTCTCTCTCTCTCTCTCTCTCTCTCTCTCTCGTCAAACTGCATTTTGAATCCATATGATTACATTTGAATAGCAAAAAGAACAAAAAAAAACACACAGAGACTCCTGGACAAAGAGAAGATCCAAACTCCATTCAATAAGCCAACCCTTTGATATGTGCACACATTACAAAATGACATGTTTTAGGGGGTTTGGGAAATACTTAATAATGCTTAAAACTTACAACATACCAGGTCATTTATATTTGTCAATGCTGTTCTCAACAAGTCATGCTGAATTCTGAACGGTCAGCCTACTGAAAGTAAACAATACATTATTGAATCATTTGGATAATGTTGATGATTTGATCCAATCCGAGTAACTTTTTTTTGTTGTTGTTTTGATTATAGATTTTTATTTTGAAATGCAATTTTCAAAGTTACTATTACCTGCCTACAAAAAAACATCTCAAACAATAAAATTATAGAATTTCTTGGTCCAGGCACTTATTAGGAAAAGATGCATAACTATCATTAATGAACGACCCCACTGACAATTCATGCATCGGTTCAACATCGGCCCTGTTGACAGACATCGGCAAATCGAACCGATGTCAGTAGCTGATGTTTATTTGTTGTGCCAAATCAATTTAATGCTGCCATCTATTACACCTAACTGAATCAGCAATCGGATAAATTGTCATTTTAAACATCAGTATTGGCTTCCCTCTATTAACTAACCATCATGCTGCTGGCGTTAGTACCTGCTTTTCATTTACAGTATATGAGTACAAAGAACTATGTACTAACTGAAACTAACACACCAACCTAGCTAGTTAGTTTGGTCGATAGGTAGAGCTCAGTTATTAGCCTTGAAGACCTTTAAAAAAATAGACACTCGTCCTTGTGTCTGTGCGCTGTGCAATTAGGAATGGATTCTGAAGTGTTAAAATAATAATAATGTTTTAAACAGAACATGTTCTTTTCAAGAATCACGGAAGAGTTAAATTCTCATCAAAAGGTTTGATCATTTGATGAATGTAATGTTTGACTTCAGAATGTATTGCTTAAATATTCATTAGTCAGTTATTTATTCATGACTAATTATCTTATTTGACCATTACATTTAAATCATTATCCTCACATAGATTAGACCTGAGAAGAAAATTGACGGCAAGAGTAAAAGTGCAGTTTGGGCTTAAACCAAGGCTTGGGAGTCCCGGGGACCTCGGAGAACATCATGGACAAGTCCTCAGAATTCCTCTTCAAGGTAGTTCTGCTTCTTCCTCACGTTCCAGTGTAAACACTGGGCGAGGCTTTCAAACCAGTCGTTCACTGGATCCCGGAAACAAATGGAGGGAACGGGGAAGCAGGAAGTAGTGATGGTAATACTGGAACAGGGAAGGTAAGAAAACAAAAACACACACACACACATAAGGTTTGGTGTCACAATAGCTGAGGGCAGAATAAAGGTTAGAAAAGTACAGGTATTGGCAATTACTATGGAAAGAGGAAGTGTTGACATTTAATGCTGTTACATGACTTCCTTCTGATGCAACTGTGGACTTTGTTTAAGTGGGCTTCAATGACTCGCGTTGACAAACAGCTCATTTTCAAGAATCAGGAAGATGGTAATCTCTGAGTGTGTAACATGCTGGAAAATGATGGTTATGGCACATGAGACACTCCTGGGGATAAGGACGTTAAGCAGCTTACGTAACAAAGCCTTTAAGTACTGGTATGTCTGTTTTGTAACACATAAGACACTTTATTGTCCCTGTAAGTATACAACTAAACTTTGTTTTGTGACTCTCTCGGACCAATAGCGTCACTCGTAGAGAATAAGACTATAAACTTGTTGGTTTAGCTTCGTTTCCTCCACTTCATTCCTCCCTGCGCTCTTTGTTTGTGTGGCTGAGGCGTTAAGCGTGGCCTCGCTATGTGAACTAACCTGTCTCCATGGCAGATCTCTTGTCTTTTCCTTCCATCGAATGACACCCAGGCTGTGTTTCTGGCATCACGGGACAGCATTATCTGATAAACAACAAGCACAGAATTCAAAATTAATTAAAAAGCCAAAAATGGACATGGTTATGTATTCACCGTTTAAAAGGTAGAATGTTTTGACCCTCATAATTTAACATTCTTATACCTAATTATGTCAGAAATGTAAACCTGCTCAGCTCCTTTGAGGTTTATGTTTAACTTTTGGACAACTGCAAACAAGTCGAGATTCAAAATGTAGTCAGACTCACAAAAATATAATTTAAGGTAAATCAGTTTGCTAGCATACTGCACTATAATAATGCCTTTGTAGTCATATAGTCATCTTTTACAGACTTGCTTTTATGTGATTTCGTCTTCTTAATGTCTTTTCTTACTGGTTTTACTATTTTTATCTTCTTTTACTTCTTACTGTTCTTTTATTTATGCTCTTATCTCGTATTTATGCTCACATCTTAACCCCTCTTATCTTTTAAGTTGGTCATTTTTTATCTTACTTACTTTGTCTATTGATGTTTTATATGTATATTTACTTTTTATTTTTATCATTATTATAGTTTTTGTTTTTTTTGATCCTTTAACCACTTGTTTCTATTTCTTTTACTGCTCTTACATTCTTATTGCTGTTCTCTTTTGATTTGCTTTGAGCTCTTTTAGTTTCTTACATCTTTTTAAATCTTTGCTCCTCTTGGTCTCAGCTCGTGTTGTTGGGTTCTTGTGTTTCCTGGGTTCTTATCATGGTTCTTGTGATGGTTGGGTTATATATGTCTCTTGGGTATCGTGCACTATGGGTTCTTTTCTGTTATTCTTAGTATTTTGCGTTTGTTATGTTCTTGCTGTTGTTTATGTTCTTCTGTGTTTGGTTTAGTTCTTGTTTTTGCTGTTTGTCAAAGCACTTTGTAAACCTGTGCTTTTAAAAGGTGCTATAGAAATAAAGTTATTATTATTATCATTATGACCAAGTGTGTGAAGAACCCAAAATGTTACAAAGTGCCAATTTAAGCGTCATATCTGATGTAGTAGTGTGTGTGTGTGTGTGTGTGTGTGTGTGTGATTAAGAATAAATCACTTCTTCACCGGTCATTTGAAATACCTTGAGCTCCACTCCAGCAGGCACCACTATGGGTCTGAAGGAGAGCGAGTGTGGGCAGATGGGAGTGATCATAATTGCAGGGACGTTGGGATGGATCATGGATGCACCTGCTGCAACTGCATATGCTGTACTTCCTGTAGGTGTAGAGACGATCACACCTGGGCAGACACAGAGACACAAAGAGAGAAAAACAACGTACTTAACACACAAGGATAGCAAGCAGTCAGGGTGAGAGGGGGGGTTGATTTTAAAGTTAAAAAAATAGTATAAAAAAAACAAAAAAATAGTATAATAATAATATTATAATAGTATAATAGTAATAGTATTCTATGTTTTCATCGATACACCACAGCGGATTTATTGAGCTGTAAATAATAATTTTATGAATATAGATCCTCTAAGTAACATAGATGCCCCCCATCAAGTAGACAAAGTAAAGTATTAGCTGATAACATGTCTACATACTGTTTTCCATTTTAACATATATCAGTGATTTCACATCTGAATTTGCACAGCTCTGGACTGGCATTCGGCACTGTCATCATTGTTTTTGCACACTCCAGCAAACAACACACTTGTGTATTTAAATGTTTCATATTTGAGACTGAGAAGTAATGTTAATGTTAAAGTATTTCTTTTTTTAAAATATATATTTTTAGGGCGTATTTACTTTGTATTTTTTCATCCATCTATCCATCTATCCATCTATCTATCTATCTGTTGTGTCAAACAAAGTAGCAGCTCCGCACATTGAAAAAGCTGAAACCAGAAAACACAACGGGCAATATGCTTAAGTTTACAACTATACAAAGAACTGAGTGAAAGAACAATTTTTAAAGAAACTTATTGACAAATTGCCTTAAAACTCATTCAGGCTATGCATCAACATTTCAGCAGGAACTGATCATGGAAACGTTTATAGATAATTAATATACTAGAATTTAATAGTATGTTTCTTTAAGCGAAAAGCAAGTATTATTTTCCTTTTTTACGTCGACAAAGTTGTGCATGATAATAGGGCTGTCGCGGTAAGCGCAAAAATGAATACCCGGGGTAAAAACAAGCCAACCGCCATGACGGCACGTCAAGTCACTTCACCCTGCCTACAGTTCAGACAGACACAAAAGACAACTGGTAAACTAAACCAAATGAAACTCCGCCCCTTTCTTAACATTTCAGCCAAATGAAAAGGAGATCAATCTGATTAAGACGATTCAATTTGTAAAATCTGCACCAAACAGATGAGTGTGAAACGAGGAAACACATCCAGTGTGAGCTCTCACCTGGCTGACAGTATCTGGCCTGCAAGATTGTTTTGATTTGGACTTTTACTGATTTTATTATCTCTGGATCACCGCGGAGGAAATTGCTTCACTGTGAAAGCCCTACATGATGATTCATGTCCATGTTGTTAAGCTCAACATTACTTTCCTCATGTTTAGCTCATAGCTCACAACGAACCCTTTAAACATGTCTTATGAAGGCAGGCTCATAAATTAGACCCAACATCGATTGGTTTTGTTCTGAATATTTGCAGGGTTCAATATGTCAGAAAAAAACATTTGTCTCCCACCTTTTTAAAGAACTTTGTGTTTGAAACTTAAATGAAAATGATGGTAATAGTATCATCATATAGGAAGTTACAAAAACCATGTATGTAAAGTACTGGCTGGATAAACAGGTACAACACATTGAGTAATAAGAGTAAACCAACATGAACAGCAGATCGTTGCTGGTGGAGCAGTATCATTTACCCAGATCTTCCTGGTAAATCTGCATTATAAGCACAGCTATTCTGGTCTACTAGCACAGCTCTGTTGTGTCTACTAATTAACTCTGAGCAGACAGGACAAACATGAACCAGCATCACGAACACACTGATCAATGCAAGTGTTGCGTAATGAAGGCAACATTCAAGCACTTTTTTACTAAATCAAAGTTAAATTTGCCAATATCAAAACTCTCATCAAAAAACTCTTTACACTTCACAGCAGTGAAAAGAAAACACCATCTCAAGTGGTTAATATGTGCTGTTCCTTCATTGTACTGATGATATCAACAGTATGAGTGTGTATACAATATGTGGAATATAATCTGATACAAACAGGAGATAGTTTGGTGAGATGACTGAACACATTTAGGTTTCTGTGGAAGACGAGTATCTCCATACACTTATTGCACTACTTTAAATGAACCTGCACACCTTCATTCCATTATGTTAGAAATGGAAGGTATCAAGTTTGTTATTATCTTCACTTCCAATGCATGAAGTGTTTCCCATAGAGAATATATTTGGGGTAAGGATTGTTGAAACTGCAGCACCATTCACAGCTGATATGAAACCGAAAACTGTAGACTTAGCACCTACTCAGGAGCAGGTTAGGTGTGCAGCGTAGGTTTCACTTGTGATGGTGGTAAAAAAGAGAGCACTTCTTTTAAAAACAAGGTTTTCTTCCCACTCTGGGTTGACAAGCTAACCTTGTTAGTAGTGGATCATTTCTGTCCTGACAATATTTGAATTTCAGTTGATGTCTTAATTTCAAACATGTAAATCATCATGTAAATCAAAATCTTCCCTCTTACATTTGACATGCTTGAAAAGGAGAAGAAACAAGTTAAAACTAATTTAATCCGACCACTTTTTTCATTCATATACCGTTCACACAACAAATAAAAACAGAAGATGGGACCTGTCAAAACTGTCTCTCCATTTTGAGATCAGGGTCTGCGTTTAGTTTAGAACACGTTTGAAGGTTTATTTTTGGCCTTTTCTGCATTTATTTAGAGATAGAGATAGGAGAGATTGGAGATATATATATAGAGAGAGAGAGTGGGGAATGACATGCAGGAAAGGAGCCACAGGTCAGACTGAACCCGGGCCACCGCCCGCCTTGAGGACCACAGCCTCTGTACACAGGGCGCGACCACTAACCACTAGGCCCCCCCTCGTAAAACAACAAGTGTAAAACAACTGTGGCTGTCTAGATTGAACTGAAGTCTAGTAGTTTGATCTGAAGTTTGAGAATTAGGGCTCAAAGAGGACTATTCATGCTTTTAGTCATAAAGTCATAACTGTACATCTATAGTGAAGACAATGATGTTCTTTTGTGTATAACATATAATGAATGTCTGAAAAGTTGTGTTGTTCAGGGAGGCTAGAAATGCAAAGTATCTGATTTAAAAATCCTAATTTGAATCAGTATAAAAACCTTTATTGGAGGGGGATTTCAATGTTTCTGTCTTTTATTTTTATTGCAAGTTTTTATTTTGTAAATCCAATCAGGAGTATAGCGTTGACAGTTTTTGAGAGCTGGGTAATTTCTGGTTAGATAAACATGCAACGTTAACGTGCAGCATCTTGGTCTGTTTTTAAAATACATTGGCTTGTCATGTGGTCAGTTACCATAAAATCCAAGAAGGACGCACTCGTATTATTGTTACTTTGATTTCCCTGTTCCCTGTTTTGTGCTACGTCGCTTGACTTGTCATGAGACATTATCAAAAGAGATTTATGAGATTTATTTGCTTTTGCTGTGTAATCTATAAGTACACTTTTGATTTCAGGGTGAAGGCTTATTGTGCCTTCATTTAGAAAGGACAGCGAAGGATGACAGGACATGTTGGGAAATTATTTTAGGCTCAGACTCGACCTCTGCAGGGAGTGTAGCCCTCTGAACGCGAGGTGCGCCTCTCTAAACACTAAGCCAAACTGGCACCCCGATGCAGGCCTTCAGATACTCAGTTAATTTAATTAAAGAGCAAACCTGACAAACGTATCAACTTCCCCCACAGATCTGACAAATATACAGCTCTCTGTGACTCTTGACGAGTTCAACAGCAGGGATTCTAGACTGAACCCATGTAGTGTTTACATTCTCACAGAGTGCTAAACATCAACACACATACTCAAACTCACCATCTCCCTGCACTGTCGTAATGAGGTGTCCATCGAGGAAGAGGTCAACATTGGAGAGATATGAGGAGGGACCTCTGTCCACCACCACCTCGTTAAGAACCTGAAACACATCCACATGTTAAACATGTGAAACCTGAAACACATTCACAATCCGCCATAAACACGTCTCGGCACTATTTGACATGTCAACGAGTGTGTTAACGTGCCAGTATGGGTTTTTCTGTGTTAAGTTCTCCCAATGAAACCAGTATGGCATGTTATCACCTGAGCCTGAGGCATGTTTAGTGGTTACAAAACAAAGTGCCTGAGGTGGTGAGAAAACCTGACAAAACTAGACACATAAAGCTGGTGTACCGGTGTTTACTGGTGCACACACACATTTAAAACAATTAAACTGGAGATGCACCAATTGCAATTTCTCTGGCCGATTCCGATTTTTATCTGTTCTCACCTGCCGATACCGATTTTGGCCGATACCAATTTTCTGTCTTTAAAGCTCTATTATTGATAGCAACAGCAAAGAAAACTGCTGCAATGACAATCTCTCATGCTCACTCAAATGAATCTCCACTTGAAGATTTTGAAAATCAAACCTTTTGTTTCAGGTACAGATCTGTATTCTACTTTAGTTTAAAGCCATCATTTATATGGTAAAAGTGTCTATGTAAAGAAAAACAAACAAAAAGTATTCAATGATCTTTTACAATAAAACATTAACTGAACTTTCTGCATTAAATTTTCACATTCTGGAGATTCAAACAGCCAGTCACACTCTTTATCCCTTTAGGTTTTTAATGTCATAAATAGATCAAATTAAAAAAAAAAGAAAAAGTTTACTGCTTCACTCTGTTCAGCTGAATTATCCCTGACTCACTTACAGACTCTCACCTGTCTGCCCCTGTCTCTCTCTGCCTTTGTGATAGCTATTTAAGAGTTTAAATCATGTTTACCCATTAATTATCAATATTAATCAATAGCCTAATATTTCCTGCAAAGTTATAGGCTACTTCCAAACGTGCTCATACACTTGGGTTTCAGGTGTTCCTCCGTAACCAAATAATATTACAGAGATATTAATTAAATATTTTAACGTTCTGCACTCCCCAAGCCTGGGAGGGAGAGAGAGAGAGAGAGAGAGACATCGCGGGAGCGCGCACACAGGCCTAATACTACATGTACATACAGGCAGCTCAGACGTGCAGAGCTTCCACAGGCAGCGAGGTGAGGAGGGAGCGAGTGCAGGGAAACGGTGTGTGTTTCTGCTCCTGTGTCGAACCTTTTTCTCCTCTGCTGATCGGCATCTCACGTCTACACTGTCGACATGTTGCTTGTTGTGTGTGTGGCTGTCCCTTAGTGTTTGTGTCGCTGTGTGCAGAGCGCTCCACAGTGCATGAAACGGCTCGACTCGGCTATACTTGTGAGGACCAAGTCACATGCCGATCGATCGGTGCACCCTTAATTTAAACAGATGTTAACATTCCAGATGTGGAATGTGTGGCTCAAAATGTCAAAGGCTATTAACCTACATATAAGAAGGTCAGAACCACATATCTTGTTTTGATGACAGTGTTTGCCAATGTGGGTATTTGCTTACAGGTTTTAAGTCCACAGGCAACAGGGCATCATTATTTTGACACACATTGTTGACATGTGTTGTCCTCTTTATAGGCTAACGCTGTGGTTATTCTGCACTTTGAGTAGTCAGAGGGCTAGAGGAGCGGTAAGCAAGCTCAAGTCTATTTACAAATGACCAACATGTGGCTCAACTTAATGTGCCACTAGCATTAAAAGTCCATATTGGAGTTAATACATTTTTGTATATTCACACCCCAAAATCAGTTTCATGCAAATGGTCCTGTTATTTACTTTTGACAACAGTAGTATGATTGTTGTTGTTTTGTTTTGTTTTTTTTTGGGGGGGGGGGGGTGGGCTTTTTGCCTTTCTTGGATAAGACAGCATAAGAGAGACAGGAAATGTTAGGAGGAGGGAGTAAGGGGATGACATGTAGCAAAGGGCTGAGGTCGGAATTTGAACCCACAGCTGCTGCGACCAGGACTATAGCCTCTGTATATGGGGGCGCAGGACATAACCGCTAGGCCATCAATGCTCTACATTCTGTCTATTTTAAAATGTTTTACTTATTTTAAAGAGATACCAAGATGCTGGTTTTATGCAACGCTCTTACCTGATACTGTAGAAGTTTCCGACAACTGTCCATGTCCCCGTTGGTCAGGATGATTCCATTCTCATCCACTCTGGCCTTCTTATCCCAGTTCTCTTTAAATACCCGGACTTTCAAGCGACTTCGCAGGACAATGGCAGTATTACCTTCATGCAATAAACATACACATTAAATAGGGTTTCTTTTTTTAATTATGACTGAAACATTTCAGTATTTATGCAGTAGAGAGAGGCTGACAAAGAGGTAAGTGTATTCAATACCTTCAATAATTTGTGTGACCTGAGACTGGTAGGTGTCAAACTTCAAAGGTGTCAAAAAGCCCAACGACCCCAGGTGGAAGGCCATAACTGGTGGAACACTCTCCTACAAGGAAATCAATGAGAAGGATTGTTATGCCATCCAAGAACATGTAAAAAAAAAAACGAAAAACAAAACACACCAGCTGAATTTAAAATGCAGAGCAGAATACCTGGAAGAGTGAGGACGCATACAGTAAAGTCCCATCTCCACCAAGACAGATGATGAAGTCAACTCGGTTTGAGATGTCGTCAAGATCTGAAAGATACGAACATAAAGAACATCTTATCTAGAATCCACATCTGATTCTTTTATTTTGGTACATGATGGTGATGATTGGCTGGTTTTCATACCTTCTCTGAAAGTGCAGAATTTCTTTGTAATGACTCCGAAGTTCTCATCGCCTGAAATAGCTGGGTCCTCAAGAACTTTCTGTTCCACGTAAACAACCATGTTTTTCACCTACAGCCAGACACAACCCCCCCAACCAACAGGATTAGCCAGTGGCACTGCATAATACGAAAAATATAGCCATGTCTACAAGTTAGTCATTATTTACATGTGAGGCCTTCCTTGTTAGATAGAGACAACAGTAACCTATTGAAGTTAGGGTCACAGAGTCACCCAAGTCAAAGACAGCAACGCACGCATGTCTTTGCCCCAATCACTGCCTAATAATATGTACATTCAGTCTAACCCATCACAGTCTGTTGCTCACACTGCGTGGTGTCATGGGATACCTGGTCTTACCTCAGTGAGGAAAATGCAGAGCTCTTTGAAGGGCTCGAGTAGACTGGCATCTCGTATCTTTTTGATGACAAGGACACTTCTTGGTGGCTTGTTCCATGTTAGTCTTTGGCTGGCGGGATCCTGAATGTGCCTGAAAAGACAAACACATTATAACTTGAGGGGAGGAAACAGGTTAAAACCTGAGTGTTAAAGCTCAGGTCTAGACTGAAGTAACATCTGGTACCTATTCAAGACGTCCTTCTCCTCATCATAACAAGTACTGTACTCTTCCCTATCCCTCTTCCTGCATCTTATCCCATCTCCCCCTATCCCATTTTCAAACCCCGGCGCAGTTTCGGTAGATGGCTGCTCGTCATGAGCCTGGATTTGCCCAAGAATTCTGCCTCTTAAAAGGAAGTTTTTTCTTACCACTGTAATTTATGCTAAAATATTGCTAATGTGCTACACAATGGATTAATGCTTTGTAATGTAGCAATGATTAAAGTATTTTACCTGCTTTTTGTAAAGGGTCTCGAGATAACACTTGTTATGAGTTGGCTCTATACAAATAATGATTGATTGATTGATTACTGCTCAGTATCTACCCATAACAAGTTAAATCTTCAGGTTTAGGTTCTTGTCTCAAACCTTCAAAAATAGCACAGTCACACATCTCCTTATTCCCTTTGCTACATCTTTCATGATTAGATGACTCATTCACACTTCTAAATGAATTACAACTACATTATGAGTCTGTATCTGTACTAGAGACCACTTCTTAATAAGTCTTAGTCAGAAGCAAACAAATACAGTCTTATGATCTTTCCCCTACAGAAATCCCTCATCCTGCCTAATATTATATTATAAATAATCATTTTGAAGGTATCAGAAACAAACAGGATACTTTGAATTTGACTGAGGTTACTGTTATAAGAAAGAATGGGAGCTAATGAAGTAGCTTTTGGACAATCAACAAATGTTATGTGCATTCACATTCTTTCTAAAACACTAAAGTCCAGACAAATGAAAACAGGCCAGTTTCCTCTTCCTGTTTCATTATCCACTCAAAAAGCAACAAACTATGTAATTAAATTCATTTCATTACTATTCATTAAATGCAAACATACAAAAACAAACTGGACTGCAACAGATTATGTACAAAGGCAGTCATTACTACAACCTGATAGCTCTGAATAGTATAGGCTCATGTGGAGAACAACAGAAATCAAGGTCCAGTTAAACACTGACTTCAGTAAAACAGATCAAACCAAACATGTGGCAGTACTAGTAGAAAACTGAAGCTGTGCAGTCGTAATGACAGGTACAGGATACAAAGCAAAAACATGTGAAGAAACAATGAGCCGTGTACTAGCCATCCACAGTTTTCCTGACCACCTCAACACATCCTCAGGTTTATGTCACATCAACCTCTAAATCTATCACTCCATCCCTGCACTGATACACTTTCTCTTTTCTCATTCACAAACAGATCGAAAAGAAAGCTTTAACTCTTGACTTTGTCTTAACTTAAGACATACAGTTCTCACATGACATCAGTTTAGTAAAGCCTGAAGCTCTCACACATCTTCAGTGAGTCTAACCAAGAGAACACCTGAATGGCAAAAACAATGCAACAGCTTGGAGCAGCCATTTAACATTTCAGCTCAAATCAAACACATTGTTTTCTGTTGAAAAAGAGAAAGGGAAGATGCCAGAGGTTCCTCTCACCATTTCCACACTTTGTTTGTGCTGTTGTTCCCGGCAGTGCCCTGAGGGATGCACTGATTAAACTTCATTGCTGTCCACATGTAACAAGGATGCTGTGTTCAGATTGATTCAGCTGTGAACAGAGCTCTGTCCCTGTGGCTCGCTCTGACGAAACAAACTCATTCTTCCTCTAATGACTTCCTTGAGCGCCAGAGCACTGTCGAGCAGCTGAAGAAGTTGAGTCAGTGCACTTCGTGCAGTCTTGCCAAGGGGTTATCTGAGAGGCAGCCAGGTGAGAGTCTTCTCTGTGTGCTGTCCACAGACAACAGGATAAACTCAAAACTCCTCCGGCTGGATTCACCGTGGCTATATTTGTCCCACTGACGACTTAACACTAAACCTCCCTGGTGTATTCTGCTGTTGTATTTAAAGCTCTCACTCAGCTTAAGGTTGGCCTCATCTCTGTCTCCACCCACCTGTGCACTGAACTCGCCCATTTGGGGGAAAGGCCTTATTTTTCAGGAAGGTATGACTGAATATAACCATGACAGAGTCATGAGTCGTCCTTGGTGCATAAATACATCCATACTTTGTTTGTCTCTCGACGTAAACACAGATACATACTGATTAAATATATAAAACACAGGCCCCAACTAAGTAAGAGAAACAGTGTCAAAACTCCAACTTTCAGACTTAAATCAATCATCTATTAATTGTCATATTACAGCCAGTGACTGCAAAAGGAATGTTTCAAGCATCACACATGTAGAACACAAATATCTTCTAAATCCTACACAAATTAAAGCATAATGAAACAATGAACTAATATTGCTTGATGCATATATACCTAGAACATAATAGTAGTAGTACAAAGTAGTATATTTAAGACTTGAAAATGGTTGAAAAGACAATTTGTGATACGTTATCTTTGATGTTTAACTTGGTATTTAGAACCAGCTTTCATTGATGTAACAAGGAATTCCTCTCCCCTTGCCTCTAGTTATCGCCCTAACCTCTGTCTGCGTGGAACATTTGCCGCAAGTCGAGTGCGTCTGTGTCAGACACCGTGCTGACTTCTTGCTGTGAACGAAACATGTCGGCAGGCAGGTTTCCTTCAGCTGAGTTTCTTTGAGTGACTTAGACTTGAGTTTCTATGGGCCTTTTCTCAAACCGGTCCCTCTACACAGAGTGAACTCTTTTTGATGCCACACCCACAGCTGAGTGAAGTAGTTCTCATTAAAGGTGGAGGGTATCAACACAGCAGCAAGATTTAGATCACTCTAATGGAAACAGTGAGTTTTATGTTGCATATGGTGGCAATTCCTTTTTTATTTTTTTCATCCTATAGTTTCAATATGATGTTTATATGATGATTCGTTTGAAGTAGGCTGTATCCTGAATACATTTTTATTTTATTTTATTTTTTACATTTTTATGAAAGTGTTTTTAACGGATTTTGAGGCTTTTAAAATTGTGTGAGTGATTGCAGGGAACTGTGTACATTGCATTTCCCATGACGAACAATGTAAGGCGTTATACCAGTTCAGTAAGTCAGCATTGGTGCAGTCTCAATTTGGGGGGGTTTAACAACCCACACCACACTAAGAGGTTTTTGGACAGCACTCTATGTGGACGACTCTCCTTTGAGAGCGCAGTAATGGACTAGAGTGGAAGTGTGTGTGGACAAGGTGAAGGCAGGGCGTGGTTTGAGAAAGGCCCTGTGTCTCCTCCCCTCTCGTCTGACACACTGTTTCCTCACTGGTACAATCAGCAAGTTTATTAGTCTACTATTACGTCTACAGAAACATCTAAATCCCAGTGAGACGATTGATTTCCAGTGTTACAGTTTTACAGGGCTGCTGTACCAATGAATGTGTCAATGAGCATGAAATGAAAGGCTAACATGTTCTTTATGATGCTGTGACTTTGTTGACAACAATGCAGCTGACAGGTGCTGAATCAGCTCTTTTACATAACTGTGTGATACAGTTTTAGATTTAAAATAAATCACTTTCAAAGCTTAAAGGCACGGGTCAATGATTTATTTAAACAATCATAATTAGCATATCATACTTTAGTGCATTTGACTGTGATTCAGCTGACTACATGTTTATCGTGGTGCCAGTAGCCTAGTGGTACAGAGGTTGTTGTCCTTAAAGCGTGTTCAAATCCGACCTGTGTCTCCTTTAATGCACATCATTCCTCCCTCTCTCATTTTCTCTCGCTCTCCCTCCCTGATTTCTGACCCTATCCACTGTCCTCTCTCAGAATCAGAATATCTCAGAATTAAAGGCATCAAAGTACCATAGTTTTATCAGGATAAAGGCTTCCCATTGATCAAAGTGTCTAAATTCACACATTTAAAAATATGGTTTAATACTGTGGTGTAAGGTTTTAAAATTTGAGAGAAAAAAACCCAACAACCCCAGTTTGATCCTCTTTTCAACAAGAAATTGCCAAAGTGATTTTTGCAATAGTTGTGGCTTTAACTACACAGAGAAGTCTTTGACTTCTTCACCATCTTGGTTTTAAACAAACACATGTCTGGGTCGGCATCATTTGCATATATTCCTTTAGCTCCCCTAGATTAAAAAAAAGGAGGCTCTGCTCTTTACTGATTTGGTTTCATTGTGTATCACAGTCCCTGCACACTTCAGTTTCCCATTGCTCCATCAGCCCACCTGCGTTCTCTCAACCTCCCTTCTACCAGACACCATCCAGGAGTAGGCTGGGTAGTGGAGCAGCTTTAGGTGACCTAAGTTGGGTCTAAGCATGTATCTGAGCTCTCCTCCTTCTCTCTCTTTGGTAGACTCAGAGCCAGCTGCAGCTCTTGGCATTGTTTGACCTATAGTGTTTCAGATGTTGACGTAGTGACCCTGATGTCATCAAATTTTTCCTTGAATTTTATGAGCCATTTCCTTGAGGACACAAGGAATGAAAATCAGGAGGGTGACGTAGTGTGTGAATGATAAAAGCCGGGTCTACACGGGACAAAGTATTTAAGTGTCATAGTTAGACAACGACATGTCCTCGTAGCGAAACATTTGTTAGAGCTTGCACATTACTTATCAATTCAATCAGTCTTTAACTGGAGAATTTTGTACTCATACATAAAAGGAATTTATAATGAAATAAGGAACTACAATTCTACAATTTCTACAATTCACTTTTTATCCAAAGTGACGTACATCAGAGAGTAAGTACAACACAAGCAAGGATCTTTGCTGGGTCAGAAGACATACGTGTTTGATTGGGATGACGTTTTTATTGGTATTATTTGCAAAATGTATTTCAAGACTTTCTTTTCTATGGTACGCTTCTTTTGACACAAACTTGGTGACAGTCCAATCAGTGTTGATGTTAAATATAGTCTCGCCCTCACTCCGCTGCATCTCTTTGGCCAAATACTCTGGCAAATACAGATGAATATCTTCAGCAATAACACTGTAAAAAGTGTTCTTGTCCATTACATCCTCTGCACACACATTTTAGCCTGCTTGTTTTATGTTTGTTGAGTTGTTTTATAGACTGTTTCCAGAGAAGACTCAACAAAGAAAATGAAGAGTAGATAGCGGGTGGTTCCTCTGAGACACAGCAGAAACGATGAAGAACAACAGCTAAGCAACAAAACTGCAGCCTATTTCACACCGTCAGCCTGACTCAATTTCCAACATTACGTTTAAATTAAACAGAAGTTATGCTGTTAATTGTTAGGCTTTGACTGTTAAGATATATGTGCAGTCTGACATCTGACTTGCCTTTAGTTTTCAATCTCTGCTCTGCAAACTCTCTACTACAGACTGAGAAGGTCTGTAGTAGAGATATTAGCATATCAAGTGGCTAACGGTATGGACTAATTTATCGCAGAAATGCGCATTACTAGATTTATTCACCAGACAAATAGTATTTATTTTGAGTATCGTTGAATAAGCCTAGCAGATGTTTTTTTTCTGGCTGTCACCAGCAGAGTGTGCTTTATGGATTTCAACAAGCATTATCACTCTCCAGAGTGTCAAGTGGTGATGCACGTCCATGTGCAGTTACTTTCCAGTTGAGTGACCATCTTGTCTTTGTTATACTATATATCTTTTCCACAAGTGTTTGATAACTGAATTTGCCAATTTATCAGTATTACATTTTTTCTCTTTCTAATATAGATATCTGTATCGGCCCCAAAAATCTCATATCGGTCAGGTCCCAATCTGTATCAAAATACAAGCAAACACTAGTCATTGAACTTATTGCAAGACTGAAAATATAAATCTTCAAACGAGATTCTCATCTTTTTTTATTCAGAGTTGGTTTAAAAAATCAGTTTAGAGCAATGACTGTTATCTTAAAAAGTTTCATGTTACAGTATGACTTTAGATGTTTTTCCATTGTAAAAGCCGCTGGTTAGTCTTTCTGTGTTGTTTGCACTGAAGTTTTCATTCTTTTGATTTTGCAGACAATATTTGAGACTAAATCTAAAACTATAGGAATTTGTTAGGAGTGTGTGACTGTCAGAATGAATGTTCATCTCTCTATGTTTATGTGTTGATGAGGGTTGGGGGGGGCCCATTAGAAAGAGTTTGGGAACTACTGATCTAAACTTTCACTGCCCTGCTTTTGGGGAAAACACTTTTTCTATAACTTGATATTTAAATATTGATGAACAGAATTGTGCATTACATGTCAGTGTGAGTAGGTTCCCATAAAAAGACTACAGCCTAACCTTTGTTTTGTAAAATGATACCTGGTTTTTCTACTTCTAACCTGTTTAGCAGCTTTGAGGAGGTTAATCCATCAACAACTGCTGCAGTGCTGTGAGCCACTTACATGACTTAGAGAGTCAAGAGGCCAACAGTCTGTCGAGGCTTTGACAGGAAAACATGAACTCTCTGTAACTCTGCCGGCACACTTCATTAAGTTTAGCAACATGTTCAGCTGGTAGATTCATTGTTTGTTGTTCAGCTTCTGTTGGTGAGTTAAGTTAAGCAGTCAGAATGGTGCTCTTGAGTCACCAGCATTACATAATAAACACACAGTATGTAAATACAGCCACCAGGGGGCTTTCAATCAAAACAGTAACAAAAGATGATGTGGAGGCTGGCGGGGAATCATGGGAGTCAATCTCTTTCCTAAAATATTTAAACATTTTAACTGCACTCAAGTTGGGAATGTTGGAATTTTGCAGTAACTTTGCCATTTACCCCCTGAAGCCAAAATTAAGCGTAAAATCTTTGGAGAGAGAAAGAGAATAAAGCAGGTGCAGACTCCGACTCTACACCAAAGTTAGTCCTTCTACCTTCTCGAGCTGGTCTGCCTTGTACACAACCCTGCAAACTCTGACTGTGGGACATAAGGGAAACATTATGTAGAAGTAAGTGAATAGGTATGAGGAGGTTGAAGAGTGACCGATCTGTACAAAGCTGTGATTGTTGCCTTGGTGTCCTATCACTGCAGCTACAGTGAGATCAGTAAACACAGCCTGAATCTTCTTTGTTGTTCAAATGAAAGTTAAATAAGGATAAGATATTCTTTGAAGCTGGCACAAATTGTACCAAAGCACAGACAAAGAACGGATTGCATACTTGACTTGGTTAACACCAAAATTATTTCTTCTCACATACATTCAGTTTTCAAAGACAAAGAAATGTAATGTTTAATCAGCAGGGAAACAGATCATTTATATAACCATAGCAGAGTTTGAACTGCCTGCTCATGGTTGATTTGCATTGTGTCCAAGAAAATCCAATTCTAATGCCCCCCCCCCCCACCCTTTTTTTGGGAGGGGCCATACCAAATCTTAAAAGAAAATTAACTCTGTCTATTTTTCAGTGTCACAAACCCAAACTTTAGAAAAACCTTTAGTACAAAAACCCTGCAGCAACATGAACGTAACCCTGTTCTACTCACATCACTGCGTGTGGATTCTGAAGCATGCATGCCTTTGGGCCAAATGTAGTCACAGGGCTTGGTCCATGAAGTGACTGTGTTCTCCTGAAAGAGACAAAAACAAAACAAACTATAACAACAACAACAGAAACAGGGCTAACAGTGTATAGGGTTGAACAAACAGTATTTTACTTCTTTTTTTCACATTAGTAACATCTCAGGAGAATGTAAGGTGACATGGATATGTGGTGGAAAAAAGTTTCAAGTTGAACACCACACAGACTCCTGTAGCCAGGCGGGCCCCTCTGGATGTGTGTTATATGAAACTGTGCCAAGAAATGTCCACAACTCTTTCAAATGTACTCTGTGTAGTGAGACTGTGCAGGCGCAGTCTTTCCATTTGTATAACAGACAACATGTTCTAGAGTCAACGTGAGAAGCAGGTCGATGAGGTAGACTTCCAGGTGAAGAGAATATGTTTATTCGCGACCAGCAAGCCTAAATGAAGAGCAATCTGCATGTTACATGACATCTCAAAAGTCTCTGCGGAGCATCCAAAGATGGATTGGTTGTGGTTGGGCTGAATATCTTTGCATTAGGATTATTAGAAACAAACAAAAAAGTTATGTCCAAATGTTGCAAAATACAGGAAATAAGAGGAAGACATGTGCAAAAGAACTTCTAGCAGAGCAACACCTGTCCCATTTAGAATACACACAGAAAGATGCAGTAGGGTTTTGTTCTGAGTAATGCACTCTTAGCATCATCTTATACTGAATGAACATGTAGTGTGAGTTTATAGAACAACACTGAAAGGAGGAGAGTCACATTATAATACTTATGCCTCTATATGACACTCATTTTTTAAATGCCTCATCTCATTGCTGCAACCATGTCAGAATTTGACAAGGCATTTAATGTGTTCAGACTGACAGAGCCTTTGTTTCACATACAGCAGTATGTTAGGCAGCTGAAAGGAAGCAAAACAAGAGTTGTCTTAAACTTTATTAGCTTGCATGTAAAGGAAAGGGAAAACAAAAATAAATCTGCTGTGTGTGTTTGGCAACCAAAATAATCAAGAAGAAGGTTCCTCCCAGCTGCGTGAATGATTTTAACAAGGTATTAATGAGATTTTCTTTCTGGTTTTGAGTGACTAAATATTAAGCAGATTCATCAACACTGTTCTCATTTCAAACACATGCCCTTTTCATTTCTGCCCAAATTGATAGCAAACAATAACCACATTGAATTCCCTATTTTTATGTTAATCCTGTATTCCTATAAAAGCACAAAACAAAGACGGGGCACCGTTTTAGCTCGATCAGTAGGGCAGGTGCCCCGTGTACAAAAGGCTGCAGTCTTTGGTACATCAGCCGCAGCTTCAACAGCTGGCCTCAGCCCCTTTGATGCATGTCCGCCACGCTATCTTCTCCCACATTTCCTCTCTCTCTCTCTCTCTCTCTCTCTCTCTAATGCCGTCCCATCGATAAAGGATGGGAAAAATCAAATAAAAAAAGTACACAGTACACATTGCACTGCTTGGTAACACAGTATGAGTACTTTGAACTGCTCAACAGTTGTATTACATCACCAGGATGATATTTGACCTGCCAATATGTTTGTCAAATAAATACATCAGCCTGAGATTTACTGCTTTTTTAAAACAAGGTGAACAGGTTTCTATTGCAGGTTCGTGCAGTCAGCATTACTACATAAATTACTGAGTATAAAGCAGTATTTTTTAAAGCTTAAAAAAATATTGTAAGCTAAATTTTATGTAATTACATTGTGCGACACACAAATAAGCCTGATCTATGTACAAATGTAGCTTTACTGGCTCTAAAATCTTGTCGCTCCGCCCTCATTTTATGTAATGCTACACTGAGTATGTTGTTTGCTGTTTATCTTTCAACTGCAAACTTAACAATCTACTCTTGTCTGTTGTGCTGAATGTTGTGAGGTGGGATATCCCTTTAAAGGAAGAATGTGCCTCATTTCACACATAAATACAGCAGAAACCAAGTATATCCTCTGTGAATGTCTCTCTGAGTCATGACTGTCTACAATGAGTGAGAAGTGTACTGTTGTCTGAGCCGTGTTTACATCATGTGTACATGGACGGCCTTGCGTTTAAAACTGTTTAGATCGAGGACTAGAGGAGAGAAGAATGTACTCACTGCTTGTTTGGATGTCCCATAAGTGTGTATAGATCAAGGCAAGTCTGTGTCAATTCCTGTGCAATGTGAAGCTATGAGTTAACCGAAGTGTGCTAACATTAACCTGCTAACACAACAATGCAGGACACAGGCAATTGCAGCTCAAGCAAAGGACAATTATGTCTGCCGCTTGTGCTTAATGATGTTTAATTATGGTGCATTCTAATTTATAACTCCTTTGTGCGAACGCAAGTGGAGTGGATACACGAGTATCTTAAGGAGCTACTAGTGCCGTACTGTCCCTCGAGAGCGTTGCGGTCCCGGAGTGCAGGCCTGCTGGTGGTACCTACAGTCTCTAAGTGTACTATGGGGGGTAAAGCCTTCAGTTATCGGGCTCCTCTCCTCTGGAACCGCCTTCCAGCCGGGGTCCAGGAGGCAGACACAGTCTGTATTTTTAAGAATAGACTTAAAACTTTCCTTTTTGATAAATCTTATAGTTAGGGCTGGTGCTGGTGTAGACCAGCTCTTAGTTATGCTGCTATAGGCTTAGACTACCGGGGGAACTGGCACCTTGAGCTCCTCTCTCTCTCTCTCTGTGCACATACAGTACATCATATTACTGCATGTATCTATCTGTAAATCACAGTCACTAACCACCTACTTTCCTGAGAGCTCTTGAGCTCTCTTAGGCTCCTCAAGATCGTTGGTTGACGGCCTGTCAGAACAACCCCACACACACGCACACGCACCCCCCCCCCCCCCACCGGATTGTTGATGGACGGTCTGCCTCCCCCAACCCCCTTGCTCCCTATCCCTCTTCCTGCATCTTATCCCATCTATCCCCCTATCCCTTTCCAACCCGGCGCAGTCTAGTCCTGTGAAGGCTGTTTTGTCATGACCCGGGGATCCGGCCAAAAATTTCTGCCTTTTAATAAGGCAGTTTTTTCTTACCACTGTAACTTTTGCTGCTTTGCTAAAGTGCTCATGATGGATAGGCCGGGTCTTTGTAACATAACAATAAGTAAGGTCTTTTACCTGCTTTTTGTAACATAACAATGAGTAAGGTCTTTTTTCCTGCTCTTTTGTAATGTTAAAAGACAAAGAGTAAGGTATTTTACCTGCTTTCTGTAAAGTGTCTTGAGATAACACTTGTTATGAGTTGACGCTATACAAATAAATTGAATTTAATTAGAGGGGTTGGAGGTGTGCAGCTGGAGGAGAGCAGAGGCTTTAGAATAGAGGAGGTGACACCAAATAGCAGATTGTTTTGGTTTCACGCTGGTGCTCAAGGGCGACATCTACTGGATCAAACAGTGACACAGTCTTCTCCTGAATACTCCTGAAGTGTTTTTAATGTATTTAGTTTTCTCACAGGGCCTTCTTCCTCTTCTCCTTTTAATTAGGTTTCACGTCTACATTTCTATTTCCTAAACACTGATTTTAAGGCAGTGGTGCCAACACTTGATACATCAAAACCCATTCTCCTTCTTATGTAAAAGATAATCTCAGTTTGTTTTGTTTTTTTAGTTGTGCTACACAAGTCATACTGTAACTTTTTTTAGATTTAAGGTTCAAATGATCAAACTTTAATCTGAAATTGGATCTTTATCTGGAACATTATCTCTATGCAGCTCTTATTCTGATCAAATTGTAACATTAGATTATTTTATTAAATGTCACATATACGACAATATTTCTTGTTGTTCTGTGAAATGAGTGGTTAGGCAGGAGAATCGAACTCTAAACGTCAAACTCTTTAGGATCTGAGCAGCCCTAAATGTCTCATCCTAATGCCCCCCCCTCCCCCCCCTTAGAGGGGATTTTACACATATTCTTAATCATTTACCAAACGCCTGAGGTTGTGAATCCCTGACCATGTCACAAGGCAGTTTCAAAAACTCTTGCACCAGCTCTGAGTTAGTTCTGCTTTCCGTTGTGGTCCACACTAAACACAATGTTGAAACCAGTTAGTAACTTCAATTGTGTCATTGTTTTGTTGCACCATGGGGACAAAAGCTTCATCTTAAATAGTAGATCGGAGCCTTCAAGCGGACCAAAATATTGTCGCAGAAATCACGTTTTCCCTTTAATGTGACCAATCGGTGAGGGTCAAGTCAAGTTTATATATAAAGCACATTTCATATATGACACATATCTTTAAGAAGAGATAAAAAAAAAAATGAAATAAAAATGCCTTAATGAAGTGCAAAAAGTACTTCAGTCATTTCAGATTTAACCAAAAAGCTTGTGCAAACAGATGTGTTTTAAGTCTGCTTTTCAAAGACGACATATTGTAGCGGACCTTTGTTCCTGTGGTACGGAATTCCAGAGAGTTGACCCATCATGACTAAAAGCACCATGAGCTGATCTGGTGTAGAGCTCGACCGATTAACTGGCCAGCCGATAATATCAGCTTATCAAGTGATTATCGATATTGGCTAATTTTATCACAGATATAGGCAGATATTACTATATTCATTTAACAGTTATTTCATTTGAGTTTCATTGTTTTAAAATAACAGTTCTCTTTCACCAGCAAAGTGTGCTATATGGATTAAAATAAGAACCAGAATGCCAAGCAGTGATGCACGTACAAACATGTGCAGTTACTTTGTAGTTCAGTGACTATCTTGTCTTAAATATAGAAAAAGAAAATATATTTTAATAATCCTGCGAGGGGAAATACACTACATATACTGTATATTTTTACTACAAGTGTTTGATAACTGTATTTGAGGGATAAACACAATAAATGTGTATCTCTCTCTCTCTCTCTATATATATATATATATCTAAAGATCGAACTTAGATCAAAGAAAGGTATCAGCCGATATCAAATATTTCTTCGATATGGTATCGGCCCCAAAATACCAATATCGGTCGGGCCCTAATCAGGTTAAAGCGGTCTTCTTAATGCAGTGTTTATCACAGTTTCCTCTCTTGAATAAAGGCTGAAAATAACTTCTATTGACTACAGCTGATAGACAAACAGTGATGAAAATGTATTTAAATTGTAACAATATACCTTACCATTAGGTAATAACTAAAGTCTACATCCTTACTCTATAGCCAGTGTAAAATAACAACAAAGACACTGAGTGGTGAAATCTTCAACTAAAACAGAAGGTAATTAAATGGTACACTATTTCCTCTCGTAGAAAACAAAAGTGGGACTAAAAACAAAGTCATCATACATTTCTGAGGGATGTAATATATCGCTGAAAACACACTGCTGATACAAAGTCTTCTACTCATCATCCCTCAAAGATATCCCACCTTTCAAAATGATCATGACAGCTGGATTTTAAAGAAGGATTTTAAGCCTACTACATTTCAAGTAAAATGTAAGATTTAAAATATAACGTATTACCTATGTTGAAAATCTCTTAGCAGGTGGGCGTTCACTCCTTCCTAAATTAGGAATTCATCGTTCATACTGGGCAAAGTTTTAACTTATGCATAGCTGGTGCAACCCAATGCAGGGTAATATCCTATCGCAAGTTAAATATTTATCTATGAGAACCGGAGGCACGATATCCTTCAGTTGCCTGTTGGCATGCCCTTGATTTTTTTTGTCAACTAAAAGTTAAAGAAATGATTTTAAACCATAAGAATAAAAGATGTATAACATGCATGAAAAGCCAGACAACATCGTGAACATCAAATACTGCAAATACTGGTACCGGTAGTATAACACAGCAAATACTGACAGGTTTGCTTAAGGATAAGTTCAAACAAGGGAGATGCATCTGATAAGTGAATATCATTCAGGTCTAAAATAACCATTATAACCAGTGAAAGATCCCATTCAGACTTAAGTTACAATCCAAATTGGGCTCCCATGTTCAACACCTACCTGTATTCAGAAGAGCAGCCTGCTGAGGAGGTGCTCAGGCTGCGGGTTTTCCTGTTCTGTAGAACCAGGCAGTGTCCAGTAACCTCCCCTCCGTCACAAGTGGAGCAGCAGTATGGAGCAGTTTCCACTCGCACTTCCTCTCCACAATCCATCTCTGACAGGCAGGCTGCAGGTAAACTGACAGGGCAAAGCAATCATTGATGAAGACAAACATTGAATCAATCAACTGAGTATTTCAGACATACAAGCCTGATCAAGACCTAACATTGTGGTAACACTGCTTCAGTGCATTTTAATGATGCTTCATGAAAAGAAACCATTATTGGTTTTTTTAAGATAAGGTAAAAGTAGACTTTAATTCACACGGCTGCAAATGTTTCTGTTAATATCAAACTTATTATAATAGTTCACTAAATACTTCGTTGAATAAAAACAGCGTTAAAACACTTTGTCCATACAGAAACTCCGATGCTTTTAGTGAAGCAGTGAATGACGTCATTTTAAGCTGTTTAGGTTAAGGGTCTCCTTGGCTGGTCAGCTGAATTAATAGATCAAGATAAACTTTACTTACAAATTAATTAAAAAAAATAAGCTGCGGATAAGTGAGGCTCGGAGGCTAGCTTTGTAAATCACCCTCATCAAATAGATTTCTTAATGAATAAGGTCAGCAACACAAACATATTCACCGACGTAAACGAGGGCTGACGGATCCCGACAGAATATTCTCCATGAGCTAACCACACTAGTTAAGCTACAAAACGAGTTTAGCTAGTAATTAGGCACGTCGAGAACAACGCGTAATATCGTCCACTTCTGTGGTCAACACTACCTTAAATTCCACCACGTTTGAGGACAACACAACTGTGGAGTGCAGCAGCCCGCCGTAGTATCAATACCTCACCATTATTATGATGTTACACCATCTTACTGAGCAAAAAGCTGTCAACAGACAGCTCACCACTTCCTAATGCCAGCCGTCCAATTACAGGCCGCCTTCTCGGTGACGTCATATTGGACGACTTTACCAAACAAGTGTCCTTAAAATGAACGGGCTGTTTAGCAGCATTACACTACAACATTTTACAGAAGGCAAAGACGTAAGCGATTAAAGTACTGTAAGGAAACTGTTCAACTGATAACTATATACGTTTACAAACCTTACAAAATTGTATATAATACTACACACTTCCGGGTTCAGAGGCGGCGAAGGAAACCACATGACACAGGTACAGGAAATGACTCCCAGAAAGCCGTGCCAGCTTTTTAGCGTCCAGCAGAGCTGTGTCTGATCTGATAGGCAGACCGGCGAAAACTTAACCATTATAATAATATGTAATAATGAAACAGCGATTCTCTTAAATATGTAACTTCATACGCTGTAGTACGACATTGCCATTTTTATATTTAAGAACTAAAAAAATCTGCAACATGGTAAACACATTTTGCCTGTCGTGGTACGTAGAGGGCGACAAAGACGAGTAAATAGATTATTAAAAACAAAAGAACCTGTAACACAAAACGAAAATATAACGCCTGTAGGGCTGCTGATCCTCTGGTAAGGAGTAGGGAGTGAGTCAATAAAAAGGGAAAGAGAGTAAATCGTGTACTTACTGTACGGGTAAGACAATTCAGATCCTGTCTTAAGCAAACAGCTGGTCGTCCGCCAATCAGAGTGGAGACGATCTCCTCGGCTTGAGCGGTCTACATGTTGTAGTTGTAGGGACCAAACAAGACACTGAACCCCAAATTACTTCAAAAGTCTCTGCAATCAACGTCAATACCATTTAGATATTGTTGAGCAACTTGCATTGCACCCTGGTTCCCTTAAGACTACATATGCACTTTGTGATTTCAACCAATTAAACGAACAATCCATTGGATGTGCAAGTATCTGTAGTTCCGATCAGCAGGTATTATTTTTACATCAGTGGGTTTACAGATATGAACATGCAAATGATGGGTTAACAATAGACGATCTGTGTCCATCCTGACAACTGAAAACATACCCTACAACTAAGGTGTTCTGTTCAACTGCGTGGCTGTTTAGACTGTGAAGCTTTCTGTTCACAAATAATAAACGTAGTGAAAATGAATATACAGAAAAGCCAGGCTGGATTAATTTTGGATAAGAAATTGTTTATTTGACTTTAACATAATTACAAGGAAACCAAACAGGTCTGCAATATCGAAGCTTTAGTGGCAACCCCTTTAGTGAATCACACACTCAACACAGAAGTTCATCTCAAACTGCTTTTTATTACATCTTAAATAACAGTACATTTTAATATAGTTTCTATCTTGCATCCAGCTTTCGGTTGTACACTGACTGACTTGAAAATTAAATACAAAAAGTGAAAAGGGAACAGTTGGGGTGCAGAGCTCTACAGTTAATTAATGGAGAGGGTGAAAAAGAAAGGGAATTTAATTTTTTTTAATTACATTTTTATGTTTTGCCGACTCCAGGCCTAATGCACAATTACAGCACATTTTTGTACAGTTGCAGAGAAAAAAAAAGTTGGAAAAAAAAAAAAAATAACACTACAGCTAAAGAAAAAGCGCCTCTGTTTACAAGGAGAGAACAACAGAAAGTTCTGCCATTCAGATGCTGTAAGAAGTATATGTGTATATATATTTCAATTTTTTTTATTAAAGGACAGAAAAAAACCTGTTATAAAATGTTTTACTTGCAAGTGGATTTTTTTGCTACAGAAGGAATGACAATTTTTTTTTATCCATTTGAGATTGTGTTCATTTCGGTGTCTGAATGTACATATGCGTCTGTGTAAAATTTTAACATTTAAGATATTCATTAATTTTTGGAATCCCTCCCTAGTATGGACCAAGAGACTGTTGATGATGTTGTAGGGTTTGCTTCTCAAGTGCATAGCTTTTGACATTCAAGGTGAATCATGTATGCACAGAGTAGCACCACCCCAACCCCCCCTCCCACCCCCCCCAAAAAAAAGAAAGAAAAAGAAAATATAAATACCATTGTATTGATATATCCAACAGGTAATTTTCTTAAAGAAAAACATCAAAGGAGTTAATTCCATATGCACCTTTTTAAGCAATTCTACAGCATGCGATTCTAAGTGATAACCCATCCATGGCAGACAACCAAAATCTTTTTTTTTTTCGTTTTTAACTTAAAAAGTTTCAATATCATTATTTTCAAACATTGATTTATACAACATGTCATTAACAGAGTAATAACTGCATTTCCATGCACGGAATGGGCACCTCTGTTAAAAACAGAAACGTGTCCAGATTGCAACTGGGCTAGAGTGGTGGTACTCCACAGCCGACGAAATCACATCAACGGTCCCACCCCTGGGCGACAAAATCTAGGGAAAACGATATTAAATTAATGAATATAAAGGGGGGCGGGGTAGATCAGGATCCAACGAGTATTTCTTCATTTCATTATTCTACACTGTTGTCAGACAAAAAGGTATAAGAATGGTTAAAATGGTTTGCTTTTTTGTCACGTTCTAAAAATGAGCATTCATTATGATAAACAGCATGTGCTTGGTTAGTTTACTTTTTTTCTTATTTCATTACTCTATATATGCAAAGTTTAATTTTTGTGCAAACAAAGATTTGTGGACTACACTGGAAAAGAAGAAACAGTAAAAGTATCTTGAGACTTAATATACCAAACGGCCACATCTGGCCTGATACCTCCTTTTTGAAGCTCCGTTTTCTTGATTTATTCTCCAGTGGGATAAATCTCTATATAAAATGAGTTGATCTGAAGAACTGTTTGTTTAAAAAAAAATCTCTTAAATGTGTGGAAAAAACAAAAAACAAAGCCTTGATCCTCATTTGAACATTTACTAACAATTCACTGATTTACGCCTCTTTAGCAAAAGATAATCACAGAAATCAATACAAGAAACAAAAAAAAAAAAGTCCAAACTTCTAAAAAGAATAAGATCACTGTCGAGTGATAACCTTCAGTCAGAACTTTGTATAATAAGGATGCAGGACACGTTTGCTTGATGGTGGGGTGTTTGTGTTTTCACTTTCTTCAATACCAGAGCGTGTTCATGGAGGAATGCACCATTTTCCCCTCTTTCCATTTTGTAACTAGTAAATCCCTCAAACTTTTTTTTTTCTTCATTTTTCTGTAGTTTTGTGAATGACAGACAATTGTGCTCTTCAAATGAGAAAGAAAGAGAGAATTTTTGCTCTTGAAAGTTTTTAAGGGGTGTTCGGAGTCAGTATCACGGGGTGTCTGTTTTTTTTTTTTTTTTTTTTTTTAAAGATTGGATATGCAATAAAATTGAACATTGTTAGGTTGGAATGGTCTTCTGCTCAACTTGGGAGTCCAGATGCCATCTTGAAACAAAAAAAAGAAAAGAAAAGGTTTTATTATTGTCATCCAGCAAAATCAACATTGTGCAGATGTTTCAAATGTTGCACAGTCAGTCCCAAACCCCAGATGGCAGTAAATGCAAACAGTAAACGAGGATCCCTTAGCTGTTAATAAACCATGACCCTGACACTGTTGCACATCACAGGACTATTAGGTCATCATTTACCTTCTGACTCTAGTTCCAGATCTTGAGGAAGCTGTCCCAGGACCCTGTTGCCACTGCCATGCCATCGTCAGTTACACCCAAGCAGCTCACTCGGTTATCGTGACCAGCCAGGACTCCTGCAGAGACACCACATGTTAAGACACAGCAACGGACTTAGAATGTCAGGATGGATATCAAATGCTTTGAGGGAGGAAAAACAATCCATTGAACACCTCTATTAGCAGTTTCCTTTTTATTTTAAATGTCATATGTGGGCCTTTTCAACGTATTTCTATAACATGCCTCACATGTGAGAGATGTATTTAATTCCAAAGTAGTTAAAGAGGTGACACTGTACAAAACTTTAAGCAGGAGAGGAATGGCTTTCAACACATATAGTATTTCATCGTACACCCTAGCTTAGACACCTTCTATCCACACCTTAAGCACAGAGGTATAAATGTGCAAGTAGAGTCGTATGTCATCATGAATCATCTGTCACAACTGTCCTCCTATTCTCAGATTGTATTTCATCAGCTGTGTAGTGGGGCAACCATGTGTTTAACCTTGTTCCCCTTCTTCCTGGTACAGAAGCTATAATCATGAAATATAGTTTCAGTACGCACGCACGGTGTAACAGATGCAAAAGAAGGGTGACCAAAAGCTTAAGGCCACAGAGCTATATGCTGCAGGGATAATATTAGGCAAATACTTCCCATTTCGAACGGAATGTTAACCTTGTGCACTCATCTTGTAGCCATGTTCAATTCAAATCACTCAGACAAAGCATGAGGGCTACCCACTTGCTCTGCACAGGTCACAAAAAGAGGCATAGCAGCCTTGTAGCTCAAAAGGGAAACCACAGGGTGCTGATGGCCTAGCAGTTAGGTCACTCCCCATGTGCAGAGGTTATAGTCTGTCCACTGTCCTATCTAAATGAAGGTGAACACCCAACAATACATCTTAAAAAAGGGGAACCAAAAAAAGGGCCACAGGGTCTAATGCCAAATCTTATGATGGGATATTGGATTTCACCACAAGTCTCTGCAACAGCAGCCTGACAAGAGGATTTTATCGTGAATTAGACCCTAATTTTGAAAGAGTCCCGTATCCATCAGCGTCTGAAGAAAAGTTGTAATATCTACCATAGAGTACTGAAACTGGAGCACATTCCAATCCTTGCATTGAACCACAGCTTTTCAAAGGGAGGACGGCGTCTATCATGATACCATTGGACTTTGGATTTTTGCAACCAATCTCTTTGCAACAACAGTGAGCAGCAGACTATCTGCTATAAAATGGGACCTCTCAATAAGTAGACATGCAGTCTCTCAAGTTCTGGTTGTGGATGAGTCACCTTTGTCCCTGCTTTGGGTGAGGTTGTTCCCGTGGAGAGGAGGCTGCCAAAGCCTCTAAACAGCAGTGGTTCTGCCAGGGCACACTCTTTAGAACAGGCAATATTATTTCCAGAGGGAAAGTCATACAGTAGTTCAATAGGTCATGAGTCTGCTAGCATATCCCAACACTTAGACAACAGCTAGATAAACAGATTTATTATAAGAAGAGTTTGTGTAGTAACCACAGCTGTATTTTCTCTCCAAAGCAGTCCATGCTGGCCTGTCAGAGCATGACAAAAATGCTCAAATGGTAAGAAAGTGGCCTCAGGTGTTTGATGTAACGTCTGCATTGTGTTGATCGCTAGATCCCTGTTTGCTGAAAAGAACCCCCATTTGTATTCCACCTTGTAAAATAGACAACCTGTCTATAAGAAGGCCCTGGGTAATAGTTCTGGTTAGCTTCATGGGAGGTGAGCCTACCATGTAAGAAGGGGATCCTGTCAGCCCAATCACCCTAATGGCAGTTAAGATCGTGTTTGACATATTGGATGATGGTGCAGGATGGTGGGTAATGATCAAGGATTTTATATGCTCTGCCTTTGAATATTACCTAATAACCAGGAATCATTGTTCAAGTTTGTAAGGTAACTGTTTGACCCTTAAAGTCTAAAATACATCAAGCCCCCAGCTCAGCCGTATCTTGTACCCATGTTCAAATATATCTTAAATGAGATTACTCGCATTTGACATGTTTCACTTCATACTCAATTACCACATCAGGTTCCCCGTATATGAAAAAGGCATTTTGATGATGACGCATAACAATAAGTAAGACAACATGACAGCAGAAAAATACTGAAACAAAGCTTCAGTTTTGACACGAGTGTTGCACCTCAACATTTAAAAAAAAAAAAAAAGGTCTTGAGATATACCTGGGTGGCCACCAAGGTGTCTTCTATGTGTACTGATTACTGAGAAGCACCGCACAGATTGTTGAAGTGGGAAGAACATATATGTGATGTTTCAAAGAAGTAAGCAAAAAATCCTCACAGACTCATCTCATGTTCTCCACCCTGAAAACCAGTTCCTCCCCTCCAGCAGACGATGCAGGGATCCCTTAGGCAGGAACAACCTTTTTAAAAATTCCTTTGTCCCCTTATCTATTAATGCCCTCAACACCACTTAAGCTTTAAGAGGTGTGTGTTTGTTTTACTATGTAAATGGAATTTTACAGTGATGTAACTGGACATGCTGATAAATGAATGTTCTTTGAGTTTTGGTTACTGCATCAGATCACTGTAAAGTCAAAGGCAAATTATCCACTGGGACAAATATGGTAAATGGATTTGAGTTTATATAGCGCTACTCAAAGCGCTTTTACACTGCATGTCACACCTACCCATTCACACACTGATGGCAAAGGTTTCTACGTATTGTGACCATCAGAAGTAACTAATCCCATTCATACGAACTCCCACCTTAACTGCAGATTAGAAGGACAGATAAAAACGCAACTAGTAATATATGCTAAGCATCTAAAAATAGATTGACTTCATCAGATGTGTTTCAATTGTTTTCTGAACTATTACAATATAGAAAAGGAATCCAACACAGTTGAAGACAGAAAACACTCAAACACAAACTGCTTTGAGGTGGATTTTGGCCAGCGGGGCTGACAGGTCACTGAAAACAAGTCCTGACTGGTGTCTTGTAAGACTTTTGTTTGATATGTGTAGTGTTGGATGCGGACAACAGCATCAGAAAAACATATTTCTGTGTATGATTGTTTACCTGCACGATCAGCCTTCAAAGTATCCCAGACATTGCAGTTGAAATCGTCGTAGCCGGCCAGCAGTAGGCGGCCACTCTTGGAGAATGCTACGGAGGTGATGCCGCAGATAATGTTGTCATGTGAGTAAACCATCAGCTCCTGGTCAGCACGCAGGTCAAATAGCCTGCAGGTAGCATCGTCTGAACCTGTGGCAAAGGCGTTGCCATTGGGGAAGAACTGCAACAGAGATAAAGGGAGATGTTTTAGTGTTGAAACTTGCACACATTCCTTTACATTAGAGAAGTGTTAAAATAAAAAAAAAAACAAAAAAAAAGAATCTTGCTGCACAAAAAGCTTTAAAATAATAATTTTGTAATGTCTTTCTTTGTCATCTGTGCTGTGGAAATATCAGTCTACCAAAAAAGCCAAAGTGTAAACATGTCAGTTCTGCTCATATTCAGTTGTAAAATCCAGAGTGTTTCTCTAACTGGCTCAAAGTTTAAACCACGTTAGACCACAATTAAAGACTTATTGAAATGCTTTAATCATGATGCAGGTATTGAAACTCAAGGCAAACTCTTTAATGCTAGACAGATACTTTTGTTTGTGTAATTCACTCTAGCTTAGGAAAAACATAGTATCACACTGCATCCTCCAAACATGAAAATATAAATACTCATTCAGGGTGGCAACAAAGAAAATTCAAAGGTTGGAGGGCTGCTTCGATTGTACTTTAAGTGAGATGTAAGTTCACAGAAATGCAACAGAAGAGGAACACTACATGATTCCTGTGAATGACTTCCATTTTCAGGTAACTTGGGACTTTACCAGAATGTGCTCTCAAGCATCAAAGACATGCAATGACGGACTCCAACTGGACATGTCATGAGTGACAGGAGATGTGCAAACCCTTGTCTTAAAGTGCGTAATGTAAAGAATGTATGTCAAAGAGTGTGTTTGTGTAGTCTTACACAGATAGCATTGATGTCTGACTCGTGACCAGTAAAGGTTTGTCGGCACATTCCTTCTCTGATGTCCCAGAGCTTCGCAGAGGCATCGCAGGCTCCAGACACAAACAGCCTGGTGTCTGGTGCCAGAGACAAACTCATGACATCGCCAGTGTGGCCAGCAAACGTAGTCGTCTGCTGACCGGTCTCAATGTCCCACAGAGCACTGCGGAGAGCAGAAAGAACTGTGTCAATTTACAGCAGTAATATAAAAACTGTATCTAAAGCACATCAGTGGCATTGTTGGTAAGAGCAATTCAATAATGAAGCTGATCGTCACATGGTGTGATTGCTGGGCTGCTTGAAGTTTATCCAAAGAGAGACTTGGTTTTCAACTGTAGCTCAGCAGTCATGGTTGACACAGAGGGTGGGAACAAATTGCCATATAATGCAAATATAAAAGCGTAGTGTTATTGATTCTAAACATAATTTCAATTGTGTGATTTATATGGTGTAACAAAGGTCTTGAACTAACTCTTCAGTGATTTTTTAGTATATGCAATCTGATGGTTATGTATTGAACTACATGTGTTGCAGTACCACAACTCACCAGGTGGTGTCTCCAGAGCTAGTGACAATTTGGTTGTCATCCAGGAAGCGACAGCAGGACAGGTAACCTGACGAGTAACAAATACAGTGACTTAATGAACTCATTTATGATGAACTGCATCCATCACAGAGAAATAGAAGATCTTCAAATCATCATCACACACTCAGAGGCTCCTTCAGAGTAGTCATTAGTAGCCTCCCTCACAAGCATCCTTCTTATACATTGACTCAGTTTGTGTAGACAGCCTTCTAGTGGCAGATTGAAAACTGTGTTTCTTGACGATACATTTCAAAACACACAGAGGAATATCAAGTAATTATTTGACAAGCCTTGAAAGTGTTTTGAGTCTTCATTGAATCTAAATGACTTTTAAAAAGCCATGAGACACACAAGGGATTTTCCTGATGCTAACTACTGAAGGGGACGATAACATATGCAATCCTTTATTCTAAGTTAATATTTTTTAGATTACTTATTAGTAATTAGTCATTTCTGTTGATCAGTGTCAAAAAAGCCAAAATGTAAAATCCACTAAATTTGATGTTTTAGGTAAAAGAAGAAAAAAAAGGACATTTCATGCACTGTAACTTCTGCAACTATATTCCAAGATTTTAGAGAACTGGAGCATGACTTCAAGCTTCTGTATGTGGAGTTCTAAGCTGGTTATGAAACAAACTGAAAGTAACCTACAAAAGAAAAAGAGATTACGAGCAATTAGACTGAATATTTGTAACATGTTTTTTCTGTTGAATGTCTGAAACAGCTGCAGGGGGGTTAGTTGTTGGATAGGTGTTAGACAGGCCCTCCTGCCAAAAGATTTAAGATTCAGTTTGTCATTTCCTTTATGTATCTGTGTATGTAAAGAAGATGAAATGTTGTTCTCCCTGCTCCCAGCAGAGTAACAGGAAAGAAGACTAATCGTAATATGCATGTTAGACATCAAATATTTTGTAGAAAAACACCACGTACACATATCGAAGACAAGATGATTAAAGGGATATATTGTAATTTACTGTCACCAGGGGTCACACAAATCAGAACTTAAAGTTCCTTGCATGACTTTTAATGAGAGAACTTGTTTGTTTTTTTCCCTGGGTGTGTTTACTTAAAGTGATCACATAGTTTCTTAATGGACAAAATGGAAAACTATTCTTACAAATACAAACCCGCAAGTTTTTCAAGCTCATCTGTTTTCATTTTAAGTTTTAGTGTTAATCTAGAATCACATGCTTGTGGATGAACTTACCTGTGTGTCCGGCCAGCTCACGGCTAACGCGCACATTTCCCTCACGGGTCTTCAGGTTATAGATGGAGCAGATATTGTCGAGGCCTCCGCAAGCCACGTAGTTCCCAGAAGGAGCATATGCGCAGGTCATTACCCAGGAGGAGCGCAGCGGGATGGCATGGACCTGGAAGACAGTAAAAAAAATATTTAATAAACGACCGTTTTCAGTGAAAGATCGGGATCAAGGTAAAGCATGTGACAAAGGTTGTCTGCAATATTTACTTATCTTTGCAATGACACAATACCAACTATTAATAGCTTAACCTAAAGCTACTGTGAGAAAAGTTTCTGATGAGAACTCTTTTCCTGCTGACAATCAGACATGCTGGGTCATCAGCGTTCATTGTCTTGTCTAACACCCGCCCAGTGTCCTCTAAATAGTCACTTTTCTTCATACAGGTTTTGTCCGTTTCTGTAGGTCATAATGATGAATCAGTAATCATATCTGTCTGTTTTATAACCAGCTAAAAACTCCTTAAGGGAACCTTTTTTTTTTTTTTCCCAAAATGTTTTTAACTTAGCTGTAAGAAATGGAGGGTTTCAGAAAACTATTTATTTCATTGGAGAAGAACATTCAAAATGATTTTAAATGCTAAACCAAACATATTTTCAGTATTTGGATTATCTGGAGACTTTCTTGAATACTTTGAAGTTTGTTGAAATTATTTCATGTTAAACCTTTGATCTGTACGAGTGTAATAAAATATATGTTACACCCTGTGTCAAGGTAAACTTAAAAATTTAAGAAACAAGCAGGGTGAGTACGGACTTTGAGTGGTAAACTATCACAGGCATGAACCCTTTAACCTTGGCTTTTGGAGGCAGTGAAAACATTCAGACTATGAGTCCACTTGATCGGGTATCATTATATTTTAAGGTTTAAGTTTTTTAAGTTGGCTACATGTTTTGTTATTGATCCTTTCCTCAGCACTGCGTGACTCTGCTTCCCTGTCTGTACTGTTGGAGGGTTCTTCACAAACCATGGCTCTTCTTACCCTGACCTACAGTTTGTATATTCTGAAAAAAAAAAATAAACTCATACAACCCACTCAAAAAATATTTAAGACTGTTCTTCATACTTCGAGATTTAAAATCATTGTTATTATGGTTCATATTTTTTTTTTCTAATGCAGGAAAATGAAAAATCAGAATAAGTCAAGGCCGATTAAAATAAAACTTGTACCTTGTTTGTGGTGTAGCTGTCCCAAATAATTAGTTTGCCGTCCTGGGAGGCACTCACCAAAAGCCTGGTGAAAAGGGAAAAAAGATAGGTCAAAACTACTTGAATTCTTACAACAGCGTTATATTTTTTCCTGCGGTGATCTACAACCTTTTGGAAGGTAGATAAAATAGCTATAAATAGACACTGTTAGAATGGAATCAGCTGTTAAACCCAGATTTTCCAAAACTGCATGTCATGCAAGAATTCGACTGAAAATAACACAAAGACAACATATCAAATGTTGAAACTGAAAAACTTATTTTTAAAAATAAATTACAAGCCCAATAAGTACATAATGCCAAAAAACATGTTTCAAAAAGGTTTGCACATGGCAACAACATTTCTGTAAGCAAAGGACAGGGCTGAAATTATCTCTATTTTTTTTTTACATTTCACCAAGCGTTCCAACACTTTAGTAATTAGGGTTGTATACTTTTTTAAAAATGATAACCGCCCTTTAATATGTATGTGCATAAAGTGCTATGTCAGCACTGAAATATTCAACATAACGTTACTAGCAACATTGTGCGGATAGAAATGATGATTTCCACACAAAAAGCTCAACATAGACTCCAGCTTTAGAGCTACTGTAGTTCTTATTAATCCACAAAAACAGGAAATTGTGTCTGTACGTAAACTTGTTCGGTGTACCCAATTTGACTGGAATTTAACATGAAAGCCTTTTTCATCGGCTGGAATTCAAAACAAGAATTGCAAGCATTAGAAGGTATTGAAAGCAGGGCTGAAAGCTGTTGTTTTTCTTTCGCCTTTTGTTGCTTTTCACTTCAGCTGATTAAACTAAAACCAAAGATAAAAAACTCCCAGTGGTCCTCTGCATTACGCTCAAACAAACCTGATGTATGATGAACCAACAAAAATCAAGTTTTGTGTTGTTTTCAAAGTGATGTAGCGAAATGAAATAAATAAATACAATGAACATGGTTTCCTTTGTTCAGTCTTTTCATCCTTTTTCTGAGTAAGTGAGCACCTCAAAGTATTACTTCACCATCTCCCAGCTGATAAGAAAACACACACACACTTGCACAGCATCCTATTTTAAACCAGTGTGGTATTATGCATTTTTAAATCACACTAGGCTTTGATTACTTGAGATGTATTAGTTCATTTTTGTAGCAGATCCTTCACATCTATACACAGATTCTCAGCACAGACCCTTCTGTCCCTGTCTTATCTGCTGAAGTGTGCTCCTGTGTTCGAGCCAGGCCAGTAGTTAAGATTTGCTAAGTCCCAGCAGGCCTTTGTGTGTTCACTCCTGTTCCAGTTTCAATGTGCACTGGGGCCATCACTGTGGTTACTTATGTTGGATTAATCCAGATAGCAGACCAGAGCTGCACGGGGTACCTGGGGGCTGAATTTGCAAGATTTCCTATTAGAATAAGTGTGCTTACCTTGTTCACACTGAGTGTGTTTTGAGTGCACATAAAATACTGTTAGTTTTCTGCACGAGTCCATTCTAGGATTAGCACCGAATCACAGCATAGATTCTTTATAATGGACACACTTACAATACATTATCCCTCAATGTTGATCATTGAACATTATAGTGGCTGTGCAAAGTAAAGTGTTGCACCTAAACAATAACACATCCACAATAAATACAATTAAGAACACAACTGTACTCCAACCATGATAAAATATTGATGCAGTCTAAGTGCTTGGACAGCGATACATGTTCTACTGCATTGAATTTGTACTAGTAGAATATGCATTCCTTCGTGCTTTTTTCTGATTCAATTGTTCTGAATTCTTAGATTTATAGAGACAACACATTTTGCAATCAGGACTTACCCACTCAATGGTAGATTAATAATATGTCATCAAATCAGGAAGATGGATTTGAAATAAGTGATGTGGCAACATTTATGTGGCACATCCCCTTATAGTGTTTGAACCTGGATAATTATGATTCTGTTTTGTGTTTGAAGAGAACAGCTTAGGTAAAGAAGACTTTCCCCTGTCTTTTTATTAGTCTTATCAAAGTAACATCAAACCGAACTATTCACACCACATTCACACACTTATGGCAGATCTATGTGAAATGTCCCATTCCCAAAAATAATTCATCCATACATTCACACGTCGCTGATGCAGCAGTGGGAGCTTTTTGGGGTTAAGTGTCTTGTCCAAGGACACATCAACATGTAGCTGCAGGAGCTGGGGATCAAACCCCCAACCTCTCCGGTTGAGAGACGACCAACTCTACCACTGAGCCATAAAAGTTGATTTCAAACGTTACACCAACAAAACGTGCCAAAGTAAGAATTTACTGTTAAAAAAACAACAACTGTGTTTCGCCCTCTTTAAATTACATTTGATAACATTGAGACAGCAAATTTCTATTACAGCCGATTTTAGTTGGGTGTTCTATAAAGAAATAGGTGTTTAATTTAGGGTGTTTTTTAACAGTTCTGTGGATCTTTATGGATGTAATGTGTTTGGATTAAATATTTTACTGGATTTAAATCGTGGGGATCATTTTTGGTGGATTATTGTGATCAGGAGAGCTCAGTTACTCTTCAAACGGTAAGACGTATTTGTTTTCGGTGGTTTGATATGCACACACTGGGCTGTCAGAGTGTGTGTGTCTGCTGCATTGGACTGGATCAATGAGTGCAAAAAAAACAACAACAGAACTTTCAACTAAAGGGAAAATATGAGGAATCAGGGTTTGACTATGTAAATCCTTAGTCAGGGACAGGCCTAGTTTAATTATAACAAAGATCAACATTTGCATGGTATTGTGTCCCCAGAGTACATTACCCTGAACATTTAGCTGGCTAACAAGTTTCTTTTTCAAACCTCTTGAAACTTATCCCAGACTGAAGGGTCTCCACAGAGATACAGTATTTCCAAACTTAGACCAGACTCTGGATCCAAAATATTCATGTGACCTTTCTAGGCGGCAGAGTTTTGTAGGTATATTACTGGGAGGATGATAAGGTCCCTCTGTTGACTGACGCACATTAGCACCACTGGGATTAACTGGTTGGTTGCAGAGGTGAGACATGTGTTCATCTCGAGGGAAAATGATTAATGTAAAGTGAGGCGTGTTGCTTTATCCGTCTTGGCTATTAGTCTCAACACAACTCTAACAAGGCTCACTCTATTTTGAGTATTTTCTCTACCCACATACCCCACCCCCATTGCACACAAACACAGCACAATCAGACACACAACACAGTCGACACACTGAAGGACTCACTTATTCTAAGTGCTTTTAGACCAAAAAATGCACAACCCATTGTTCATGTGCACACATTTCTTACTCTCCATTCGTAAGAACAATGAATATATAGATCAGTGTTCAACAATTACAGACTGAATTAAAGATCACTTTAGAAAAAAGACCTGCATTTTTACATTTGCAGCATTAAGGCAAGATGATTGGCTGATGAGATGAAATTTACTTGACAGAAAGAACGTAAGTATTAGAAATTACCTCGAGTCAGTGCCCCAGTGCATGGCATAGATTTTAGCCAGATGCCCCCTCAGTGTCCGTCTAGTGCGCATCTGAATTCGGCCAACAGGGTCGATGTTAGCTGTGATCTAAACAAGGTTAACATGAAAGAAAAAATCAGTTTCAGGCTGCTGGTTTCACAAGTTTCAGGTAGTGTTGCAAAGCAAGGTGGCATTTACATTAAAGACGACTAACAAAAGGACAAGAAGTAATGGGTGTCAACACCAGCTATAGCAAAAAAATAAAAGAAATCAGATTTATATATAGTGAAATTTGCAACAAGAAAAACATTTACCTGAGACAGGGTAGCATCTGCACACGCTTTCCTGGCATCCTGAAATACAACAACCCAGTTACAACAGATCCGTCTTGTTAACTCCTCACAACTAGTTTAATATCAGTGAATCAATTTGTCTATGCCACAACCTTCAGCAGTGAATCGATAGTGAATGAGTACCAAACACAACTGTATTCAAATTACCAATATACAACGATTTCCTGCAGAGAGGAAAGTTAGAATGCCTCCCATTTAGCTTGGCTGTGTCACAATTGTCATATTATTTTAAGTGAGGTTTAGATTATATTTAAACAGACGAGTTTCATCCTGGTGACATTTTCTGTTGTGTCAGAAATTTCTTTAATTTGAAGCAAAGAGCCGTGGCAAAATATAATAATCACTATGTCATTACAGGATCTTTAATGAAATGATAACTGTCACTGATTGTTCTTTTTTTTTTTAAACTAAAAGACGGCATTGTATTTTTATAGAACTTACAAGTAACAAGAAAAACAAAAAGTGAATTAACAGTATTATTAATAATTAGCTGTAGCATATCACTCTAAGGATGCTAATGCCAAGCATATACAGCTTTAGCAGACAGCTTCAACTCCAGTAAAATCTACTACAGCGGCTCATGGCAGAATATATGCTTGTGGCAATGGTACAAGGGATTTTGGGATTTTGATCGTTAGAGCAATAAAATAGCAAAAAATAATTTGTCATGTCGTTGACTTTTCAATCCTAACACTCTTATCACGACCTGATATTTTTTTATTCAACAGGTTAACTTTGGAAAAATTTAAAATATTGAATTGTCTTATCTTTATGTAAAATAATAATTGAATAGCACACATCATGATAAAACGCCTTACTGATAACCCTACCTCTACACAAGTTTCTAGGGCAAGTTACTTAATACATAATATATTGAAATTGGCTTAGAAATTAAAGTGAATTATAAAAAAATAAAATCTGGCCTTACCCTGATCTGGTTCTTTAGTTGCTCAGCCTCCTGGCGTAGCTGATCCAGTTCACTCATTTTCCTCAGCTAATGGTGTGCTTTGCTCCGCCGCCTAGACTCTTGCTGATCTGCAGGAGAAAAGAAATGTGACACATAACATAAATATTAGACAATGATAGACAGTAATGCACTAAATACACAGCGAGTTAACTTGTTCTGTTGACTTTTACTACTTCTGGATGATAGCCCAACAAAGCATATGTAAGACCGAGGCAAAAGTTCTTCATCCTTTCTAATGAGCTTGAGGAAACAGACAATTAAAACAAAATGCAGCAGACAATCACAAAGTGTCAATCAAATTCAAAGGGCGTGACATCAACAAAACAAGTTCTAGACAGGCCAAGACCTCTTCTTGCCAGCTAGAAACAGTAACTGAGCAACAAGCGCTCAGCAGCTTTTTGTGCTCCCGATAGCGGTTTTGAGGCTGATGTTGTATATTTCTCTCCTCTCAAAAACTAAAAAAAAAAAAGACCTAGGGCAAACATTTGCCCCACTGAGCATTTCATAACCAGTCCTTTTGAGTCAAGACAAAAATATAAAACTTAATTAAAAAAAACAAAAAAAACAACGGGTACCCTCTGCTGTCTTTCTGAAGGAAGCGAGGATAAAGAGTCCAGATATCATGAATTTGAAGAGGCAGATCCAGAGACCAGCTTGGATTTTGTTGCAACTACTAGAAAGCCAAGGTGCTCAGATGATGGACAAGGTTTAACGAAACTCTCAATGTCCCGGCCTCTCGACTCTAAACTCTCCTCCAATGTCATCCCTGTAATCCTGGGACACAGTTGATTCAGCTCCTCCAGCCAAATCCGGTTAAGACAAAACCTGCTGATGATCCTAAAAGCAGTGGCTATCCCGCTGACCCCAATCCACTGGTTGACGCTCTTAGCATGGACACTTTCACTCTCCATAGGAAAAAGATACATTTTTACTCAACAAGAAAAACACTATAATGGCAAATATCGATTAAAGGTTCGTATGCAAGTTAGACACTGATGGGAGACACATTTTAGTTGAAACAATCATACCGTTACCTCTAGAAGAAGACAGCAGACAAAACTTTCCAAAACAGCTTTGATTTCAATTAATCTACTGAAAACTATTGAGTTACTCTCTCTCTCTCTCTCTCGCCCATTTCAGTTCCAATGTAGAACTTAACTTCCCCATAACCTATTTTATGTCAAATTAAATCTAACTACCAGGGCTGTGAATCTTCAGTGGTCTCACACTTTTTTTAAATTACCATTATCCTATCAATGATTTGATTTGATACAATACCACAATGGGTTGCATCCACAATTTTCTATATTACTACACAGGCCACTTTTTCATCAATGAAGACAAGCAGTCCGATAAATCTTACTCCATTTCTTATTAATTAGAAATTGCTTTAGAAACCAGGTCAACATAAATGTCTGTACATTGTGAACAAAATTAAAACAATCACATAAATAGGTCAAGGCTGACCCTTTGTGTCAAAATCATTACATTATTACAACCCAACTTTTAATATTACTTTGACCCAAAGCCTTGTACAAGATTCCACAATCAACTGGCATCAAGTGGCATCTTATGGGCCTATAGAAAAATCAAGCCAAAGCAGAAGTAGAAAAAAAAATGGAGTCCCTCAGGCACTGGTTTGAAAAGTGGGTTTATTAGTCCCTCCAGGAAATTGGGATTGAGCAAATTTAAAATATTTGGTTTAAAACATTTTCATCAATCTCTCAAATCTGACCATTCACTTTATCTATGCAATCGGTGTCAACATGCATTTCACCAAATTTCCTTCTTTGCTATGTATTTTATATTCAACATATTGATCCTGTTAGTTCTGCAATGTTGTATAAAAGTCAGAAGATCTGTATAATTAAATATCTTTGGAGTGGTGCAAGCAAGATATTTTTTGCTATGAAGACAGCTGTGCTATTCTAACAAATCACTGGTACGATTGCTCGTCTTTCATGAGCTTCATAATAAGACATTAAGCCACAGAGTATTTTAAAGACAGTGAATCCGTAATAATTAAAAACTCCATTACTGAATATTTTTACTGTTTTCATGTTGATAACTGTTAACCATACAGTTCCACTTCCAGGTGCCTGCCTTGTGATGAGTCTATTTACCAATCAGAGGCTGTGTTCCAACCTTCATCACATCAGAGGATCTGTTACAAATGTGAATCAGTGCCGATCAGTGTCTTCTATTAATGGTTTGCTAATAGCAGAGTGTACCCCGGCCCGAATACAAAACACATTTTATTTGGTGCCTTGATAAAGAAATTTATTACAGAAGTGATGTCAGCAGTTGGCACAGCCAATAGATGGCTTTTAGTGGAGCATTTGTCCCAGTTTCACACTTTTGATGTGAAATGTGTTAGAAGAAAAAAAGAAGACCCTCAAAACATTGCAACCCCCATTGCTAAATCAGGCATTTTTGGCTGTGACTATGATAAAAAAAAAGTCAAAGAAATCTTAGAGGGACTGGTAAGTGTCCTTAGAGACTAACCTGTGTTACATTTTAATTAAAGTGGAATTAAAATGCTTACAACCTAGACAGATTGATATAAGAAAAACATGTTATTATATAATGACAAAAGGGATAAGAGCCCTTCGAGTGACAGTTGGGTGATCGGGCGATTACTTTCATGGCATGGTTAATACATTTGAGCTGAGTTTCATGATCTCAAATAAACATCAAGTCACCTAGGTAGATATCAATTTAAGAACGAGGACACACAAGAACAGTTGGGCACAGCAAGAATGTCATGTAAACTGCATATTAACGATCACAGAGAAATTAAGAAGGGAGAAAAAAAAAGGTGAAATGCTGTGTTACTGTTGTTTTCATTAATAATATTTGATTGGTTTTAATTTGTCTTCCTGTTTTGACAGGAAACATGATTTTGTAAAGCCAATGAAGTGAGATGTACAAAAGAGCTAAGATTTCTGTTCCAGTAATAACAGTTGTTCATATTTCACCAAAAAATTACCATGAAAGTGAGACACCTGGGCATGGTTGTGTGAAAAAGACTAAGTATTCATATACTTAATGTTAAAATATGTGTTTTTACAGGACGCCAAGTATTTTTTCTCTTGTCTAAGTAACAAACCCAAGGACATATTATTTCACAATGATACGCCTTACCCCCTTTTCTCAGTTTCATAAGGACAAATAAATGACTTGGTATTCCATAATTGATTTGCATTCCATCAAACTGAAACTGTTCCAAATCGATTCAAATCATACAACTATATTTTAATGAATATAATGTAGCCGATCTTCTTGTAAACATTGGATTCACACCCCTAGTGTCTGAGCAAGTGCTTGAACTACATTGATTTAATAGTGGCACCCCAGCATAGAAGTAGTGATGAGAATACAGATAATTGTAAGAAACACAGGTTGTTTTTAGTCACTCGTAGTCTGCTCTCACAAAGTGGGAGAGGGAGCATATTTCACAAGCTCTCCCAACTCTGTTATTGTAATTAATTCACCACTCCAATCAGTTAGGTCAACAAGAATACCTTCTTATTTGAGCTATCATATCATTCACTATCAAATAAGCCAGCTAATAAATAAGCGATACAAGTATGCCAACTGTATTAGTGTAACAACAAACTGTTTTCCAACCCATTGCTCTTCTCCATATCTACCTTCTTCTTTGAGTGTGGTCACACATGAGTTTGCTGGCTTGGAAAAAAACAAGATGGTTTAAGCCACAATATTGGACTTGAGGATTCACAACAGCTGTCCCTAAAAAAGAAGGGTGATATCACAGTGGCTACTTTAACTTCAATTACAATGGCTTTTGTCACCATAGGAAGCAAACTTTGATTCATTATCTGATATGTTGTCCTGAAAAAGAAGAATACAAAGTGCTGAAAAATGTTACTTGCTCTAAAAGTAGCATTTCCCCATGTCCAAGAAACTAAAGGGTGGTGTCTGCCAACTACTCACAAAAGCATTAAAATATGCCAACAACATTCTTTCTGTCTGCAAACAGGCACTCAATGTCCTGGCCTTACAACAATGCAGCAGAAGATGTAATTGGTGTACATTTTTTCCATTGTAGTTTCATTAGGCCAGTCCATCCTTGTTAATTTTTGTGGAAAAGATATTATCATATTTGCTGGGCAAGGTGCCCAAATACCCACTTCTCTAAAGTTTAATATGACATAACCTTGGTAAGTCAAGTCAAATATATTTGTAAAGCAGAAGCACATTTCAAAACAGTAGCAGCTGACCATAGTGCTGTACAATGGCATAAAAGAAACAAAACACAAGGACCACAGCAATTACGAAGCAAAATGGGACAGAAATAAACAGAACATAACAATACAGCAAAACTTCAGAAAGGTGAAGGAAGCTACTGCTGTTATTTGTAAGTGAACTGTAAAAAGCAGTGTCAGAAATAAATCCAAGGTTCTCAATGTGGGTCTTGATGTAGGTGGACAAGTGATATTAGTTGCTGCAGACCAGTGTCGTGACATCTGAGAGGTGTGGAAAAAAGTACAACCAACAGTTTTGCTGTCATTGAAATGTAGAAAATGGCTGTCCAGGTTTTTATATCTCAGTAGTCTGTTAGAAGGTTGAGGGCTGACAAAATGTTTGGTTTAACGAGGAGGTAAAGAGTGTGGTCTGCAAAGATCACAGCAAGATCAGCTCAAGTCTATGTGCCATTTCACAAAAGGGCCTAGGATCAAGCCTAGTGGTACCCCACAGATTTGATGTGTGTTAGGTTAGCAGTGATATAAATCTAATAGTGAAAGTAGAGGACATTTAAAAAAACAAAAGAGAGAAAAAAAAAAAGTTAGTTTCCTTTAGCTGTTGAACAAAGTCTCCAGGTTGGAAACCACTGTACTAAGATGTTAAGGACTTTAACAAGTGAACTATACAATCAGCTGGGTTGCGGTTAGTTGATCAATGAAAATAATATGTCACAGTTTACTTCTTAACAAAGCCACTTAATGTTAGAATTTTAGACTAATTGTGTGAAGTTAAACAAACAACAAAAAAAACATGTATTTTCCGCTTATTGGCATAGGTGCTTTACATAAACTCTATTTTA